ATTGGTGAAAGAATTAGCCTTGCACACTGTGATACAAATAAGTAGTGGGTTTTACCATTGTATAGCTCTGACAAATGGTGAGTGTTTTTATTCTCTCTCTCTCTCTTTCCTTTTTTTCTTTCTGAATTATCAAAATCTATGTTTCTCACAAAGTACTATGTCCTTGATTTGGTCACAAATCCTAATAAGTAAATATTATTGAACAAAGTCCAGAGTAAGGTAAAGATAAACTGAAATATATGCTTAGATATAACATTCATCACCATTATTGTCATTAGTAAATAAGATTTAATTTCAATCTCTTTTTATTTAAGATTTTAACATTTTTTATCAAAAACTTTAACAATCATTCTTTCATGACCTCAAAACGAAAATATAATTTATTTTGACTTGAATATACTGAATGGCCTTATTTACTATCTGAAAATAAAACTGGGATTGGTAGAAGAAAAAAATATTTTTGTGGATTTTCAGGATGGACTTCTCGAATTTAAAAATTTTTTTAAAAAATGAAATGAAATTATTCTGTATTCACAAATCTGTTTACTTAATATAATCATTAATTCTAAATTGCTAGTTTTAGAAATTAAAAAATTATTTGTATTTTAACATCTCAGTTATCAGAGTAAATGAAGTGTTTTTTTTTTTTTTTTTTTTTTTTTTAAGAAGCTTTCATTTTATTGTTTACACTAAATCTTTTTAAATTCTTTTATTTTAGAGATAATAAATTTTTTTATATAATTTGATAAATTCTAATTAAATATAACCTTATTTAAATTTTCATGACAGTTCATAAAAAATTATTAATATTTATACGACGTGTTCGGCAGAAGTGGGGTTTATTCAATATCTGATAATTTTGCGGCAATATGTGCTTAAGGGTTTTATGCAGTTTTGATCAACATTCTTTTCATGGTTAGCCATAAGGAATTGTATATGTATGACTACCTTACTCTTAAGTAAAATAATAATATTAAGAATTACAGGAAACATTAAGTTTGATGGAAACATTGTTGACTATGTTGTATACATAACAAATAAATAAGAATAATATAAATTCTGATGCTATATTCAGTTTGTTGTTAGGTATTTCTTATTTTCTCTTTTGTTATTGGCAGCATTTTAGAATAATTTGGCTGCAATATTAAGTTTCTGAAGTTGAACAAACTTGAGCTATTTTGTTTATGCTTTGTTTCCTCTTTTTCCATTGTTGCTTTTAGATTGCTTTCTTCCAGACATTTTGATGGGCAATAGCAAAATTCTGAAATTTAGAACAATTCAAAAAATAAAACCTGTAAAAAGCAATATTTCAAATTAATTTACAACCAAAAATAAAATGCTTTTAAAAAAAAAAGCTTAATGATTTCATTATAATTATGTAACAATTATGTAATGATATTTCGCTGAAAAATCTACGGTTTATATTACTTAATCTCATTGCATGTTTACGAACCTAAATTGAGCTTGAAATATTTTGTAATTGGCTCTAATTTTTTGTAAAATACTTGGAAATAATGAATAATTTGCAGTGAAAAAAGCAAATTTTTTTTTTTTTTTTTTTTTTGTTGAATAAGCCCCACTCCTCTGGCAAACATGTCATATTTGATGGCGTGATTCAAATCCCAATCTAGACTTGAAAGATTGATGTGAATTTTCCATGGGTAAATAATTCTTTACACAATTTTTGTATCATGTTTATTTTGATTATTTATTGGATGTGCAGGTAGCATAGTGGTTATTGCTGCAGAATTGTTGAGTTGAAGTTCTAGATGAATCTGTTGTATTCAATTTGCGCTAATACCCTTGGGAAAGGTGTTAATACATTTCTAACTATGCACCTAACTACGCGTTAAATAGCAAGGTAGATTGGGCTCCCTAAGCCTTAGGTGTTAGCCAGCCTAAGAGAAGGGCAGCTCAATATTGAAAACCATGGAAAAGGCAATGAGAGACTACACCACTATCTTTCCTAAGAAGTCTTTCTAATCCACAGCTAATAAAGAATATGTATCTATTGCTAGTTATGACCCTCTATGCCTTGAAAGGACACGACTTTAAAAAAAAAAATAACTAAAAAATTGATAATTTTAAATAAAATTTTTATTCTTTTTTTATTATTAAACTAGCAATGTTACTGGGCATTGTGCATGCTAAGTGCCTTTCCCTTGCTCCACCTTACTGCACAGTCTTTTATTTATTTTTCAAGATTTGTGTATGCCATAAAATCTTAAGGAAATTGTTGAAGTTCTATAATTTTAAACATTTTTTGTTGTTTCTATATAAATAATAAACAATATTATAACATTATTAACAATAAACAATAATATATATCTATTAGAATTTTAAAATATACTATGAAAAAATATCAACTTTCATTGCTTCTTTTTATATATTGGTTACATTGTTTTACACACAAGCTGTGATTTAAATGCTAAGGTGGTCACAATTTAATGATAGAAAATGACCAATTGATTATAAATATCACAAAAGACAAATGAAATTTGAAATGAATAACAAAACACAATTATTTTTAAAGCTGAATATGCTAGTTAGTTATTTCTCTTGAGTAAGAGCAGCTAAATTGGCCAAGATATATGACCCATGCTGTTAGATAGAAATGATAAAAACTGCATTTTTGATATCAGTTTATAAAACTGGGTGTGTGTGTATGGGCAGGCAAATATTACAAGATATTTGTGTACACACAAAACCACCTTCATATGTATTTTAATTTTCAGGATTTTGGGTGGACATGTATACAAATTCTGAGCTTGATATTAAATGCAATAATTAGATATTTCAGAAAATAATTAGTAAATGAGATTAAATACTAGCTCTTTATCTGAAACCTTCATGTTCCATGATCACTATAAAAGGAAGAGATGTCTGTGCCATAAACTTGGGTTCATAAGCATTCATGATGTAATCTTTCTTCTATTATTTTATGAAAAAAGTTTTTTCATGCTTTGGCTAACTACTGTTATTTGTGCTGCATTGCATATTTTGTTTTTCAGATGGAGATGTATGGTGCTGGGGTGCCAACAACCATGGTCAGCTAGGTGTTGGAACAAACACTGAATACTGTGATAGACCGCAGCATTTACAGTGTCTGCGTGGCATCCCTGTGGCACAAGTTGCTTCAGGGGCCTACCATAGTTTTGTTTTGTCAAAGTCTGGAGCCCTTTTTGGATGGGGCCGAAACTGGTAAAAACATTTTTCTCATCTTTTTACTTTGGTGGGGAGGAGTCTTTCATGTGTTAAGCTATGTTATTTCTTGCAAATTTAATTATAGGTTTTTTTTTTTTTTTTTTTTTTTTTTTTTTTTTAAGCATTATTTTTTTACCCAATACAAGATCCAAGAGCCACTCAAGGTAGTGGATCACTAAATGAGAATAATTGCATTATTGACATTATTCTTTATAAATGCTTATTAAATATGCTAACTAAATTTTCAATATATAAAACCTGATAATCTTTTGACAACATTACAATAATTAAAAACAAATATTTGAGATATATATATATAATATATATATATATATATATATATATAGTGGTTGGTAATTTATGTTTCGGTATTGGTTTCTGGTTTTGTTTTCCTTGATACTGTGGTTTTCGGTTTTTAATTTAGCATTTTTGCTTTCTAAGGAAGCCATTCATTTTCTTGTGTAATGATAGCATTTGTTTGAGATTGATAATACTTAATCCATTCAACTCGCAATATCTCATGTATTTCTGGTCCAATCTTAAAAATATTCATATGACAGGAAAGAAAATAATATAATCTTTCTAAATATGTAATTTGTATATGCTTTTATTATTGAATTATTTTATTACAGCAAATTAAAATGGTATAGTTTCAACCAGCTTAAAACGTGAAATGATTTTTATTTTTGAGACTAAATTTTACACGTTACTTTGTTTCACAAAATCAAAGTGACCAATCTTTATCAATATTCTTGAAATTGTACACTCAATTAGAAGACAACTTAAACTACAACCAGAAAGATGTTCATTTCTTCTCTGACCCGAGGAAAAAATTATAAAGTAAGCAAAAAAAAAGAAAAAACTGCAATTCTTTTCTGAAACGCCAGTCAACTATTATTGGGGTTTGGCAAATAAATATACACATCTTAACAGTGAAATTAAGAACTATTTTAATTATTCTTAATATCTAATTTAGGTGCATACCCTAGATAAAAAACAAGTTTATTTATAAAAAAAGATTTTCATTTTTCTTGTTTACAACAATTTTATTTTGCGATTGGCATAACACTGGCTTACTAAAACAATTACCTTTACTACAAAAATGTGACTTCATAAAATTTAACATTTAAGACGAAACTGGCAACTATTTTTTTTCTTTTTACTGGCTATTTTGTTAACTTAATTTTAACGCAATTTTTTTTTTTTTTTTTTTTTTTTTTTTTTTTTTTTTTTTTAAACTGAAATAAATAGATTTCAGACATCATGCCGTATTTCCTTTTTTTTCTTCTTTATTTCTTTTGTAAACAAATAGATTTCACATTTATTTCCTAAAATTAGTCAAATGTTTTTAGCATATTTTTGGTCAATCTTTTTCTCTTACAATGGTATAAATGTTGATTAAAATTTAATTTTATTAACATCTGAAAGTCTTTTTCAATAGTGTCTCTTTGGATATGGTCACTCAGTAGTGATATAAAAACAAAACCAAAGTTGTGCGGTTTCACAGTGTGAAGATGAAACCGAAAAAGTTGGTTTTTCAGTTAAACCGCACACACACACACACACATACATATATATATATATATATATATATGTATGTATCTGTGTGGATAGAAACTAAATAACAAGATATTAGCAACAGTCTATGTGTGTGCTAGTATGCATATACAGGTGGGTATGTGGCTGAGTGGTTAGAACGTTTGCATTCTGACCATGAGACCCAGGTTTGAATCTCCATGGTCGATTTGTTAGGAAGGAGACTTCTTGATGTTATTGGACTGGAGGGGTTGATCACCACATGTGGTACCTTTGGAAAGTGCCTGAAAACCATACCACGGGTTGACCTATGCCTTGTGAGTGAAATTGGGTAGACGAAACCCTTGGGGGCTGTCGATAACTGTGCTAGCACGAAGTCACAAGTCATCATGGCCAAGGGCTTCAGCATTCATATTGTTGATCACTATATGTACATAGAGGTAAGCAAATAAGTATTTAATTCATAGTATAAACAAAACAGTACTCAATTTAGTTAAACAGAGCTATAAAATATATTAATGCTTATATATATATATATTAAATTTTTAGGTGATATTACAGAGCTATAAAGTATATTATTGGTGATAGTAGGTGATATTACAGAGCTATAAAGTATATATATATATATATATATATATATATATATATATATATATATATATATATATTAAATTTGTAACCTGTAGGTGATATTACTTGCTTTGTCAAATTTTCTTGATTACACATCGGTTCTCTTATAAATGCCCTTTGTTTTTAGTCCCCCCTCATCTTTTTTCTCTCTCTCTCTCTCTCTCTCTCATCTTCTGGATTTTAAGTTTAGATCATATCATTTTTTTATTGTGCGTAGTGTCACCACAAATGTATATACATGTTTCTGGTGTCTGTTTTTTAATTTTAATTTAGGTCAGCGATTTGGTAGCGAATTATGCATTGAAAAATAATTCCTATTTATCTGTATCTCACTCATTTAAACCGTTATTTAACTCTTCTCTTTAAAACCTTCTCTCTGTTAAATTTTAATCCCCACCCTCACCTTTAGGCCTTCCTGTTCTTCTTTCTTCTATTACACCCTCTCTCTAGAGCTTTCATACATTTCCCTCTCACACTTGTTTCCTACTCCCATACATACACTCTCACTAAAATTTTGTTTTTTATACCCGGAGTTATATTTTCCGATTTCTTTTTGAATTTGTAAGTCTGATGAATTGGATCGTGATTACGATTATAATGTAATAAATTATAACCATGGAATATTAGTGTTTGAGCCTTTCTTTATTTTATATATATATATATATATATATATATATATATATGATAAGCAAATATAAATGGATATAAATCCGACAGAATGAAGAAAATATCTGGAAAAACAAAACAAAAATCCTTAAAATGCGATTATGTTGTTTTAATATGAAATATTAAAACAACATAATCGCATTTTAAGGATTTTTGCTTGAAAATTATTTTGTAAATATAAAAAAAAAAAAATATTCAAGAAGTCTCACTTATCTATTAAATAAATACTTATTTAGCTGTTTATTTATTATATCTAAATTTTATACAGTTCAAACAAATATACTTAAAGTTATAACATGAAAAAAGTAATATTTGTTTAATTTTTTTTAATTGTCAAAATTAAGGGAGACAAACAGTAAATATTTAAAATTATCATCTATATAAAACAGTGTGTGTCTGTGTGTATGCTATTTATGCACGTCCACATTTCTTGACCGGTTTTGATGAAATTGTATACACATTGCAAATTTATCAAGATAGGTCAAGACCAACTTTTCAATCTCCAGGCCCCCTGGTTTTGGCAGAAAAATCAATAAAACTGAAGGTGGGTACGACTTTTTACTGGATGGTCTGATGTTCTTTGCACTTAATGCAAAACATCAGCTCATGTTATGAGGTTTATGTATAGTACATAAAAGTCTTTCTGCAACATTGGCTTCACATAAAAAAATTGCCAAAAACTGAAAAAATCAGGTTTTTCATACTACTTAAAATAAAAACTTGAATAACTTATTTTTTTTATCCAATTTTCTTCAAACATGTCACAAAAAATTTCCCATCATTCAAGAAATAAGATACCATGGTTTTAGTCCTGCTTGCTTCCCCGCTTATGAGGAAAAAACACGAAAAACTGTTAAGAAAGCTTGTTTTTTTGCTATAACTCCCTGGTTTTTCATCTGATGCTTTCCAAATTTGCCATGTAAATTACATATGACACAAATTGTCTTGCATGAAAGTTTGGCTTAGATTATTTGTGGACAAAATCTGTGATAAACTAGGTCCAAAATCTGCTTTTGCCATTTAGCCAATAGTTTCTTCATATGAATTCATCCTAAATTGACATTCAAACAACCTTTGATGCAAGGATTGTTTGAGAAGGATTAAAAGTGTTAAAAGGGAAAAACTCCCGAAGAATATCTTATTAACCACAACTTTACAGTGAACATGTGAAGAAGGATGGGGGCATTCATGCATTTGTGCTTGCAGTTCAATCAAGCTCTGTTTTTGTTTATTAGATTTGTGAACAATGCCATATTATTTGAAAGTTATTATGGCCATAGGAAATTTCCTGAATATCTAAAACATTGAAACAATTTAACCCTGAGCAACGACTACACAAGAAGGTTTTATTGATGGAATTCCTTTCTTAAGAACAATCACACTTGCGAAGGACATACTCCAAAAAAGATGAAGGGAATAGCTAGTATACCAACGAATGATGCAGGCAGACATTTCTACACAGTGGGGTGCAGTTATACAATTGCAGCCATGTACATCAGGGCAATGCTGGGTACCTCAGCTAGTAATATATAAAGTTACTTAATAATATCATTACATAATGACATTTTGCATTGCTTTTCACAATTTACTTGTTTAATAAATTTTTATTCTTTTCCTTGCCAGCTTTGGGCAGTTGGGTTTGAATGATGAAATAGGTATGTTGGTTTTTATGTTTGCTATTATTTCTTCAATGTATACATTTTTAAGAGAATTTTAAAAATGTTTTTATGAATACTGTTAATGCATTTTTATTGTCGTTTTTTTCATAAATGTTTATGCGCAAGAAAACCCCAGCAAAATGCATTTTGACAATCCTGCTCGGTGATAAATCTCTTGATGGGGTGACTTAAAAAATATTTAATTGAACCTGTTGCATTATATAAGCACATGGCTTGCAAGTATTTGAAAACAATCATTTAAAGAATTAATATTTTACTTTAATTTAATTGGAAGTGTTCAAGGTCGTTTAATTGCTTAGTCTGCTACCTCCTTTTAGGAATCTGATCCTCATTAGGTTTTTCTACTAATGTGAACCCATTCTAGACGTCTTACTTCCAATCCATAAAGTTGCATCTGAAGGGATGAAAGCAAGAAATTTTATATTATTAGTACTATAAATGTTATTTCAGTGGGTACATGTGTTTGAGTAGATATTCCTGTTTATTTACAAACAATAAAATTAATGTCTACCAGTCTTGATTATTGAAAGTCTTATTAAAGAAAATATACATCTTGGAAGAAAGGGAACTTGCTATCATTCCTTTTTCTTTTTTTTTTGTGTGGTGGGTTGGACTTTTTATCAAGCTGTGCTTTACTGTTCAGCTTTATAGGTCCTTACAGCAAGTATAGTTTAGTACCAAGAATTACATTTTCTTTAATAAGATATTAATTTAACTGTTTGTAAATAGAGATGTCTATTAAACATTTGTACTGTGTGTGTGTGGTGTATATATATATATATATATATATATATATATATATATATATATATATATATATAATAATTATTTATTTAAAAATATGATTCCAAAACGCTACATAAGAAGTCTCATGTTTCAAAACAAGAGCCGAAAACTTCAATATAATTATTTAAATTAAATTGAGTTAAAATAAGCTCTGTTCCATCTTCAAGCGAAATTTTTTTTGGAATAACGTATATCTGAAATTTACGTGTTTTAAAAATTTAAATCAAAATTTCCATGGTAACAGCTAGAGCGAATTGTTTAAAATTTAGACACCCCTACCTTTCCCTGACTTGACATCTATGAAAGTAACTCTATACTGATACTTATTAACACCCAACACTCGCCTACCCAATTTAAACAATTTGCCCTAGCTGTTACCATGGAAATTTTGTGGTACCAAGTTTCTGTTATATATATATATATATATATATATATATATAATTTATTTTAGGATATTAAAACAAAATCATGTTAAAAATCACTAAATGATCACAATCATGTTTCAACACTACAAATGTGTCTCCTCAGGCGATGTCAAACCACTGGCGAGTGAAAGATTAATTTAATTTCAAAAGCAGAATACTTCATGACCTATATTAAAAAAGTTTTTTTTAGCTGGGTTTGAATTTAGCATAGGTCACATTCAATTGGTTAATCATGACAAAACCCACAAGCCTATTTTTTAAAGTATTCTGCTTTTGAAATTAAATTAATCTTTGCTCGCCAGTGGTTTGACATCACCTGACAAGACACATTTGTGGTGTTGAAACATGATTGAAATCAGGTAGTGAGTTTTAACATGTTTTTGTTTTAATATCCTAAAATAAATATTTACCTCTACTCTGTACTGAGCCCTCTTTTAAATTAAATGTTACGTACAGTGGAATTATACTCCATTTGTTCTCATTTTACCTGGGGGGATATATATATATATATATATATATATATATATACACACACACCATATATTTCCATGTATAAGGTAACCGTTAAATCTTAAAAATTATAGGAATCGTCTAATACAATTGCAAAAAGCTAACCGTGGTGTATCGGCACTGGTAAGTAGGCTAGTATGCTTGCACCATAGATCGTAGTATGCTAACAAATGCCTCAGTATGGTAACTACCAATGTAAATATTTCTAGTTGAAACAATTCATATTATAATGTTGTACTGCAGTTATAAATGTAATAAAATTACTTCTTGATTTCATATAAAAATGCAATATTCAAGAAACAATTACACAACAATTTACAAAAGATCTGATGTGTGATATGCACAAGTAACGTAAACAAACCTTTCATTCTTGATTTGTAGAGGTGTGGGTGCATTCACACCAATTATTTCTCATAGTAGTGTTAAATAACATTTAGGATAATATAATATACAATCTATATTTCTAATTCATTATTATTGTGGTGTTAAATAACATTTAGTATAACATGAAAACTTTATTTTTCAATAACTTACATTAGACTTCTTTTTTTTATTGTTTTTTTTTTCTCGGTGTTAAGCAGCAAAACATTTAAGATGCCATAAAATCTTTCTTTCTCATCACAGAATAAAAACAAAACAAAACACCCATATGTATAAGTAAAACACTTCAAAATGACTATGATCATCACCATCTGATGCAAAGAGCTCATAAACATCATTATTTACAGCTTCATCATATGGATCCCAGTTGGTCATCATATACTACAGATTTCAGATAAAATCACAAAAATTATGTAGATTTGGGGTCTTGTCTTATCTATAAGTTGCCTTATATGTGGAAATATATGGGGTTTTATATATATATAGCACACACTTAGTTATTTTAATAAGACACAGTTTTATAGTGTAAACAAATGATGTCTGATGCTGCAAGAAAATATAGATGTTGACATCGCATGGAAATATATTTTTTTCCCCTTAGAAATTTTTTTTCTCTTAGGATGCCTCTAATAAGAGTTTAATTTAATAGAATTTTAGTATCTCATTTGGCCATGAGCTTATTTCTCTTCCCTGTATAACTTGTATTGTTCTTGTTTCTAGATCGTAATACGCCCACTTTTTGTAAATTTCTCAAAAATCAAAGACTTAAATACATATCATGTGGAGAGAACCATACTGCAGTATTAACTCAGGTGAGTAGTAAAAACAACAAAAAAAAGTTACTTTCTGCTGTTAATTTTCCTTATTTGAAAAATTAAAAAGCAGAAATATTTTCAGTTCAATTAAACGTGGAAAAAACACTGAGGAATAAATGTAAACTTTAACTGACACCTGTTGTAATAGACAATAACTAGAACAACTTCATTTATTTATTTTGAAACTGTTGTTACTTATTAAGTATATTTATAGAAAGTTTAGATTAACCATAAATTCTTTTTTACTTTGTCTACTATTGTGGTATGTGACTGACAATGAAATAAAGTGGCGAGAGGATTCCTCAAGGGTAGCAAGATCAGTAACCTCACTGGACGCAATCTAAGTTTGAATACTGTCTACCTATATTTGCTGTATTACAACCAAGTTTGCTACCTCATATCTACAGACAAATATTAAAAAAAAGGTGTTGTCTTGTGGCTAAAATCAAAGTGTATTGTCAACTCTTGTATTTTTTTTGGTGGATGGATGGACGGACTCAATAAATATACAAGCAAGGCATGTCTATTTGAATCTGTTGGACTGTTATATATATTCACTTCAGAGCAATTTTGAATTATTTCAAGGCTTTAAAAATATTTATTTGTAAAAAATATATTTTAAGAATATGAAAAGAAAAGTGCTTTTAAAATCTGAAAAAAGAATAAGTTCCTTTTAAAAATATATTTATAGAAAGTTTAGAGTGACTCTAAATTTCTTTTTTGCCCTATCCACTATTGTGGTATCTCACTGACAGAGCTATGAACTGACAATGGAATAAACTAACAGGAGGCTTCCTCAAGGCTAACAAGATCAGTAATGTCACTGATCCCAATCTAAGTTTGAATACTGTCTACCTATATTTTCTGTATTCCTGCCAAGTTTATTTCTTGTGGCTAAGATCAAAGTGTAGTATCTACCTCTGGGAGGACAAATTACATTTTATCTCTCAATTGTGTTTCTGTTTTCGGACTGAACACAACAAATAAATGAGGGATGCCTAGTCCTGGGGATTCCAGCCCTGCAGCAGCACCTCCCTCATGGAGGTTAGGTGGAATATCGATGCCAGTATGATATTGGTTGCAGGGACTTGTGCTTCCCACTTGAAATCCACCTTGTGCTATATCCCATCACTGTGGTGGGAGGAATACCAAGTGGAGGACTCAATGAATATAAGAAGGAGGCCTGTCTATTTGAATCTTAATCAGTTCTATTATACAGGGGGTAATGGGTAAATTGTCGCCATTTTATAATTTTAATTTCATGCATGGGTGTTGTTTGTTTTTTATTTATTTATTTTTTTTCCAATTACACAGTATAGTAGGGTCAGTTGTGAGAAAAAGAGCACCATGATGCAATCCACTCTGCCAGAAATTTGGAAATGGCACACTGTACTGCTTGGCATTCACTCTAAAAGCTCTAATACAAACATTTCAGAGTGTTTGGGTGTCAATCTAAGGACAGTGCAGAAGCTTCAGAAAGAGTTGGATGAGTCTAATAGTGATTATGAGGGGTGGCTGTTGGAACACACTGTCTGGCAACAGGACTCTGCACCATGCTACACAAGCAGGAGAACCCAGTCACAGCTGTCAGATAATTTCTGCGACCACATCACCCCTTACAACTGGCCACCTAACTTCCCGGACTGCAACACCCTTGATTATTATGTGTGGGGCTCATTTGAACAAGAGACGAACAAAACTTCTTGTAAGACTAAAGATGAACTGAAGGCAAGGATTATGGCAGCATTTACCAACTTAGACAAGGAGACCGTCCAGAAGAGATGCAGGAGATTCTGAAATCGTTTGGAGACCGTGGTTGAAGCTAATGTCGCGTTTATTGAATAAATTTACTCTTTAGTATTTAAAGATATTTTTGTGTAATTTTGGTAAATATATCTGTTAAAATGAGATGTCATTACATTTTTGTGTAATTTAGACAATTTATCCATTGCACCCTTTAAATACATATATACATCACTTCAGAGCAATTTGTAATTATTTCAAGGCCTTAAAAAATTAAAACAAAGCAATTGCTTTTTTTTTTTTTTTGTTAAGTATAAAATCTGTACATAAATTTGAAATTTTTACTTCCCCATCCAAATATTAGCTGCAGAGAATCAACTGTTTATCATATCTGCTTCTATATAGGAAGGCGGTGTCTACACATTTGGAGCTGGAGGCTATGGTCAATTAGGCCATGGCACTACACACAGTGAAATTATTCCCAAAATGGTGATGGAGTTAATGGGGACACCAATTACTCAGGTTGCTTGTGGTCGGTGAGTAGATTAACTAATTATCTATTTTTTAATTGTACTTTTTATTGGAAGAATTTCACTGGTCTTGTAATGTATTTTGGACATCATTTCAATTTTCTTCTGTCTTTTGCTTGTTAGAAATTCCCAATATTCTTTCAAGATGTACATTTCTAGAGTCCTTGTCCGTGAAGATTATCTTAAAGTGCAATGTAAATCATTTTCAAAGTTTGGACTGAGGCACGGTGGAATAGTGGATAGCAGCTTGGATTGAGGAATCGGAGGATTGAATTCTAGTTGAGTTCATTGCATTGGGAAAGGTATGAATCCATTTCTTCACCCTAGCTATGGGTAAATAGCAGGATAAACTATAGCCTTGTTTGGCAACCAGTCTAGGAGAAGTAAAACTGAATTTAAACCACCTGTTGCTTTGTAGGTCCTGCCTCTTTAGGTAAAGTCTAGAAGGGAATGGTAAAAACAAATCCACCTTGCATGTTGCATGTATACTTTGAGCTGCAACAGAAAATAATGGAGTCCTGAGGCTTAGTACAATGGGTTGAATGTTCACAAGACTGGGATACAGCATGGCGCAGTGAATCTCTCTGATTTCAGACCATTCACCTATGGGTGTATCACCTACAACATGAGATGAACTGGGGTAGGCAAATCTGAATTGCTCTCATTTGTCATGCTTCATTGATTGAAATATATAGAAAGATTTAGGATATTAAGTCTTTTTTCTTTTTTTTTTTTTAATATTAGGAATGCTTGAGTATTATTTGAGATTTATTGATTTAATAATTCTTATTGATTGATTTGAGCCTTATTTATTGATTTATCTATTAAGCAAAATGTTTGAAAACCAGTTCCTGTGCGATCATCAAAGTTAAGCAACGACACACCTGGTCAGTATCTAAATGGATGACCACTTGGAAATACCAAGTGCTGTAAGCTTGGATGTGCAGGTGGTGTAATGAATAATAGTTCAGAATTGTTAATTGGGGAGCACAGTTCCAATTCCAGTTGGGTTTGTTATATTCACTTATGCACAAATACCCTTGGGAAAAGTATGAATCCACCTCTTCTATGGGTTAATTAGTAAGACTTGTATTACTAAAGCATTATTTCAAAAAACAATTTTTATGATCTGAAAATATTTTCTGTCTTTAAATAACCTGGAAAGGGTTGATAAAGTGTAGAAAATGAATGAATGAATCAATATTAAGAAGAATTTACTGTTAGAACTAAAATAGTTTAATTTTTGCTGATTTTTGAGAAATAAACCTTTTTTACTTCTATAGAAATTGAACATGCTCACTTTGTTGCTTACCGTTAAATCATGCTGAAGACACTGGTTCTTGTTCGATTGCTGGAGGTGTGTCAAGGTCAGTCAGTACTTATATGGGAGACCACTTGGGAACATGTAGTACTGTAAGCAAACTCCTACAATCTGAAATATGTTTTGGCTTTAAATAACCCACAAACAATTGATAAAACCAGAATAAAAATGAATCAATCCATTTAAAACTTAGTGCAGTAGGAACAAAATAATCTTTGTGCCTCATTTTTTGTTTGTCTTGCCAACATTAAAATTGTTCATTTTGACGTTATCCTAAAAGAAATGATAACTTGTTTCTTCCTTAGATTGATTTGTGTTGCAATGCACCATCAAAGTTATTCAACTTCTATTTCACTCTGATCTTGAAATATTATTTAAGACTGTACACTCTGCTGAAATATTATCAAATAAAAATGTTGTCTTTTGTTTGTTAGACGCCATACTCTTGCATACACGCCTGACAATGGCCGGATTTATGCTTTTGGACTTGGTAGCACTGGGCAGCTAGGACTTGGCACAACTGACAACCGGACGAGTCCTTTTCCAATAAAAGGGTGTTTTGTGTCTGCTCAACAGCCAGACTCTGATTTAATGGAAACAGATGCTGATGCTACACCTTCCTCTTCGTCGCAATATGTTGTTAAACGAATCTATTCTGGTGGGGATCATTGCTTTGTGATATCTTCTTCATCAGACGTAAGTTTTTATACTTGTAAAATCTTCTCTTCTGTACATCAATTGATGAAAGGCCTTGTGAAATAAACTAATGTTGTCTTAGTGGCTTAGCCTGTTGGATCTGAGTAATGCCTTAATGTTCCAATAACAAAAAAAATGATTTCTTTTTTTTAATGTTTTAGTGCAAGATCATTGAAAGCTTCTTATATAATTAAAAAAAAATAAATAAAATAATTGACACAGATATGCATGGCAAACTCAAGTTCTTCAGTTCCAAGAATATTGTTTTAGGTCTCAGAAAGTCTTGTTTGGTTCTGATGCATATATTTTTGCTGTTTTAGAGAGTTTTAAAAATCTTTTCTTAAGATACTAGTCTGGGATCAGTTCTTGTCTTGATAAAGAATCTACCATTTCTTCTAAATGTATGTTTTTATTCTGTTTTTTTTTTTTTTATCCTTCTGAGTTGTTGTTATTGTTATTCCTCCTTCTCTTCCTTGTTTAAGTGAACTTGTTGCAATTGTAATTAAGTTGTACTTCTTAATTTTTTATTGATTTAAAAAAATATTTGTCCATAGCTAGCTGCATTTATTGTATTTGCAATCCTACTGGTCATTTTGGTAATGAACAAATCTTCTGAATAGTGTCTTTTGCATACCTACCTTAAAATAAGTGTCATAAAATCTGTTGTAACAATAAATTAATTTTCCGCTCAATTTTTAGTTCATAGTTATTGTAACTTGGTATCAGTTAAAACTTAATAGTTAATAATACACCAATAGATTGCTAAGCTCCATAACAAAATACACACGTTTGAACTTAATCCCACACCTTGGGCCCCACCACCTCACTGTTCTTAATTTTATCTTACCTCATTTTTGCTTCTATCTTTTATCTCTTTTTAAATTGATTCAGTTTTTCTTATTGAATTGTGAAATTAAAGTTGTCTTGAATGTTTACTCTTCTAGATCTTTTTGTATTAATGCAGGCTTCTCCCAGGGCTCTATTCTTGGACCTACATTGCTCCTAATTTTCATCAAACTTCCTGATGGCATCAGTTCTCAACTTAGTATTTATGCTGATGACACAACTATTTACTCCTGTCTTAATAAGTCTGATCTGTCTGATAGGTCAAATTGGCAGCTGATATTAAAAATGACCTACATTCTGTTGTTAAATGGGGGCAAGGAATGGCTTGTTAATTTTAAAGTTTCCAAAACAAAACTCTCTATTAATTGCCTGAGAGAACTCTTTTTGCTTTCAATCAGTATGGCTGATGCTAACCTCCAGGACTGACATGAAGTGGAAAGATTATATTGAGTTAATTGCTAGGTCTTCTGCTAGGAAAGTTGTTTTTGTGTTGTGCTAGACAAATTTTCTACCTTGAATCTAGCTTATATATTTACACGTCTACCATTTGTCCATGCTTAGAACATTGTTGCCAAATATGGTCTGTTGTTCCTGCTATATATTTAGTGATCCTTGATAAAATCCAAAGAATCTGCAATGTTATTGGTCCTGACCTGGCATCTCAGCTTCAGTCACTTTCCTGCTGACATAATGTAGTTTCCCTGTGCCTTTTTCTATAAATACTTTCATGGTAATTATTTTGATGAACTCTCCCTAGACTATGAATTTAAGCACAGTACTATATTGATGGCAAGATCTCATCATTTTACAGTTGAAATGGCTATATGTAACTGTAAGTGCAATGCTAACAATTTATTTTTTGCATTTATTACTTGTGGAACTCTCTTCTGGGTTCTTGCTTTCCAGTCATATTTTGAATTTCAAAAATTTAGATGCAATATCAATCGTTATCCTCTGTCTTAATTTCTGTTCTTTTATTGTTCTTACTCCTTAATGATGTTTTTATCATATTCTCTCATACTCAGTAACCTCCTGTGTGTTAATGGCTTTGTTGCCTTGCTTTAACAAACAATCTATAAATGAATCTTATTTTCTATTTTGTCTCCTTCAACACTTGATAGGCAGTTAATAATTATAAACAAACCATTACTTTTTCTGTACAACTTTCTGGCTCTCTTATCTTTTTTATTTTTTTTTCCTCCTTCCCAATTCAGTTATCAATCCCTCCTGATGATCTTCGATTGCACAACTATGAACAGCAGCCCCTCACCCTGAGTCCTGAACTATTGCAGCAAATCTACAGCGTCAGTGAGGAAGAACAAGTATGTCAAGACTTACTCGAGTGAGTTTATCTTCTACTTTATCCACCAATTTGTAAAATCTTATTTTATTTTTTAAATGATCTGTTTATTTGAATTGTGTAGCAAATAAACTTCATGTAAAGCTTTGACCACATTGTTCCTACCAAAGTCTTTGAGAAAAATTAATAGAAAAAAAAGCATGAGTTTTTATTATAGTAAGAATATTTTTAAGTAATTAACTGATTTTTCAATCAGACAATATTTCTTATTACTATAAGTGTTTTTTAGTGGACACAAGTAACCATCTCTTTATAGTGAAATTAACATCTGCCTGCCTAGATCATCAAAAGTTTTATTAAAGAAAAATGTACCTCTTAGCAGGAATTGAACTTGCATTATTGTTTTTCTTGGAAACCACCTTTTAGCATGGTTTACCATTTTTGTTTCAGCTTATTACTAAGAGAAGTCTTTTTTCTTTATTTTTCCTTGCTTGTTCTTTGTCTAGATAGCATTAAAGTGGTTTTTGTTGAAATACCAGTTACTGTAAGATTGCCAATGTTAAGCAACATCTATCCTGGTTAGTACCTAAATGGGTGACTACTTGGGAATACCAGGTGCTGTAAGATTGGATGTGCAGGTGGTGTAATGGATAATGACTTGGAATTGTTAATTGGAGTTCCAATTCCAGTTGGGTTTGTTATATTCAATTACACACAAATACTCTAGAGTGTAGAAAATGAATCAGTCAATAAATGTACTCAGATGTGCAGGTGGTATAATGGATACCAGCTTAGAATTGAAAAGCTGTGTTTTAATTCCAGTCAGGTTTGTTATATTCACTGATGTGCAAATACCGTTAGGAAAGGTAGGAATTCCATCTATTCTCTCCCTGCTATGGGTTAATTAGTAACAATTGTATTACTAAAGTATTATTATCCAACTCTCCCTAGAAATTCTTATAATCTAAAAATATTTTCTGGCTTTAAATAATCTGCCATAGAAAATGATTCAATCAATTGATCTAGGTGCTGTAAGCTTGGATGTGCACATGGTATAATGGATAACATGTGCAGATACCCTTCGGAAAGGTAGGAATTCCTCTCTTCTCCCCACTGCTATGAGTTAGTTAAAAGGATTTGTATCAGTAAATCATTATTATCCAAAAAATTCTTACAATGCAAAAATATTTTCTGACTTTAAATAACCTGCAAAAGGTTGATAAACTATAAAAACAATCAATCAAGAACTGTTACCAAACAATCCATCCATCACCTTTCTCATGTGATTGAATTGGCTATGGAGTCTGTAAGGCATCCTCATTGAGAAACCTGATAATATATTACTGTGAAATTTTAAGATAATGAGATCACTGTATGTTACCAGAGGGGCTATTTTGAATGGGATGGTGGTCAAGTTTAAATAATATATGAAATATATTATTTGCCAGAGTAAAAGTGTACTTATTTATTTTTTAAGGTCCCCTATTATGGGAAATTTTGATACCTTCTTGGTGATGAAAATTTTTATTTTTTAAATTTGTAATGGTATTTTTTAAAATTACTTTTTTTTTATTAATAGCAGTAATAAAATTATTTCTTAAAATTTGTTTATCTCTTTGAAGACCTATTTCTGCTTCAGCTGCAAGTTTTTTTTTAAAAAAGGTAACAAAATAAAATGCTTGGCTATAATCATTGTTTTAACTTCTGATGTTTCCTCACCCTGTAGTTTTAAGTGATCTATGAATGATTGATTCCTCAAAACATCAGATTCATTAACTTTTTGATTTGATATTTAATTGCAAAAAGCATTTCGTTGCTAATGTACTTGTAAATCCTATTTATAATTGTTTAACAATATTATTAGTATGGACCATTGTTTTTCTTTTTTGATATCAGTTTGATCATTCTTATTAAAAGTTTTAGGTTTTCATGCCTTTTTCCTTTTGTTTTTTTTTTTTTTTTTTTTTTTTTTTTACAGAAGTATAGAAAAAATATGGTCATCAGCTTCATGCCTGAATGGATCATTTTTGAAAGAGTGAGTACATTTCAAATTTTCCTTTCCATTTTTGTCTACAAAAATAAATAAGCTGCCAAAGCAGTCTATTTTTTTTTCTCTGCTTCACTTGTGCATTGACGTAAATGATTAATGGTCTGTTTTATGTGTATGATGTGGGAAGCTCTGCCCTTGTGGTGGGGGTACACTTTCAGGGCGTTCGGTACAATCAATTTTGCTAGTTCCTTTCTTTCACCAGGATTTGTGTTGTTTACTGAATTTAATTCATTCCGTACATGTGAGAAAATCTGGGTCCGTAGCATTGTTGATTTGGTTAAGATCTTGATTGCTGTTTCCTCAACATCAGTTGATTGTGTTGAAAAAGGGTGTAAATTTGTTGACAGAAGAAACAATGCTGTTGAATATTTATCAACAATTAAAGGATAAATGTAAAATTGTACAACGGATATGGGCTGTTTCATCCAAATCACTTCCTTTCTACCTTTGAGACACTGAGAGATGTCTTTTTGTTAAGTACTGCTGGTAGTGTTAATGTCTTAGTGAATTACTTTCACAGCGAGTTTTCTGTTTTGTACAATGTTTGAAAAGGGCCTGCCTAAGTTTTCACTGGGCAACTATTTTCTTTCTAACAGCATCACTCCGATTCCTGTGCATGTGTACTCTATTTATATAGACTTTGTCTGGGGGTGGGGGGAAATAGACAAGATTAATTAGCTTCTAAAAGAACCTCCTGTTAAAATAACCCAGATGGCTGTATTTCAAGTGCTTTTCACTTTGAGCCAGGATTTTTAAGTTTCCAAAACTTACATGGAAATCAATGTGAATATGATAACTAGGTTGCTGAAATGACAAACTCTACAATAACCAAAAATCCTGTGGACTTTTCATAAACATATTAGTCATGTCATGCCAAATTCCTTGGGGTTATGGAGATGGCCTGGGGCAGAGTGTGTGGCTGATCTGTTATACTTAATCTTACTAAATCTTAATTTGAGTTCAAGGCACTCCTTATAAGTATTTTATGGCTTTAAATTAATATTTTTAAAACAAACATTTTCAGGTTCCAATCTGATTAACCATTCTCCTATATTTTTTCTCCTAATATCCTTACTCTTTCACTCAGAATTATGAAGTCTCTAAATACCTCAAGTCACTAAGCACTATGCATGTACTAATAGGATTCAGTCAGGACCGTTACCCTGTTATGCACACTCTCTCTCTCTTTTTCTCTTATTTTAAAAATATTTGTTTATTTTATCTTCTCAACTACCTTTCATTTATAGAAGAAGACATTTACAAGTGAATTCCTTTTGTAATCCTTTATACAAAACTTCAGAATTCTGATATTGCAGTGTTTTCTCTCAAGTTGAACTTCTACCTCAGAGCTCTCTCCCAGGTTCTCCAATATAACCAGATATACTCCCTCGCAGTATCCCTTCAAACAAATAAACGTATTTGCCATTTTTGTTAATTTTAATTTTACTTTATTTCAATTAATTCTTTTTTCTTTAGGCAAATAGAAAACTTACAATATTTTGTAAATTCTTTAAGCAGTTTTCTAATATTTTTTGCAAAACTAATATATATTTTAAATTCTCGATTGCTAATTCAGTGGTGGTAACTTCAACTCTAATTTCTAAGAATAATAATTTTAATTCAGTTATTATTGATATATTATTATATATTATTGAAACAAGATTTAAATCCTATTTATATTATCTTTTTATTAACATGATTTATACATATAGTTACAATCTTAAGAGGGTTAATATATGTGAACTGTTATCTTTTGAATTTTGAAAGGAAGTAACTATGCTGTTGATTTTTAACAAGTCTCTCCCCCACTTTAGCTTCCCACTAAACAATCAAGAGAAACTTGTTCCAGATATTTCTGATAACACGCATTATTAAAACACACCATTTCAACTTCTCACTGAACATCAAAAGCCAACTTTTTGCCAGGTAATAGGTTGCCATAATAAATGGCACAACATGATGGGGCCTGTATCAGTTAGTTTTATCTCCAGCTGACGACCTGTTAGTGACAAAAGATACATTGAGCAAGAGATATTTGTTACCACCATATACTCTCCAATAGCCCAAAAACTTTACTGCTGAATTTTGGAGGTTGCAGGTGGACTTTTTCTTTATTTTTTTATTTTTTATTATTTTATTTATTTATTTATTTTTTTTTTTTTGTACAATGAAATTTTTCCTTCTTGCTAGTTGCTGATTTGCCAATTCAAATTCATGGGCCAATGAAAAGACTCCCCCCACACAGACACACTGCATCCTGCTTTTTTTCTTGCCAGACTTGTGACTGTCAACTGACCCTATCAAATTATATTGCATTTCAGAAATATGATAAATTTCCAACAACTTGGCTGATTGTTTATTAGTCAGATTTGTTTTCATCTTAATCCTTAAATCATTTTCCTTTATTCTACATCCACAGTGTTGCACTATTTCTGTTTACATTAAAAATCTCCCCCACCTTTTTTTTCTTTACAGAGATCATGCTGGTTGTAACAGTAAGAATCATGGTCTAGATCTTAAAGGTGTTCGTGAACAGTTGAACGGATTGGCTCAAATGAGTAATAAAACTCTTGTGTCCCTTGTAAGTCTATTACCACTTTGCTGTTTTTCTGCAACAGTCAGTAGATTTTTTATAAAAAAAAAAAAATTAGACCTTACATTTCATTCACTTATCTTGACTATTCTGCAAGACAATGATGAAATTTATTTTTGCTCAGGACATGTCTGCCTTTCTTAGAAAGAATCATATACAGCTGTTTAAATATTTTAGTGACTTGATGATTAAAATTTTTGTGAGCATCAGAACTGAACTTGTAAAATCTTTTGTAATAACTCTTGTCCCTATCAGAATGAATATTAAAACCATTAGTTCCCAAATTTATCCCTCCCACTTGACATCTAACTACTTAATTATCTAATTGTCAAAATCATAGTCTTACAACCCTGCACAGAAGTTAATTGTCAACTCCATACCAGGATTTCCTAACCTGGGTGATTTTCAATTGTTGGGTGGGCAATATAGGATTTTGAGTATTAAAAATGTATTTCAACTCATGCTACCAGAAAAAAAATATTCAAAGAAGATATGCAAAAACCTGTATAAAAAAAAAAATGAGATTAATTGGGAATAAATGGGTCACATTCCATAAATATCCCCATGGAATATTTTGGTATTTTCTATAGTATTGAGAAGGGTCATTGACATTCAAATAGTTCTTCAGACGAAATAACTTTTTTTTTTTATAAAGAGAAAACCAAGAACAACAAAAAATATTTGCTGAATTTTTATTAGTTGCAAGTAGTGTATATTCTTTTTAATTTTATAATTCTGAACAAAGATTGTTTAATTTTTTGCCAACACTGGAATGCTAACTCTAACATAAAACCTGTACTTCATCAGGGCTACCTACAGTATCCTTCTCTTAGATTGGTTGCCAATCATGGCTAGAAAGATGAATTTTCCCTGCTATTTAACTCATAGCTAGGGAGAAGAGATGGATTCATACCTTTCCCAAGGGTATTTGTGTGCAAATGAATGAATTAGAATTTGAACTCTGCTTGCTGATTCCTCATTCCAAGCCACTAACCATTACATTACCTTCAGTCATTCCCATGCAATAGATTTTAGCAAACAGAAAAATATATATGAAAATTGTTTATATGTGTGTGTAAAGCTGGTAGGATTGGCTGAACCTTAAGCATTGCCTTTTAATGTGTTTAGATTTGGAGCCAATTGACAGAAAATTTGATTCCCAACTTGCCCAAGTCACCACCTCATATAGAAGCTCTCCGTTTATACTTGATAATACCTGAATTACCCTACATGGACCAACCACATCGGCACAGTAGTCTGATTACTCCATTTGGACTCAAATTGATCAGGCTTGATAGAGCTGCACTTAAAGTTCTTGGTAAGTTTCAGTTTTTCCTATGTTGTCTTTAATTGCGCACACAAACAAAAATCCTGGTTTCTTAATCACTTAAAAGAATCCTTATAATGCGGTTTTAAAAAGTGCATCTTTTTACTGATGTGTATTTGTAGGACATAAATGCTTTTTTATTTCAGTTTAACAAACTGTTTTAGATAGACTAGACATAAATCAAATATTGAAATCTATGACCCATTGCAAAAGTGATTTCATGGTTATCTTCTAACCAAGCATGCATAGTGTCATACTTTGAACAAAATCTAGTCAAATTCTTTGAGGTGTTATTGGAATTTTGTTCACATTTCTTTAACCTTCAAAAATATTCTATTTTGAAGATCAATTTAATTTTTTCTTTTTTTTTTTCCACATTTAAAATGTAAACTCTGAAATTTTTATATGATTGTTTTTTTCTTTTTTTTGTAGAATTATGGTGGGCAACTCTAGAATCAAAATATTTTAGCAGAATTGTTTATGTAAGTTGTAAAAATTCCTCGTTTGTTACTGTTCTTTTGTCTAGCTCAGGCAAAGATGCAGCAGTTTTAATTTTCCTTGTGATTTCATCATTGTGATCAGCAACTCAGAAAACAGTTATCCACTTGGGACATTACTTGTTCTTGTCAACAAAATGTTTATAAAAAGAGTTAAAAAACAAAAAAACAAAAAAAGTAAGTATATTTTCTTAGAAATAGTATGATGGGTGAGTGCCAGAGGTAAAGAGAATTGTGTGGTCACTGTTGAGAAAGAAATGTAAATTGTTTTTCTTCTTAAAACATTTTGTTTATACAATAGACATCTTGTCTATTGGAGTTTATTTGCATGTACATAGTCTGTTCAAAGAGTATCAGGACTGGTGCTATAAAAAGAATAAGTACGACACATATCAATTTGGCATTTAATCTCCTTCAAAGTAGTCGCCTTCTTAAGCCATACATTTTATTCAGTGTTGTTTCCATTGATGTAAGCATTACTGGAACTCCTTTTATGGGATAGCAAGAAGCTGCCTACATTGTATTCTTTTGGATTTCCTTGATGTATTGAAATCTTGTTCAAGTGAGATTTGATTTTTGGAAAGAGGAAAAAGTTGCAAGCTGCAAGAATATGATGGTTGTCAGATGTGGGGAATGTTGTCCTTAGCCAAAAACTATTGCACCAAACATGTTCACTGATGGAACCTCTGGTGTGGTTAGATGACCACATTTTACACACTTTCCTTTTCAAACACTGCTTATAAACAACGAAAGTGAGTGAGAATATTACAACTATGTGACACAGTTCAAATTTATTCTGTGCCAAGCAGCTTCATTCTCTGTACTATAGCTCCATTACCATAGCAAAAGTCACAATACTTTTTGATCAGACTTTGTATGAATTGTCATATTGGATTTAAAATGAATTTAGTATCTTGGTTAAAAACTAAACATGCAAACTAGAAATCGATGAATATTGTTGCTTTTGACCTTGTGCTCATTGTCCTAAAAAGAAAGTGAATAGCCAATTTTAGTCACAATATAAGAATTGATATTCTTCAGTTGACATATTCTGCGATTCATACACTTGGATCTAACTTTAGCATGGGTTTCTACTTAGAAATGCCTTAAATTGACAAGGCTTATATTTGAATTAAGTGTTTCTTGTTTATGATTCACTGCATTTAAATTAGATTCTAAGAAAATATCATGAATTGTCATTTTGAAAATTCTGTGAAATTCTAAAAGCTCATGATATCAGCTTCAGTTCAATTCAAAATATTTTAAAAATATCATTAGTTTAAGGTTATGTTTTTAGTAAAACATTGAAACTATGATAATTTTATTATTATTATTATATGCTAATCCTTATAGATTTGTCTGTAGGGTAGGAATATTTTTCTCTTGTCTAGAAGTAGAAATTGATTTTTCTTAAAATTACTTTATTTTTTGTATGCAAATTAAGAACTTTTCAATAAGGGTTAGAGAGAATTATTTTAAAGTAATTTATCTTGGTTGCAATGTTTACCATTTCACATTATTGGTTAGCATCTAATGGATATTGTACTCTCATTACATAAGTGATTTAGTAAGACTAACTTACTAAATATTATGCTATAGTAGGCGTCTGTTCCAATAATTTTATATAGTAAAAACTATAAGGCTGGAGTCTTTTATTATTTGCAAAACCTTTTAAACCAACTGTTACCTGTTTATATACTGTTATTGATTTTGTTATATATTTCAGGTCTACAAACAGTGTCTTAGTCATGTCTTATCTGTAGCTCCTGGTAGTGAATCGGAGGTGAGTTATTTTTTTTAAAATCAATGTCAATTTAGTTTGTGTAGATATTTCATCAAAGTAACTGCCATTATATTCTGTTTCATATTAGATCTTTTGGATTCACATCAAAAGTTTTTGTCTGGATGTGAATGCTAAGAAAACAAAACTAAAAGTAAAAATGTCACTTCTGAACATCACATTCATCTCACAAAACAAGTCCCCTCCTATATATATATATATATATATATATATATATATATATATATATATACACAATTAATTATGTACCACCCTCTTTTACTGTTATGGTAGTAGTGGGAGGCACAGTAACATATAATATAAAATCACAAATTCTTTTCCCATTGGTCCTTTCCTGATTAATCAAACATGGCTGAGGTAAATGGAATCCATTAATAAACAAACACGGTAGGTGACAAACAACAGAGGGCAAAGATATAGGGATAAGAAATAACCATTTTATTACTAAAATATATAAATGAGGATTAAATATTTTGGACTATAATAAAAGATGAAAGATGGGGCAAAGCAAAACAATGAGACAAAAATAAATATTACAGGAAAAAACAATGGGGGGGGACTTATCTTTTCAGGAAGGTAAATATTATATTGCCAAATGACCTAGTGCGAAATCTGCATGAAATTACAAATGACAAAATAAGCAAAGATAAAACAAGCAATAGAAACAAATTTAATTTATTTAAAAAAGTCTAACTTTTTCTCTTCCTTTTCTTTTAGTGTCTCTTATATGTTTCTCTTTTCTTTTATATTTCTTTTTATCTTTTATAATTTTTCTCCTTACTGGGTAGAAAGTTTATCTGTGAAATGTATTTCTTTTTGGTTTCTTTTCTTTTCCTTTTTCATCTCGTCTGGGGGTTGAGTGAAGAATAAGTTGAATCTTTCTTTTCCTTGGCTTTCAGGATAATACGTTATCTTTCTTTGTTTCATTGTATCTGCTTCTTTTAGTATGTCAGAATTTGATTTCTTTGAATCATCACTTTACTAAATCTTTTCAGCTCAAAAACCTTAATAGCTTTCTATCAATTCTGCACATCCAAATTTATAGCAGATCATAGCAAGTCACTGACCCTTTTCCTTTTTCTGCAGTATCTCAGAGTTCAAGGTTGCTTTACTGTCTGGATAGTATCCAGTCAGATTATCATGTTATCATGTGACCAAAAAGGGGAAAGTTTACTTTTCATAGAATATATAATCTTTGCTCGGATGCATGCAAGTTTGATCAAGAACCGTTAATTGTCAATTTCACTTTATTTCTCTTTCATTTTCACACTTTCTGAAAATACTGGCTCCTCATTCAGATTACTTCTAAAATATAATCTTTAGTGTTGATTCTAGAATAAAATTAGATGAGGGTTCAAAATATATAATAAAAGGAACCAGTCACAAATGTTGCTGAAAAAGCATGACAAAAAATGATGAGTCAGGATCCATACTTGTCTGCTTTTAAGAATGCCACTCACAACAATGAAGACTGTTGCAAAACAGCAGGCAAGGCAGTGATCTTGGTCAACTGACCAAACACAAGCATTAACTCCAGACTTTCCCCATCCTCTAGGTTACTTCCTTAGTTCACAAAGAGACATTCCACCATGACCATGTATATTGGCAATACAAAGAGTTTTATCTAAACAATTCTTGTCTTATTTCCACCTCACTGCCAATACTTATTTCTCTTGTTCTCTCTCGCTACTATACACATGTTTATAACATTATAGTATTAGTAATTTCAGCAATCTGAGTAGCTCTTTTGTGGTGCATTTAGCTCCTGTAAATTGGCATCTAGCTATTTTTTTTTATTTATAAAATAATAAATATTAATAAAAAAAAATTAATATTGATAAAAAGAAAAAAAGAAAAAGACTTACAGGAGCTAAATACATTGAAAAAAAAGAACTAAATTATTGTCCACTCTGGCTTTTTTATAATATCAACAATATGTGGATTTCTTATTTGCAATTTTATAGAATGTTGATGGTAATATTACCTGTTCTTTGTAAGGAAACATTTGGCATTCATTGATCAAACAGTTTATACTACTGTTGGTTGAAACACAGCATCACATGACGTAGCCCAAATAGTGTAACAAAAAAATGTTATTGACTTCTGCATCTCAGACTCTTGGATTAGGCAGTTTGGGACAGATGTTAGGAGTATACAACTCCTACTTTGAATCTGATCACAGATTACTTGTAACAGAACTGACACCACCAGCCAACGAAATAGCTTGCTTTTATACACATCAAGTATGAAAAATACTAGGTATTTTTTCTCCTTTTAATATTATTTTTTTCTCTTACACTTATTCTCTTTTTTTTTTTTTCTTTAATAGAAATAGATAGGTAGGTTTGAATATCACCCGGTTCACACTCCTTCCATGTCTATTGAACAGGAGTAGTGGTTTATCCTTTGTTTTCTGTTTAGGATTGAATTTCCAATTCCATTCTAAAGTTTTTTCATTTTCTTTCACTCCCAGTAACCCCTTCCTGGCATTATCACTTCACTTGAGATAAAATGATTAAAAAAAAAAATTCTATAAAAAAAAAAAAAGAATATATGAAAAAACTATTTCAAACGACCTCAGGTTTGTCCCAGTTCTAATGCTCAACAAATGCATAAGAGTAGATTATATTATTTTTTTCTTTTTCAAATCAAATGTTTTTGTTTTTTAACTGAAGCTTTTTCTCCCCCCTCCCCCTTTTCTTTCTCCCTTTTCCCCCCTTTTTCTCCCCCCTTTTCTTTTTTCCTTTTCTTTTTTTTTCCTTTTCTTTTTTTTTCCTTTTCTTTTTTTTTCCCCCTTTTCTTTTCCTTAAAAAACAAAAACATTTTTTACAAAGAAAAACTTATAATCTGTTCTTATACTAATATTCTTATACAAACTCGTTTGCTTCACTTCCTGCTTTTATTTGTAGCAACGCAACAGAAGAAGAACTGTCCTGGTTTCCATGGAGGTACTGAAAAAATTGAATTCTGTGAGTATGAAATGCTTTTTCATTCTCATGAAAATAAGACAAAGAATTGGATTTTATTTAGTTTTCATGCTTAGCCATAATTTAACAAAGGTACCTCCACGAAATCGCTAAAAAAAGAGCATAGCTTGATGAAAAAGACGCCAACCTTGCCGAAAACAAAATTTTATTGTCTAAATGCTTATGTTATTATTTAGAGGAAAGACCAAAGTTTTTTTTTAATTATTTTTAAAAAATTTTCCTTCTTTTAGAAAATTCTAAATTTTGATTAAAAAACCTTGTTTCTATTTGTATCAGCGGAACTAGTAAATAATATAGACAATTTTTAGCACGTTTTTTTGGTATGACACACATTAATTTGAAAAAATCGTGCAAAAATAGAAATAATTATCGGATGTTAATGAAACTTTCAGGAACTATTCACAGATGATCGAAATTATTATAAACATGTTTTTTTTTTATGAAAGTCATGGTAGAAATATTTTTAAAAATATTTATTACCCCCCCATAACTAATTTTATGAAAACGCTAGAAATTGATCGCATCGGTTTTAGTGATTACAATAATTAAAAGCACAGGGCTTTGAGGAATGCAAATCATGTTTTTTTTTGTTTTTAATTGGATACCCAGTACCTGAAAATCAGCTCTGAATTGTAACATACAAAACTCAATAAAACAAAGATATTATTTAATTTCAAATGCGTTTATTTGCTTTTTAGTTGTTTTTATGAATATGGACAATATTTTCTGAAATAAAAAAAAATTTTTTCGATGAAAATGAATTTTAATACAATTATTTGTTATTTCATTAATTATAATAGATTTTACATTTAAGTTGTTAAAATATTATAAAATTAGTTAAAAGTCAAGACAGGCTTTCATAAGTGTCCTTATGAGATAGATCTTTTTTTTTTTGCGTTGTAAATTGTATCATTTTGACTAATCAGAAGATCCCCAGTAATTAAGAAATGTAATTTTGTGCTTATAATCGAGCTGTGATTATAAAATACGGAAGACCAAGCAGAATATAATTAAGTTGCGTTATTTGAGTTAAGCATTGTTCTCCGCTGTTAAGACCTTTACTTTTGCGAAACACGTGTGAAGTTAATTTGATTTTTCAATTTCAACTGAGAAGGTTACCTACAAGTATCAGTATCATCTTATGAAATTTATATGATCTTATTTTTATATTAATCTCAGTTACGACATTTTTCCATAAATGAAATATCAAAATTAATAATAAAATGAATGCAAATACAAATAACAGTAGAATGTAATAAATGTACATAAAATTATAGTATTTTATGTACAATTCTGATAAAATTTCATAAGAAAGGTACCTATAAATTAATTAGATACCTTTCTTAAGAAATATGAAATTTAATGTCACTCTTAACAGTTTTATTTTAATTTCTTTAGAATATATTTCCCATAAAGCATCATAAACGTAAAGGTGAAAGCTAAGTACAAAAAAAAAAAAAAAAAAAATTAGACCGCTGAAAGTTTTTGTTAAAAAAACGGGGTAAATAATTTGTTCATGTAAATGTAAATTATTTCACTTTCTCCTTCCAGAGAACAAATTAGCCTCATGGAATTCAGTAAATATATCATTCATCACATGTCAAGAGACGAAAGTTTATGACCTGCTTTGTTTTATTTTCAAATTACATTTTGGCACAAAAAGCTAAGTTAAGTTTGGTTCAAAATATTTTAAATAAACATTATAATTTCTGATTTTCTTAAAATAAGTTTTGAAAAATGATAATTGATATTTAAAAAATTTCAGTCAGATTTCCAGTTTTTTAAAATGGAAAAAATGGTCAATTTTGCTGACTCAAAAAAACTAGATTTTTAACGAAAATTTTGGACGTGCTAGGAACGATTAAAAAATGGAAAAAAATACCCCAAAAAAATACTTTGACCTTTCCTCTTAATGAATAACAAACATTTAGACGATAAAATTTTGTTTTCGTCAAGTTTGGCGTCTTTTTCATCATGCTATGCTCTTTTTTTAGCGATCTCGTGGAGGTACCTAATTTAACACTACACTTATTCTCGAAAGTAATACTGGATAACATTTATCAGTACATAAACCATTTTCTTTCCTTCTTTCTCTTCCTTTTGTGCTTACTGTCTTTATTTTATTTTTTCTATTTCTTTTTTCTCACTCACTCTTTTTTTTTTTTTTTTTTTTGTCAATGATTTTCTGTCCTTTTCTAACATAGACAAAACTTTTTAAAAATATTTTAATTCATATTTTCATTTCTTCTTAATACAATAAAAATGTTTTTTTGAAATTCTAGGTTAATGAGAGCAATGGCCAAATCATCCCTTATCACCAATTCTATGTGCCTGAAGTGAAGGAGGCTGTTGATATCCGGAAGGACTACATTCTGTGGCTCCAGAAAAACAGGTCTGCTGTTGTGGACAGAACAGAGGTTAGCGGACTAAACTGTCTTCATTTCAACAGTTTTTCTACTAATTATATGCAAGTCGAATTCAATTGTTAAATCCCTGGGGTCCTGAATGAAACATTGAAAAAATTCCATTGATATGTTTCAAACTGTTGAAAATAGTTTTGTAAGTTGATTTTATATGAAAGTAAATTGATTTCTTTTCAAATGCTAACAGATTTAACCTCCTTGGTATTACTGGTTATGAGATATGATTTTGGAAATCAACAAACATTGTAAAAGTTGCAGATTTCCAAAATGTAGATTCTGGTGTCTCAAGTTGATCATGTGATGGCTGTTAATGGTCAGACACTCTCAGAAAGGAAGCTTGTGAACACATTTGAGCACTTTCTACCTTAAAGGGTTAAAATAATGGAATTGTTTCCCAGAGAATTTGAGACTCCAATCTATGGAGCTTAAGAAAATGAGAAAATGAAGCTGCTTGTCAAATACTTTAACAGTACTTTGGTGCTTTTAGAAGATTTGTTTTATTTTATTGGCTTTTCTTTTAGCATATCTGTGTTGTTTACCTTAATGTATTTGTGTGTGTTTGCTTCTGAAGCTGTTAAACTGATGTGAAAGTTTCCAGTGTCATTCACAATGTTAGTTGAAATTTTAGAAGTGTATTTGTATTTTACTCAGTCCTGTATTGCTTTTGCATGTGTAATCTTTAAGAATTGTTTGTGGAAATGTGACAATTTAATTTTTTGTGGAAAATCGTGGTTGGATATAAAATTGACAACCTGGGAGGGGAAGCTGTTCAGCAGAAGCAAGGCAGTGGATCACTGAAACTTGTGGTGCATTAGGTGCAAGCATGTGTTGGAAATGGTCTGCTGGGGTTTTAAAAAGGTCAATGACATTTTGAAAACCTGAGAATCTTGAAACTGTTGAACTGGAAGAATTTTTGAAGGGTGACGTAAAACATGTGAACTTGCAAAAAAAAATTAGCTGCATTTTGGGGGTGGGTGGGAGTTGACTGTTGATTTTTGCTGCACGACAGCATTGCCCATCTTTTGTATGGCAAATGCAGCAAACATGCTGGTATGCTTGGGTTTTTTTTCTCTATATTTTGCTGAAATATGGTGAATGTCGGTGGGTTTTGGGGAATACTTTGATGACTGATGCTCTGAATTTATATGCATACAAAAAGATTTTATCAAAAAAAAAAAACAATGGTGGGAGCTTTTGCATCACCCTAAAATTAAACAGATATTCATATCAATGAGGTTTGATTTAACGAAGACCAGATTAGATTAACTAGTTGATATATGTTGGAAGTGGTTTCTCAGATTAAAAAGGGAATGCACATTAGTTCTGTAAGAGTTTCAATATTTTACCAGTAGACATTAATTTCATTGATTTTTAAATACCATAGTAATATATATAATTTTGTCAATATTTCTGAGAGGAGGTATTATGTACACTATTTACATTATTCGGATTATTGTCCTCATCTTTGTTGCCATATTTATCACAACGTTTCAGGCATTGTATGCTCCGGCCTTTTTCAGGTGGTTGGAATGTTGAACTGAACCCTTTATTTCGCTTGCTGGTGTAGACTGTTCTAGGCTCAAGGACACATAGCACAGTGGATAAAGGCATTAGTTAGATCCAGTGACAGGACCCAAAGAGTGTGAGTTCAATACCTGGTTAAAGCAGTGGAGAACTTGGAGAGGGGAATTAACAGGAGATAACTGATAACTGACATCCATTAGAAATGACAAATAATTCAAATAATGTAAATAGTATATATGTTATTTTGTATTAACTTATATATGAAAAATGAATTGATGAACTGAGGATTATATTTTTTTTTTTTTTTTGTACATCTGATGCATGAAGATCATAATTTAAAAAGAAAAAAATTATTTCAGTTCTTAAATATTGTTCTCAGAAAATTGGAAAGAAATTATACTTGGGCTGTTTTCAAAAAATGGCAAAACAAAATATTGGTTTTATTTTAATTGATAACAATTTGAACAATGGCTGTTTAAGACTAAATATTTTTTTAGATAAATTGGTTTCTTTTTTGTTGTAAATGAATGTTTTTTTTTTTTGTTTTTTTTAGCATTTTCTTTTTAGCTAATATGGAAGTAGTTGAAACAAGTAAATGCTAAGTTGCAATCATTTTTAAATGTCTATTGCTGTAATGAATTTGTGTAAGCCAATATTTTTCTTTTTCTTCCCCCCCAGAGTGAAAATCCATTATTTTGTGATTATGCATTTCTGTTTGATGCAGCAACTAAATCAGTCCTCTTGCAGACGGATGCTCTCCGACAAATGCAAGTGAGTTATGAGGTTCTCACGTTACTTATTTTGCATTGATTTGTAAAAATGTTTACCCACTTCTTTTTTTCCTTCCCTCATCAACGATTACTTAAAGATGACATTAAAGGAGTACACAAAATTATGCACTGTGATGTCAAATTTCTTTATATAAATGTTAAAAAAAAAAAAAAAAAATGCAAATAGCTTTGATTTTCAAAGTGTTTCATATAGATGTTATAATTCGCTACAAATTAGATCTCTTTCTGATTCACTTTGCATGTTGGCCAGATGTAAGCACTAAGGAAGTAAAACCCAAAATAAAAAAGTCCTTCTTTGAGCAAGGGCCCTGAGCATCACATCTGGCCACCAAAAGGAATCCCTGCAAAAAGCTAAACATAAAAGAAGCAAATCACAAATGTTGCTGCGTTAGCAAAAAAAGCTCAGGGGCCTACTAGATTTTCTTTTAAGAAAGCCACTTATAAACGATTGACACAGAATATGGCTGACATGTAGAGCGAATCATGAAGAGATCTAATTTGCATCCTGGTATAAACTGTCGATGGACCTTTTGAAGGTGATGGTTAACTCTTTGCTGTATGCTATTCAAACGCAATGAAATGAAGAGTTTTAGGATCTCTTTTGGTTCTTTTTGTGAATATCTTACATGAACATGTTAACCTCACAATTTACATATATTAATTTTTTTCATTTTGCCCTGTAACTATGATGTGATATACTGTTTTGTTAGTTGCAACTTTGAAAAATTCTATTAATATTCCAAGGTAATTGAATTTTTTTTTTTGTGTGTGTATGTGTTGCTTGCATAATATTTTGTTTGATCCATTCTATGACTTTCTTTATAATCCAAAAGGAAAGGAGTCACCTTTATCTTTTTTCTCTCTCCCACTTGTAAGCAAGGCAAGTTGGTGAACAGAAAATAGTAGCTAATATGCCAACAACTTTGGTTCATTGCAACAATGCAGGACACAAATTGTATCACGTACAACTACCAATGTACACAGGTGATAATAATTTTCACACAGGTGTGTTCATCATCTGCTTGATGGGCAAATCATGCTGACATGAAAATCTATACTGATCTGACAGATATAATAGGTGCTTCTTTCAGTTTTTCAGTCTATATCACTATTCCCTATTTGGGTCTCCTTTTAAGAGTGAGGGAATAATAACTGACTTTCTCTCTCCAAATGTGGGATCAGGAATATAATCCATAAGAATATGGCACCTAAAGAAGACTGTAGAATGGACTGGCTGAAATGTAACAACAACAACAAAAAAATAATTTCAGCTGATTGGTGGTGGGGGAATCCTGGAATTTTAAAAGAATTGTTTCTTTGGTTGACATTGCAATAAAACTGATTTTATTTGGACTGTTCAAATGTTTGTTCTTTTTATCTGGAAATTATTGAAGAAAATAATTTTCAAATTTTTTTTCAAATGAGAAAAAAATAGAAACAGTAAAATGGAAAGAGGTTAAAAACTGTTTGATGAAATTGAAAGCAAAGAAGTGAGAAGATAAATTAGTGAAGAGAGGAATGTAGAAGAAAGATTTGAAAAAATTCTGGAAAATGGGAAGATATTGGCCATAAATGGCTGTGCGGAACAAGGCAAAAAAGGTGAAAGGTTATAATTGTGTTAATCTTTACTATGTGGTGTGTGTGTGTGGAGGGGGATTTTTTTAATTTTTTTATCTTTTTTTTTTTTTGCTGTATTTCTTTAACCAAGTCTCTTGTTCTCTTTCTTTTTTCACCAGTATGCAATTGATGAAGTTAATCTGCGTAACTTCACCAGCTTTTTCCAGGCTATTGATCCCATCAACCCTTGTCTAGTATTATTTGTACACAGAGACAGAATTATGCAAGATGCACTTGATCAGCTTAATAAATATGATCACCATGATTTAAAAAAACCTTTGAAAGTAAGTGAAACTTTGTGTTGTTGTTGTTTTTTTTTTTTGTTTTTTTAAGAAGAATCCTACTTTTATGATTTATTTTAAGTTTTCTTTTAATTTTTATTAGTTAATTGTCTTGGTCTTGAACAACTATAAAACACATTGTGTCTCTGGCTCTGGACTATATTGCTGGTTTTGGCTTCACAAATGAATTCTAGTGTAGGCTTGCTGATAGCTGATGTAGTTAATAATGTCAAAGTAATTGCAGGTGATGGAAATGAATTTCTAGTGAAGCTTGGATTTTTTCAACTTAGTTCTGTGTGTTTGTGTGTGTCCAAAGAGGAAATGGCCTGGAAGATGAGAACTATATACTTCTGTCAACAGCTTGTGTTATTAGCTGCAGGGAGTGAATTCTTGTAGTAAGTCAATGTGCTTCTTGTGCTGCCAACATGTGGACAGCTCACAGAGTAGTAAAACTTTTGGTAGATGATTTCTGATCTTTAACATATGACCTTCTGCCTAGCAAAGGTGTTTAATCAATTCAGTGTTGGAAATAATTTGAGAAAAAAAAACATGAAAATTATCTTCATTTAAAATGAAGAAAATGAAAATTATCTCTGGTCATCCAAGTGTCCAAACCCATGGCTGATCAATAAGGTGATCACTTTGATCCAGGCCTTGCCTTATCCATGTGCAAGGGCTGGGGTGGGGCATGATGTGCTCTGTGTATGTCAGCGCTCCCCAAACAACCAATCCGGTATCTCTCTGCAAATGTCCAAATATTGAAGAGCCCCTCTGCCTTCCTTGGAATTCTACCTGAACCTTCTCCTGCTTGCTTTGTATGAGTGCCTCTCACCATCACTGCCTGAGGGGCATGGAAAATCCTTCACCTTCCCTGAAATTCCACCTGGGCCCTCTCCTCCTTAGTCACCTGACCAAACCTGTCCCCCAAGGGCTAGGCATAGTCTAGCCCAATGGCCAAGTTTTAGTTATCGTTGAAAATTCTTTCTCATTGTGCTTTTGTGTGTGGTTGTTTTCACATCTGGAATTTATCATTTTTATCTCTTCATCAACCCTTTGGTCAACAAGTGGCAAGAAGGGGACAATTTATTTATTCCAGTGTCAGTGGCTGTCCCCAACATGTAAATAAAGGCTGGCTCTTGGATGTGCGCACCACACATAGGAAAAGCTGTATGACTTGAAGATGTACAAATATCCACCTGAGACAGGTTGGGGGGAAAGGAATCTCTCACATCTTGGCAATATGTAGAATCTATGTTTGGTGAAAACCCCCAGAGCCATGTGCCCACTGGCTGACAATAAATGATAAAGTCCGTAGTTAAAATAAATGTAACGTTTAAATATCTTGTTGATCTTGTGGTCTCATTAGTCGATATTATGATAACGTTACACAATTTTAACAAAATGAAAAGTATTTTTTTTTTTTTTTTAATGTCATTTTCAGGTGATATTTGTGGGTGAAGAAGCTGTTGATGAAGGCGGCGTCACAAAGGTCTGTGTTATTGATTTATAATTCTTTTAATTGATGGCTAATTATATAGCATATATTTCTCAGCAGACATTAATTTTCTCTGCTTTTTATTTTGTTATTTTTAATGATCAAAGAAAACTTTTACTTTATAAACATGTATGTAATCATCCATTCCTACAGAAGTTTGTGTTATATAATATCACATATGCAAATCATGTACAAAGTACTGCACTCTATGGAATATATTTTCTGAAACTATTTTGTTAATACCTGTCAGTTTGTGATATTGTTCCCAATGGGAATCCAACTGCTAATATTATTTGTGGATATAACTAATATTTTATTTATTTTACCATCATGCCTAACAAAATTCAAAGCTCTAAGATTAGAAAGTGGCCTTAGTGACAAAATTTTAACCTGATATTTTGACTCTTCATATCTGGCAACCAATGATGTTTAATTAGTGTATTTTAATATTGTACTAGGGAAGGCACGTTTTTCAGGTGAATATTCCAAATGATGTTTGGAACAGTTATAATGGCTCAGAGCATTGCTTTTATGACATTTATGATTCATAAATTAAATTCTTCAGAGGTTAAATTTTTGCTGCTTTAATTTCCTCTTTACATTTTGGATATGAAATCAAGCAGATATGGGCTTTTAAGGAAATCTAAACAAGAAAATGTGCATTCATTAAAAGGAGTAAATAGAACTTTGCTGGGCTGTGATGGTCCTTGTGGACATGCAAATCTAAAGCATGCCAGGTCAGTGTTTTCTCCTACAGCTGGGGAGCACATTTTCTTAAGTTTTCTTGAATGTGCAGGCTGTAAAAATGTAATACACACTTTAAAAAAAAAAAAAAAAAAAAAAATGGGGTGTCTATTTTTGACATGGGTATCCAGTAAAAATAATGTTTAAAGTGTTAAAAATTTGGATTACCTGGCAGAACTTTTATTATCACAGGGTGATCTAATAACAAAAGTAATGGAAAGAAAAAGAGTCTAAATAAAATTGACTAGATTAAAAAAAATGAAAAATTCCCAGCATCCCTCATTTGTGCACATGTGTAGTCACACCAATGTAAACAAATTTAGTCCAATGAAGTCCTAAAGGATGAAATGCATCAGAAGAAAACTTCTTCCACTTTGTCATACATTTTCCCCAATTTCGTTCTTGATAGATAAAAATATATATATATATATATATATATATATATATATATATATATATATAGTCTTAAAATGGGCTATATTTATGGGATAAAGTGCTCAATAACAAAGATAGAGCATGTATAAATATAAAAGTGAACATAGAAGTCAACACTTAGAGCCTCTAAGTGTTGAGTTCTGTGTTCACTATGTATATATAATAATTATGAAATGGAGTAAATCTGACAATTATTTTAATATATTTTCTATTTTTGTTATTTTTATAGATATAATTTATCTGAATAAAAGGCTCTGTTTTTTTAATTAAACAGTATTAATTGCATTTAACAGACCTTTTCTTTTTTTAGTGTTTAACACAATGTTTTTCAAACTTGGTTATTGAGAACAATATAAAAAAATTCATTTAACATTTTCTTTTTTTTTTTCTTTTTTCTTTTCTCAGGAGTTTTTTATGCTCATTATGCGTGAAATTCTAAATCCTGATTATGGAATGTTTAAGTATTATGAAGAATCCCGGCTTCAGTGGTTCAACAGTGAAGTAAGTTTAGATTGAAAACTGACCTCATAAGTCCACATTAAATGAAATAGTTAAAAGAAATCCTTTCCACAGAATTCAGGTAAAGAGAATTTTTCACCCCTGAACTTTGGCAGAACTATCCATCCTTTGTAATTTGGCCATAACAAATTCTGTTTTTTTTTTTTGTTGTTGTTTTTTTCCCCTTTCTCTGTTTGCTACATAGAAATCTGTACAGATCCTAAATTGCCATATTTTGGAAACATCACAGATCCCATCAGATCTGACTCCAAGTCAATATACTTCTACTCTGGAATTTCCGTAGAAAATTTCTATTATTTATTTTTTCAACATTTCAGCTTTGCCTTCAAAATACAGCACAGGTATTTTATAATTTTGTTAATATTTTCAGTTGTTGGCTGATTTATAATTATTTGTCACCTGATTAAAAGGTCGATCTCTATAAAAAAAAAAAAAAAAGAAACCTTTGACAAGGTCAGCTTAATCAGTTGCTTGCATTCTACTGTTTTCTACTTTCTTTTATTGCTTTCAATAATATCATAATGTAGCTGATAATATCATAATGTAGCTGATTTCCTTTAAGAAGTTGTGATCATAAGTAAGAATTGGGCTTCTGTAAATGGTGTCATTTTTTTTGCATTGTGTTTATAAAATTTTATAAGGTTTTTTTTTTTTTTTTTTTTTTCCAGATTTTGGTCCTAGTAGTGGAATCTGAATTAATTCCTATTTCTTTTATCTCCATAAACCCTTATTTTAATTTTATTAGATAAAATATGATTGAATAGAAATTAAGATAAAAGTATTTTGCTTACAATATACAATTAAGTCATAATGAAACAAACTTTCACTATGTGAATTTTTTTCTCTCGTTAAAAGAAAAGATCTGCTTAAGAAATCATTATCTCAGCCTTTAGATCAATGAAGAATTGTAATTGATACTTTTATTGTTTTAAAACCTTTTGGGGCACTTGGATGAGGTGTAATTGTAATCAAGCTAGTCTCACTAGAAATTTTGATAACTAAAATATTGGACAAAATCCATGCCATCTCTACTTTCAAAAAAATTCTGTTCATCTGGATTCTTATCCATGTAGGAATTAAGGACAATAATAGAAGAGACAAAAGTGCTAAACAGGCATTAAGACTAGTTACTGAAAACTACCAAATTCTATATACTGACCTAAAACCATTAAGAAATGCATACAAAATCACTGGCAGGAACAATGGAGCAGAAAAATGAAAAATAAACTAAATACAATCCTACCAACGTTTGTTGGTGGGGTTGGAGACAAAATCCCTGCCATTATGGAAAATCTCGAAGAGGACACTATAACATGACTACAAATAGACAAATTATGCACTCATTCTTACGGAAACATTGTGTACTACATACGGCAAAACATTTTCTAATTGTATGCATTGATCTCAAGACCAAAAGACACAAGTTCTTAACGCAAACAGCCTAAAAGAACTATTCAAAAAATATTAAATAGAATTATAACATTCCTGAAATCAGTTGAATTTTATCTGAAAATATATATATATATATATATATATATATATATATAAAAAAAAAGATTGTCCATTTTTCCCTAAATATAAAGTAAAATAAATTGGTTTTGGCATAAAAGAGTTGATATGCCATTAAAAATCCACTAGACTTTGATCAACCATATTGACTTTCATAACAGCCATGACATCTTCTTTTACCAGAAGATTGATGCTATACAATCTTCTAAAAAAGAAATGACTATTTTATAAAATTTTTTTTATTGCATGCTGAAAACAGTATTGCTTTCACAAGCTGTTGATCCAAACTTTGATTCCAGGAATATTGTCGTGGTTGACTTGTATCAAAAGGCTGATCCTTAACCAAAGAGAATCTGTTGCTTCTTAGTCTGGACCTTTTAAGAGTTGCATTTAAAGATTGGGTTAAGACTATTTCCCCCCACTTTTTTATTATTATTATTCTAGACTTTTTACAATCACCTACCTGAGTAGTTAGTTACTTGACCACCACAAATTTGGAAAGAGGATGTTTTATTTATTTTTTCGTTTGTGTTTATTCATGTCTTTTTAAGGAAAACAAAGAATTGTTTCTGTATTTGGGTTTTGTTTCTATTTTAATTTGTGTTTGATTTTCAGACTTTTGAAGAGACTGACAAATTCCACATGATTGGCACAATCTGCGGCTTGGCTATTTACAACTTTACCATTATTGTCTTACCATTCCCATTAGCATTGTTTAAAAAATTGCTGAACAGGTCAGTCATCCTTATTTTGTATGTATGTAAGTGTGTGGGCGTGTAGTGTTTGTATTTACTTTTAGTGTCATTTAGAACACTTCTTTGTCAAACTACCATGTGGAAGCTTTAAATTAAAAAAAAAACAAAAAAAACTCAGCTGAAGAATGTTGAGAAACAACTCATTACCATATATGCTGGAATACAAGGTGACTGAGCATATAAGACAACCCCCAAATTTTCAAGTTAAAATGTAGGTTTCGAGCCTATATTCACCGTACAAGATGTCCCCACCCATTTCAACTTGAAACATGCTTCATATTTTCTTTTAGTAATAGTTGGTGGGGCCATGATGGTGGGGGTGTCTTGTGATAGTTGGATTCTAATAATGCTAACCTGGATAATGCTAGTAACAAAATGAGAACTCACACCTTCCCACATGCTGACAAGAACTGGTTTATATGGTAAACTGTTTATCAGTCTGTTCATTGAATTATCACTATAAACATCTTTTTCCTGAACGCTCTCTGGCAAAATGCTTTCAATGCACCCAAGGCTAGCAGTTGCTTTGTTTACAGGGTGTGACAATGGTTTCAGATTTCTCTCTTGGTGTATATGCATTTTGTCATCATGCAGTCATACCACATATTAAATAAAGTAAGAGTACTTTTATTACTTTATTATAATAATGTGAATTAAGTTGTCTCAGTAGAAAATATTTCTGTCAATACTTACCAAGGCAGGGGTTAGTCTTTTGTCAAAAATCTTCTATGCTAACAACTTAAAATAAACCACAGGATTTAAGGTTCACATTTTATACCTGGAGTATAAGACCGCCTCTTATTTTGGGGGGAAATTTTTAAGGTTAAAATGTCACCTTGTATGCAGACATATAGGGTATATCAAAAACATTTAAAATCTATATGTATTCCAAAAGCCTTTTGATTTTCTTATAGTATTTATTTGCTTAACAATTAAATGCTTTTTATTCTGTTGGTTCCTGAAGTTGGGGTGGGGATTAGATACTACAAAGTGAGTGAAAAATTAAAGGTGAATTGTTTTGGCTGGGAGGAATGGATGATAGAGCAAATGTATTTTATTAGACATGATTATTTTTTTTAAAGAAAACCTAAGCCCAGCATGTAAGAAAATAAAACATGAAACACACAAATGATAGCAGTTGTAAATTTTAGCTTACCAAAAAGAAATATCACTTCAATAAGGCATTAAATAATTTTTGTCTTATTGAGCTTCCCGTATCTGTCTAACAGTTTAAGACCTCTAATCAACCATTGTGTAGTATTTTGTCAAAACTTGATAGGAGAAATGATGAGGGAGACTGAAAAACCAGAGTGAACATGAGCCAATGTCTTGGTCGAAATTCAATATCTAATCCTGTTTTCCTGCTGTTACCCACTAAAAAAGTGGACACTGAGGTCAACACCAAATGGCAACAGTCTGTTTTATGCTTGAACACAACCTTTACCTGAATACATTTAAACATGAAACAGACTGCTGATGTTGATCTCAGAGCTTATGTAAATATAAATGTAGACACTATCTCTGATATTGAGTACTTTTACACTTAAATATAGCATACCTTAAAACTATATTTTTATCATATATATATATATATATATACACACAATACAATCCTTAAAACTATACACGTTTAATAATTATTAGGTTGGTCAGAATGTCCTGACTCACTTAGGAAATGAAAAGAAAATTTTAAGGAGCAACAGCTTTTATTCTTCAAAATAAAGTCCATCATTCTCGACAATCTTCTGCCGGCAATCAATCAGCATCCAAATCTGTCCCAGATACCAATCTACTGACTTTGAATAAAAAAACTGTAAACAAGCTTAATTCACTTCATCAAAAGTACCGAATTGTTGGTTGTGGAGGAAGTGTGCCATTGATCAGAATAGGACATAGTCACTTGGTGCAGAATCTCGACCTAGCAGTGTATGGGCTTGCATTTTCTTGCTGAAACAAAGCCTGATCTCGATTGGCCAAACAGGATACTCCTTCTTTAGTTTGTCATACACATGGCCTAGCTGCTGGCAATACAGTTTAGCATTGATGGTGTGACTGTGTGGAACAAACTTGAAATGCAGTACTCCTTGGAAATTCCACCAGACGGAGATTATGACCTTTTTGTCAAACCAATTCTAGTGTGGAACAGATATCAGTTATTCACCTTGTGGAATCCATTTCCTCTCCTGGTTGTGATTAACCAAGTACACCCACTTCTCATCTGATGTGACAATGAGTAAGGATGTTCTGGCTAACAAACTAATGTTACTCCACAAAAATTTGTTTCCTTTCTGCTTCCTAAGTGAGTCAGGATTTTCTGGTCAATTAGTAATTTAAATGATGATGATGATAATAAAACAAAACTATTTAAAAAAAAAAAATAAAAAAAAATATGGATAAGTAAATGTTTGTTAACCTGCAATATCTTGGGTAGGTTTGATTAAACAAATCCATCTAAATTTTTTCTTTAACTTTAATGATAATGCCTAGAATAAGACAACCGATACAGAAAGTAAGCAGGTGCTAAAATTTCCATAGTTCTTTTAGCCATATTAATTTCAGTTGTGCCTAGATGATAGAAAATGTACATTTTGATCCCCTTTGATGGAAGGATTTATAATAACCCCACAACTAGTGACTGTTAGTCTTTGTGAAAGAGAGGGAAAATTATTCATTAGTTTATGAATCAATGAATATCAAACAATTTGTTTAAGTAAATCTTGGCATTCATCTTATGTTTTGTTCTTAATGAAGACTATTTGCTTTTTCTTTTGGATGTTATAGATTTAGCCCTAAACAGTATGTATAATTGGTGTATGATAATAATATTGCCTGTCCTTTTACATAAGCATTGTACACACAAAAGAAAATGGCAGAATTACTCCAATGTGGATTAGCACTTCTGATCAAAGTCTTAGTCTCTGTTTAAGATCAAAATTTTGTCCCGTGAGGTACTTTATCAAGGCAAATTTTAAAGATTTTATTTTGTGATAAATATTTATATACAAGAGCAAAATTTCAAAATGTTTGGTATGAAGGGGAGGTCATGACTATTCATCAGGTAAGATCATGGGCATGAGGTGATACAGTTCAATGCTAAATAAACAAAAATGAGAAGGAGGTTTTTTTATATATATATATATATATATATATATATATATATATAATAATTAGTATTTAAATTATTTTGAATTGGGAATGATTTATGTGTTGTGTTTTGAATAACATGAGGTTATGGATTTAACTGTTTTACTTTATATACATACATTTTATATAATTTCACTCCAAGCAAGGTAATAAAGGTGCAAGGGGTTACTACTGAGTGTTAGGGAATATGAGAAAAACTACTATTAAGGAGAGAGGACTTTATAATGAAGAGGTGCAGAGATGTTCTTGACTGGACCTACTTTTTGAAATTATGATTTGTATGACCAAACATTAGAATAGAATGCTGATTGTGTGTGGAGATTGGGAGAGAAATTTTCAGCACTCCATGTCTGTTAGATATAAAAAATGGGTGCTGAGTTTAAAGTATTGGCTCTGTCTGAAGAGTGTTACATTATCTGTGTTGTGTATTGTGCATATATTTGTATGTTTCTTGATCATTTACAGTGTATTTGTTTTTAAGAACAGTAAAAATTTGTTTTTGTGTCTGCATTTTGAGATAAGTTCTGATTTAGTAATTTGTGTTGTTCTGGGTAGATGATTAAAGCTATTTTCTCCTCCAAAGTTTAGTTTTTGGATTTATTGTTGTAGGCTGATGCTGTTTTCCATGATATTGTTTGTAGTTTCTTTTTAACTTCCCATATATGTTTAGAAAGGGCTGTGCCATCTGCATATTTACTATTGGTAAAGCATGATTTGTGGGTGTAATTTCTGTTTCCAGAGTCTTTCAGTTATTCCTTTGTATATTTTTCTTATCTGCTGTTTTTACAGTGGCTTGGTATATTGCAAGCAAAGCAGTGGCTTAGTATATTATAATGCAATTTATTTAACCTATACCTGGAAATAGAAGAGATGGATTCATTTCCCAAGTGTATTTTCGCGTAAGTGAATGTAACAAAGTAAACCTGAAGTGGAACTTTGCTCTCCAATTTTTCATTTTCAGTATCCATTACACCACCCACACATAAGCAGTTAATGGATTTAGTTCAATATAACCTTATTTCTTACTTGCTAAATATAACATTTATAGTAATGTGTTTGAGTTGACATTAACCTTTATCACTCTGTATGCGATTTCATTTGCTGTACAAAAAGTTTATCTTACCACTGAATGTTTTTGAATTTCATAGTTGTGTTGTCATATCCTGCTACGGCAACAGAAAACACCTTTGAGTGAAATTAATAATATGGTTACTTCAATTGACAAAGAATGCAGTGTGCTAAAGGTTAATATCACTATTTAAAAAGAAAAACAAACCTGAATATTGTACCCACTAAATATGTTTATAGTAACAGAAATAAATAAACCAAAAAAATTGCTGATTTCTCTCACTCACTAGGATTTAAAACCACTTTTTCAGTTTTGTAATTATAAAAGTGTTATTTTTCTCTATTTTTTATTTTTTTTTTTTTCCTTATTTCAGATTTGATCTTTGGCTCTTCCTGTTGACTGTCAACAGGCCTTAACTTTCTTTTTAGTTCATATTTTTTTTTCTTCCTTCTCATTGACCTTTTTAATTTCTTTTTATTTCTCCGGCTATATAATATTATTTACTACATTATCCTTTTAGTCTATGATGACATAAGAATAGTTCTAGAATTTGTTTATATTTCAAATCCCCGTGATTGATCCTCATCTTTGACCATTGATCTTCATGTAGTATTTTAATTTTACAACCTAACCTAATCTGCAGCTTAGATTTAAATTCACTATTTTTGTTATTACCTACTCTACAACAGATACTACATCATGCTCTCGTCTGGTTTTTTAAATCATCATCATCATAAAAACACATTTGGTTCTGCAAACAAGACAACTACACCAGCTCATTTCAACCTTTTCAAGTAAAGTATAAAACAAACCTGCCTTTGCTGCTATTAACAACTCTTCCTTTTATGCAAGTATAATTATTTTATAGCCACTTGCTTGATCAGAAATATTTAAACATTAAAAAGACAAGTCCTAAAGTAATTACATTAATAATCACTGCAAACTTCATCTGCATAGAACATCTTGCATTTGTTATCTTCATATATTCCAACATTAATTTACATTCAAACTATTGTCCTTGTCTTCATTGATATTATCACAGCGTATCTTCTTATTTAGTACTGCTCGGTTATTGCTTGCCCCCCTTTCCTACTGAGTACTACCTAGTCCAAGGATTGAACTCAAAATTACTATGGTTTGTGAATTTGATGACAAAAATTTTTGTTCAATCTCTGGGCTGTGTAGTACAGTTTCAGTGGAAGCAAGGCAGTTTGAAATTTCCTGTAGGTTACTTGGATTGGCAAGCACCTGATGAAGGCCAGAGGTCACAACAGCTGAAACATTGTGATAATAGCAACAAAGATGAAGACAATAATCCAAATGTAAATAATAAAGTCCTCATCCCAGAAATTCAGATAAAAATGTATATCAACAATTTTTTTTAATTGGCTTATGTAAAATATTAAATATGTTGCAAATGAAGATAAGTGATTTTGATCTTTTACACAGAGGTTTTTTTTAAAATGTTCCTTATTAAATTTTTTTTCTTTAACATACATTTAAACAAAGTTTATTTCTTATTTGTGCCCTAAAAAAATATTGAAATATGTTAACATTTTTTTTTCTTTTTTAGCTACCCTGTTGTGTTGAGCTGCATGCACGATTGTATTGAAGGGGATGTGAGTGTGTAAGAAATTGAGAATCTATAGTAGTAGTACCCCCACTCCAAATCTCCACTTCTTATTACATATGCCATAAATCTGTATTCTGTTTATCTTGTAGACCTGTTGTACTTGAAGACCTCAAAGAACTGATGCCATCTGTTGGAAGGTAGGATCCTTTTTCGTCAAACACAAAAAAAGTTTTATTATCTCCCTGCCCCATGCTTTGTTCTTCTAAATTAAGCATTTTTATTTAGAATAATAAATGATTTTTCTTTTAAAAGTAAAAAAAAAAAAAACTTTTGGCAAAGTTTAGCAGGCAAAAGAAGTAGTTTGCCAAAAAGATGTTTTTTCTCTTGATACTACAGTAATTTTTATTGTTTTAAAAGTTGTTCTTAGAATTTAATAAAACCATAACATATGAAACTATATATATATATATATATATATATATATATATATATATATAGTTTGACAGGAATTGGCACAAAATTATTAAACACTTATTCAATTGTTTATTTACAAGATTATAAAAAAGATGCAAGTACAATAACAATATTTTTTTTATAATATAGAATTTACAAGATTATATATTATTTACTACATTATTAGTAAAAACTTTTTTAAAACTCATTACAAAACGTCTATAAAAGAAGAAAATTGAAATAAACACAACTAATTATTTTTATGGTTAATTACAAATCTTGCATGTAACAAAATGAGTTAAACCCATTTAAGAATTCTTGAGAAAAAAAAATGTATAAATTTAGTTTCATGTTATAGCTTTATTAAAATTCTAAATATATAGCTTTTTAAAACAAAAACTATTGAGGGAGTATATGTGCGTCAAGAGAAAAACCTCATTGGGACATTTTTTTTGCCTTCTATGTTAAACTTTGCTGATTCTGCTTTGGGATTACATATTTATTTTTTACATTTCATTTGCTCTGTATTGCAACTGTTCAATGATTTTATGGTCATCTAATAATAAATTCAAGCTAACATTAAATATGGCAGCAAATCCATGCATTTGGGTGTTGGGACAAATGAAAGCATTATGATCAGACTTTAGAATATGTAAAGCTTTGTGACCTAATCAATGGGATAGCTGTCACCTTAAGATGTGCTCTTTGAAGGAAAAGGGATACAAGTTAAAAGAATAAACCTTTAGTAATATGTGGGCAGCCATAGAATGATTGTTTTTTTTTTCCTTCAAGAGCAAACTAATTGATAAGGCTTCATCAAATAAATTCAAGTGTCTTTGGTTTGTTTTATTTATATTTTTAGAGTAATATTAGGAACTGCCAGACATTGCAATTCCTTGATTTTCAATATATATATATATATATAGCACATAGACTCAGAAGGATATGTTCCAACAATGAAGGATTAAATAAACACATTGAAAATCTGGAGCATCAATTCACAACAGGTGGCTATAAACAACACCTGATCAAGGAACAAATAAATAAAGCAATTTCCACACCTAGAGAAGACACCCTAATGTACAAGATTAAAAATAAACCTAGTCGAATTCCTCTAGTAACCACTTTCAACCTCACTCTGTCTCCACTATCCCAAATATTCAAAAGTTGCTGGGAAATAATACATCTCAAACCAGACCTAAAAAAAATTGTTTAAGGAACCCGGTCTTCTAGCATATCTTAGACCTAAGAACCTAAAAGAAATCATAGGTAGTAACCACATTTCAGGGTACAAGGTAATCCGTAATAAACTAACAACAAAAACAAGATTTTCCCAACCATATTAAACATAAATTCATTCACTCGCTCAGTCACTAAATCTACTTTCAAAATCTACCACGATTCTAACTGTAGAAGTCATAACCTAATTTACCTTCTAGAATGCACACTATGCCAGAAACAATATGTAGGAAAATCTGAATGGCCCTTTCACTACAGAATTAATAATTATCACAATCGAATTAAGTTGACTCCCCATGAAAAATTATTACCAGTAGAACAACATTTCCGCTTAGAAAACATGATTTCAAAACCCATGCCAAATTCACTATAATTGAGAGAATAGAAAAGTTCAGAGCAGATAACATTAGAAAGATTTTAGTTCCATGAAAATAAGTGGATACAACGTCTAAAAACACACTATCCAGCCAGGCTAAACCATAAATTTAACAATATAGATAGTACTAATATATAACTCAACAAATCAAAACCTACCCACATTTCTCACTCACACAAGATAGACATGCTTACGGAGGTGTTGAGTTCGTCACTTATACACACACCCACACAAACATACACACATCGTACTCGCTCACTCCCTAATGAGCCAAATGATAACACACACCCACAGCAATATACACGCTTACACATATCATACTCACTCACTCCCTAAGAACCAAATAACACACACACACACACACACTAAACAGAGACACATCCCCTCTCCAAGACCAATAAAACTGTCAAACTGACCAGGGGAATTCAGAGCAGCATGGATCCATCCAGCTCTTATCTCAAATAACAACTTAAGAGACTGTTTGACCAACACAAGGAATGTTAAAAGATAAAAATAACAAATGAAAACTAGACAAAAGTTCTTTTTCTCCATCAAGACATTCATTTCTGTAGTTTACTGCTACCAGCAAGCAGAAATATTTCTTCTCCTGATGATGGCCATGTTGGCCAAAACTAGTCGAAGAATCTAAATGAAATAATAATAAAAATGAAAGAATATTAATCTACAACCCAGTGTGTCTGAAGATTTTAATATTTTTTTTATGCTTCTTTACTCTGTTGTAATAACAGTAAATTGTATGATTTTGTATTTATAGAATTGATTGAGTGTAGATTAATGGGAGAAAACATCCACTTGCATAAAAATAAGACAACTCTAGCCTTTTAGTGTGTAAACTTGTTTGATTTCCTGCCTTTTGTTTTGAAATGAGACTAAATTTGATCTTTTAAGCCTTGTAATGTTTCAAGGGACATAAACCTAAACTTTATTGATTATTGTGCAGAAAATGACTGTTTATTTTCAGGTTTAGTGAATAGCAGCTTTTTATTTCTGCAAAAGAAAATTGAGCTTATTTATGTCTTTTAATGATTTTATGTTCTCTTTCCGTATTTTTTTTTGTATATCTTTTTATTCATTTTCTATTTCAGGAGTATTGAACAGATTTTGGAATATGATGGAGATGATTTTGAAGAAGTTTTTGATTTGACATTTGAGGTGAGTGAATTTGCTTGTTAATAAAATCACCCAAGATACAAATGTCAACAGACTGAAGGATAACTTAGGGTGTTTGCTGAAAATTTGTTCTCGTGAGAGATTTAATAGCTTATAATTCAGTGTTGTCATTTGGGCTTTGGAAAAAATGGTTTTAATTATACAAATACATAATATGTAACATCTAATAAATAATAAGTCGGAAGTTGTATAAAATAGGGTGTCTGAATATTTTTTTTCTCTGATTTGTTGTCAGACAAAAAGTAGCCAAAGTGTCATGATTTAAATAGTTTTCTAATTTTTTTTAATTTAAATTATATATATAAAAAACAAAGAAATGTTCCTTTTGTTTAATAGAAACAAGCTTAGTGGTTTATTGCCTCACCTTGGAATTTTTCAACTCCTCAGTTTGTAAATTTTTATTTTGAATTTCTGCTCCCCCCACTTTTTTTTTTTAAGGTGTCTGTGGAAAGTTATGGGAAAGCTAAAAGTATTGAATTGGTTACTGATGGTTCAAAAAAATCTGTCACAAAGGAAAATAGGTAAGAACTTTTTTTGGTTTGATCTGATATTTAGAAAATAATTTCAGCTTAATTATCCTCAGTGATCTTGGACAAAAATGTGTTTTATAGCATATAAAATTTGCATTAAATTTAATGTGAAATATGTTGGAAAAATAAAATTAAGTAAAATAGTTTGTTCTAGATGATGCTGGAAAGATTGGGCAACTCCTAAGCCTGGCTGTCACTGCCCCCCCCCGTTTTGTAGGGATGAGTTGCTTGATGTCTTCATTTATGCTATATGCAGCGAAAGTAGAGACTCAAAAGCATGTCTTTTTATGCTTTAATAATTTCTAAATCTTTTTTTCTTTGTTATTAGTCACTTTTTCTTTTTTTTGATTATTTTCATGCATAAAATTAATAAAAAGGCTTTTTAAGTTCTTTTAAAACTTATTTGGATGAAAATTTGGTAGAATTCTTAATATTTATATTGTTTTTCCTTTTGCAAATATAATAATTAAAACACCAAAATACTTTCTTTTCAGGAAAGAATTTGCTGAGGCTTATGTGGATTATATTTTTAACAAATCAGTGGAAGAAGTTTTTCAAGCATTTAGTGCAGGTTTTGTACGAGTTTGTGGTGGCCGAGCTTTGGTAAGTCACTTGCAGAATTCACCCCATTATTTATAGTCTTGGATCAAATATACCTAAGTTTGGTGTGCGACTTAAGTTTCATTGGTTACCCATCTCGTCGGGCACAAGATATAACTTATTTAAAAAAGTATACAGATGTTCATGGGAAGGACATTGATTCATAGAGTACTAAAGCAATAAAAACGATGGACACTGTTCGTAAAAATAGTTTGACTGGTTAAAGGGAGGTAATCAGTGTATAACCTAAAATAATGGCAATAATGGTTGTTTACATGAAAAATTATTCATCCTAAAAAATAATAATTCAAATCTGCTCAATAAACGGAATGTTTTATGTCTAGTTGTATGCATAGAAAGATTTCGAATTTTAATTTTCTGCTCGCCATTATTTTAGGTTATACACTGATTACCTCCTTTTAACCAGTCAAACGATTTTTACGAACAGTATCCATTGTTCAAATTTTAAGCATACTTCAATTCCTTTTTTTTTTTTTTTTTTTTTTTGACTCATACCCTCACCTCATTTCCTGCACTTAAACCCCAGTATTGCTTTAGTACTATTTTTGTATTATGAATCGGTGTCCTTCCCATGAGCATCTGTATGCTTTTTATAAATAAATCATAAGCTATATCTTGTGCCCAACGAAACTTAAAGATGCATGTCCAATGAATACCTAATCTCCTCTGTGCTAACAGGATGCATTACTCAATCACAGTAGAGGGGAGAGGGAGAACGTCTCTTATGTAGAAAATTAAAAAAATAAACTATTTAAATACTTTATCCAAGTTGTTGATTTGGAACTTGTCAAGACCTCTATTATCAAAGGGTGCTGCTGATAAATTTAACTTTGTCATACTAGAATTATATAAGTTCTTAGCACAACCAAGAAGGATGTCTATTTTAGAGATTATTAAATTCCTATAAAAAAAAAAAAATATATATCTAATGTATTTCTCTTCTTAGACAATATTTTGTATGTGATGTAATTGCCAGCCTTTTAGTTTTCTGTTTTCTTCTTAGGAATTGTTTCATCCACGAGAACTGCAAGCTATGGTTATTGGCAATGATCAATATGATTTCTTGGAACTGGAAAAGGTTGGTTAAAAAAAAAATTATTAACAAGGTTTATACACTTCAATTTCATTCAAATTTCAACCTGAAATAATATTTTGGTATTATTTTATATATTCACTTATTTCTATTTTCAGAACACTACTTACAAAGATGAATATCATCGTTACCATACAACAATCAAGTTCTTTTGGGAAGTCTTCTTAGATTTATCTTTAGAAGAAAAGAAAAAATTTCTCTGTGAGTAAAAGTTTTTTTTTTTTTTTTTTTTTAAATTGGATGTTTTTTCTATTTGCCTCTTTCATTTTTCTTTGAATTTCAATTAAATCAATTATTTAACTGTTTTTCAGTGTTTTTAACTGGAAGTGACCGAATCCCCATCACAGGGATGGGATCTGTTAAGGTTTGTAGCAATTTCTTTTGCATTTGTCCCATCTATTTGAGATGTAGCTGAACATGGCTAGTTGCAGATTCTTTTGTTCCACTTACTTTCTTTAAAGCTGGTTGTTATTAATGCCTTTTTCAAGACTTTTTATATTATTAGATTACAGCATTTTTTTTTTTTTTTTTTAATATTCTTAAAATTCTATATTGGTGTTTTTGATTTGTTTCAGTTGATCATCCAACCAACCAAAGGTGGAGAAGAATATCTGCCTGTTGCCCACACCTGTTTCAACATCTTGGATCTGCCCAAATATAACTCCAAGGAGAAACTACATGAAAAATTGGTGCTGGCAATCAATCAAACAGAAGGTTTTGGCTTAGTGTGAGCTTGCCTGACCCATTGTATCTATTCCTACTACCCCCCCCCCCCTCACAAAGTTAGCAACATTGTGTGCAGCTCTTTTTTTTTTTTTTTTCCCAAGATATTATCTTGAAATGAAATAAATCAATGACAAAGTGTTGGATTTGTTTTAGCTTTGCCCATCCACTTTCTGATGAGTTTTGCTAAATTGAGATCAAATAGTTTTCCTAAAGAGAGTGTGGGGGGGGGACTTTAATGTAGCTTTGCATTGTTGGATTTTAGTGATTATGCCTCAGTTATAATTTCAAAAAAAAAAAACACAAACTTTTTATTTAGACTGCTTAAGTTGTTGCTTGTAAATTGCTATTTTTATCTTGTTTCAAAGTTCAAAAGCTTTCATAATACAGAGATTCTGAACATTTGAGACAAGCAATGAATGTTTTTTTACCTTTTTTTTGACAATATATTTTAAATTACTTTATGTATAATTTGTACAGTAAATCAATCCATACTTATTTGACAGTTTAAGAATTCTACTAAAGTGTATTAAAGGAAATTGATTGGAAAATAAAGCATTATTTCCTTAATTGATTGGAAAATAAAGCATTATTTCCTTAAGTGTGGAGATTTCTTCCCGCTGTGATTTGAACCCTGACGCCCTCCCATATGTAAGAAACACCCAAATGTTTGGTAAGAAAATTTTATTATCTGCATGATAACCATCAACTTGGTATAGGGGCTGAGGCTGGATGACAGCAATCTGATGGGTCAGTGTCAGGAATGGACTGTTGGACTGAAAGGCTGAGGCCGTCGAATCCCTTTGGAGGAGTTGGCAGGAGCTGAGTACAAAGAAAGAAAACAAAGTGGGATATAGACAAACATCTTAACATATACAAAAATATATAACACCTTAATATCCCAAATAATTAAAATTATGTGAATTTTAAAACACTAACCCCATGAAGTGCTTACATCTTCTTCATGGAGCTCATCATCCTCTCGAATTTCTGCTTGAGATAAGGGCAAATGTTGGTGTATTGTATCAGTTATATGCGGTGGTTGGAGACCACTTCCACTGATTCCAAGAGTCACGGCCTGAGTTCCTGCAATATCAGAAGATATTATTGAGTATGGGGTGGGGGTAGGGATAAAGGATATCAAATTAGAGAAAAAGTACTAGGATCTCACCTATCACTGAATGTCCCCTGGTGCTGAAGCTTTGTTGCCAGGGTGGGGTTGATGAACGTCGAGACACCAGCAGTGGTGTATCGGACTGTAAATTGAAATGGATCTTTATTTACTCAAAAAAAAAAAAAAAAAAACATTTATTCATACATAGAAAAATAACTTCTGTCTAAATTTCTGGGATGAGAGTTATCCTTATTTATTTACATTTGGCTGTTGTGCCTACAGGGACTTCCAAACTGAACTGAAATAGTAGACTCTTCTCATTCCACTGCCCATGTCTAGGGATCTCTTGTCTAGTTTGTATTTTTAGTATTGCTCAGTTATTGCTTGCCCTGTTTCCACCTAGTCTAAGTACACACAATCCGGCCCAAGGAATGAACCCACAATTACTAGGTCACCAACCAACACTTTCATCCATGAGGTTACAAGGGCCAAAATGTTGTGTTACCAGCAACAAAGAATTGATGTAAATTTTAGCCTGATTCCTCAGGTGGGAACTCCAAAATTATTTGATTCCCTGCTGTAAGTGTTCCACAATTCGTACAAACATTTTATTAATTCATTATGACAAAAAAAAAAAATACAGGCACTTTTTAATCATTCACTATTCATGGTTCAGCCAGCTAAAATTTAATTCTCATGTTTCTATTTCATGGAAATCCATGAAACAGCAACATGAGCTATGTTGGTTGGTTTGTTTATTTTCTTTTATTGTTAAAGAAATTAATTCTAGTAGCAATATAGAAAATGGCTAAATATTACAAAGTCAGAAGGACATGAAGCTGTTAAAACCCTGTCTGTAAATGGCTTGACAAAAGCACAGGTACAGTTGGATTTCAAATGGAATGGTTAAAGTTTTTTTTTTTTTTTTTTCTTCTAATAATGAAAAGCTTTGTCAAAGAATGCTTGTTACACAAATTAAAAGGTGGGAGGATCTTCCAAAAATGCAGAAAGTAAAACAATAATGAATGTATATTCACCCTGGCTGTTGCATGTGTCGTGCTAGGCCGAGATTCAACAGAAAGAGCTGACCGCTCCCTCTGTAATAAGGTACTCCGCAGATCCTTGTCTCCCATAGCACTGCTTACACGACTACTAAAACCTCCGAAACGTCTCTAAAAGACAACAAAAACAAATCATCTTAAATAAAAATTAAGGATTTAACAAATAAAAGAAAAACTATACACTAATTTTAATTTGAAAATTGAAACTTTCATAAAAGTTGATTTGTTATTCTGGATGCATTGTATTATGTCATATGTGAAAAAAACAAAAAACAAACTAGAAATGACTAAAGATTTTAGTTCAGTAATTTATTAATGTAAGTTTTATTTATTTATTTATTTTTTTTTACCTTAAGAGCATTTTGGGGAAACCTTTACCCCCTGAACTAATTGGGGGAGGAAGATTTAAGGAACTTTTTTTTTTTTTTTTTTTTAGTACCAGATTTATTATTTTTCTACTTAGTTGAACATTTAACTCACTTGTAACTTTTTCTTCAATTGATAGGAAATTGGAAAAATTCAATTGCGGCCTTTTAGACAATGGTGTTTATTTCATAAGTTTTTAACGCTAAAAAATGACTTAATTGACAAGATTTTGCAAAAATTAATATTTTATGAATTTAACTTAAAGTTTAGTGAATGCAACAGACAAGGTTGGAATTTGAACTTTTGGTCTGCCACAATTTACTCTCATGGTAATGACTAATCTTGGTTTTATATTTCTTTAGGTAATTTGATGCAAAAAATATAAATTATATCCTAGAATGATAACAAGGCTACACTAGTGAAATTTGAACTTGCTACAAGAGTAAAATTGGTCTCTGAGCTGAGCTTGTACCTGTCTTATGTCAAAAGATGAGTGAGAAAGAAGTCTTTTTTGTGTTTATTGTTAATTTGAAAAATGTCTTTACCATAGGCAGTAATCGTGTAACTGGAGATTCAAAAGTCACATCAGGGTAAATGGGAGGCAGACATCCATTGCGATGACCAAAAGAGCCAGGGGGAGAAGACTGACATTCACTCCCTGCTGGCATTAGTTTGGTTACTTTCAAGACTTCTTCATCCTATTTATTAAAAAAAAGAAAGAAAATAATGACAAATACATTTCCAAGTTCTTATTCTAAAGAAACACTAAAATGAAGGGAATTATCAATTTTCGAAAACCATTTTTTTTTCTTCTTATATTTTGCCGGAGTTAATATTTCAAGGCTTATTCACAATTTTTGTTGGTTATTCAAACACAAGCAGATTTTCCAAAATTACCTTCATTTTCTTTTCTGTAAACAACTGGAACATTTTTCATGACCTCCCACCCCATTTTGTTAGATTTCAGCTTCAATTTAAAAAATACATAATTAATTAGTTGACAAAACCTAAGGATGGTATGTCGTCATCTAGAAACAAACACGTTAGCAATGCATTAAAATAAATTCATGCCTACAGGTCTTTTCTTTCAAGAAAATTCAAATTGTGTAGATGACCAGAAAAGACTACAAAAAAAAACACAAGTGAGAATGGATAGTCAAGATTTGTTTGTGAGAAATGCATCCATGTCTGATGCAAAGAGTAAACTCACCAACCTCTTGAAATTGTCTGCTTACTAATCCTTGTCTCATCATGACATCATCATTTTGCAATGACATAACCATAAAATTTTATTTTACATAAAGTTTAATCAACTGAAAGGTTAAATTAAGCACAAAATTAATCAGAGTTAATTAGGAGCCTCTAGTACTTTGCTAAAAAGTAGTAGAAGGGTAATAGGTTGATAGAAAGATCAAACGATTTGCCTGAGTTCTTAAAGACTGGAAGAGGATTTCCAACAAGCAAGAAACAAGGCATTTATTGTAAAGTTTAGAGAGAACAGGAGCCAGTGCAGGAGGCACATTTTTAAAGGACTATTGTAGAAATGTGATGAAGTCCACATGCTTTGTGAGGGTCCGGTTTAGAGATGATAGCGGAGGCTATAGACAGATTTATATGCATATCACTCAATAGAGACTCAGTTCTAAGTGGAAAGTCAGGCCAAAGGTACTCTGGATGAGTCAGGAGAAGAATATAAAGAGAATTTACGAACCAGACATTCTGCTTTATTTGTAGATGTTAACAGCTCAAATTAAGTGATGAGAGAAGGAATAGAAGACTTACTCTTTCTTATTTAACACACTATTACAATGCTGGCACATGTCATGAGAACCAAACTTGTCAGAGGCTATATGATGCCTCATCAGCAAACAAAGACTTTGCATCTTTGAGGAAATGTTTACACTTAATCCATTCATTATTTCTCTTTTCTGTAAGTTCTTTAAAAATCAATCGGGGAGGGTGGGGTCAGACTTTCAAACCGGATCCTTTTACATATAACAATATTCTGAGATGATAGTATTCACATTCTTTTTGACTGTCTACCTCCAATACAAAATTGATGAGATTTGACCATGAGCATGAAAACAGTTTGGTTCTCATCTGAGATATTTGTGCTCTCGTTGAAGGAAAAAGTCAGACTTGATACTCTTTTTAAAATGTTAGGATTCATTAGCTTAATCATGAAATCACAAAAAGTAATGGTTGTTCTCTATGATTAGATAGAATTAACTTTGCAACAATGATTATTGCATTTATCTTCCGATGGATGCTCTGAAAAAAATATATGCATTGTATAATTAGCAAACCACATTTGTAGGTTGATATAATTGAAGTAAAGAATGGTCTTCAGAAAATGTATTAATTCTTTTAATTTCAAGGACCATCTTGTCTTGGCTTGACTTCAGATCCTGTTGTCTTTCAGAAATTCTTAATTTGTTAGCACCAAGCTTTTTCCAGTTTCTCCGTGAAATTCATTCTGTTGCTTGATGCACTTCTTTATTTTTCAATTTCAAACCTTGATATTTTTTCTGAAGTTTGTTGTATTGCATCAATTCTTTTTCTGTTGAAATCTCTTATCTCGTATTTACTTATTCTTGTCTTAACTCCATTTTCTTTTCTCTCTCTTTGAAGAAGAATCATTTCTCTGCTTCTTTTGCAATCCTCTAAGGCCTTTCTCTTGCCACTGGTCTATTTTGTTCCATTCTTCCATCATAAAAAATCACTATAGATGGCAAAAAATAACTCTGAAGTTGTTAAAGTTAAATCAATTAAAAACTACAAATCCACACGTTCAATGCAACAGAAAAATGTAATTTCATTTTTTTCTAAATGTATTTTTAAGTAACAAAAAAGGAAAAAAACTTTTTAATATTTATATGTTTTGAAGAAGAGGAGAAAAGTGACAATTAAATAGGAATTTAATTTTAAATACTGTATGTGTGAATGCAAGATGAACTCTCTTATTTAAAAATGTCAAATTTTTCTTAAATTTCTGTAATTAATTTTTTTAGGCAAACATGATATGAAAGAAAAATATCTTATTTCTTATGCTAAAAAACTGAGGAGATAGAAAAATGCAATTTAAAATTTTCTTATATAATTATAGTTTTATGTAACAAAAGATGCAAAAAAAAAAAATTATTTTTCAACTTGTAAATCAGTAGTTAGTCAATTACTTTTTTTTTTAACTTATTCACCAACTAAATCACTGTTTAACTGACTTTTCAAACAAGAGCTAATTTTAGTCTAATCTTCATTGTTATCCAACCATTTATTTTTTTGTTAGCAATATTAATATATTTTACATGGAAAAGTTATCCCAGGAGGCTGATCAGAGAGACATACACAGAAATTTTTTATATATATATATGAATTGGTGGCAAGTTGTTCTAGATAAGCAAAAGCACAATTTACTTCTCCTTAAAGTTTATTAACTATCTGGCTCTGCTGAGCATTTCAAACACCAATTTCTTGTATTGGACAATTGTGACGTTGCCCCGTACTCGCCGCCGTCCTGTCCTGTGACGACCAATGTGACTTGGTATTGGTCACGGCACCAAATGTGACGTTCTAACCTTTTGCTGATTCGGATGGGAATCTGGTTAGATTCAGTATCAGCTTTGTCGTTCCCAGCTCGCCTCCAACGTCTGGTTACCGAAGTAACTGCTTTGATTTCTAGTCTAACCTACCACGTTGTGATTTGATCTTAGGTAGACAAAATCAATCAGTCGCCGGGCCACAATGCAAGCCGAGTCCGAGCAAAGGTAACACCACACAATTATATGTAAAAGAAAATAAAGTAACAACTCAAAAAGTTCAAATGTGTTAAAAAAAGAATAACAAATATTTTTATATCTGGTTGCTGAATACAGGACTGCGTCTTTCTCCCAACATGCTTCTATGGATTCATGACACTTTGTGTTTGTTAGGCGAGTCTTAATATCTTAAGTAGTTTTTCAATAACTGGTTTTTGGTGTCTTCAGGCGATATTCGCAAAACTTGTTTTGGTGGTGTGAGTCTAAGTCGTTCTTCAAAAATAAATTGTTTTTGGTTAGAAGTTGAAGTCAGAATGCGTGGATCTCCAGTCAGCTTTCTGTGAGGCAGGTCTCAGAGCTCACAGCTCAACTCGGTGTCTCTCTCTCCAACTGTGTTACTGCGACTCTGCTTATATGGACGCCGACCAAAACCGGGATGGGCTTGTCGGGGTTTGAGGTTCCTTGATAATTCTAAATCCACAATAAGGATTTTCTTTGTTTTCGGACAGGAAAATTTATTACTTTCCATTTTTGGAAGTCCATTACTTTCTACTTTAAGGGAATCGGCCTCCCAAATTCTTCCTTTCTCATATTGGTATCTCACATGTTTATCTTCGCCTACCGCTCACGCCACCATTCAGCCAATGAACGCTCAGCAGCGTGGGTGTTTGCAATTATCGCTCAAAGGAAAAAAAAAAATGATCTTCCTTTTTCTTCTTTCTTTCTCTTCCCCGAGCAGACCTCCTACGACTTGTAGTGTGGTCCCTAATCTCTATCTTGACAGAATGTCACCTGGACTTTATCAATCGAGATTTCCGACAGCGTCAAGTGGGTGGTTAACTGGACGCATTCGCATTCTGTCGCTAATTAACTATCCTGGTATCAAACTTTTATCATGGCCAGCTCTGACATAAAACAGATGTTTTTCCCAATAACAAAATGATATCGCCAAAGGATAGTTAATGGTTTATTCTTTTCCTTTCTCTTTTCCCTTCCTTTCCTTCTCTCCTTGGGGGTGGTCCAAACTGAAGCCATTTTCGGTCAGTGCGTGACCTGATTAAGATTATCTCTTAGCATTCTGTTTTGTAGGCCACTTGACCAATTTGAAATTTTCATTATTGCCATGGGCAGATTGCTATCTTCTTTCGCTGCGTCATAACATAAATTAATTCCACACATCTGATATCTTACGAATAATTATTTCGCTTTCTTATCGCCTTAATTATTTCAGCTTCTTCTCGCTTTAATTATTTCTCGCTTTTCATTTTCACGCGACCGCTAAATAGTGTCACACAATCATATACACACACACACACTATATATATAAATAAAATACAGTGCTCCCCGTCCCCCACAAAAATTGACATCATTTAAAATGTGAATATCTGAGTAACTACATGTCACAGGCAAAATAGGCTTCCTGGTAGATTCTCATTGAGATAAGTCCACACAGTCAACTTAGTTTGTACATATTTTGTTAAAATTTGGGATCATTTGATTGAGAATTGGCTTTGTTATAAGATTCCAAAATGATGTCAATTTTGGTGGGGATACCTTGTATATATGGCTAGCAAAATACAATTATAAAAAACAAACATTTTTGTCTCCTCTTAAACAGTCTGGATATTTACAGTGGCTCCTGAAATTTCCATCATCATTATGTAAGGCAATACACAAATTGAAAACTGATCATTTTTTGTCTTTCATGCATAGTAATGTGGGAATTGTATTACAAACAATATTTTTATACATATGAGTTGTCAATGTGCAAGTCTGAATATGGTAGACTCAGAGGTAGAGCATAGAAGTGAATGCCAGAAAGTTAAAAGGATTATAGGTGGTGAATCTCAGCCTTGCTGTTCTTTCCCCTCAAGTTGCAAAATTTAAGGATTTACTTGGATTTTAAGAAAGACAAAACCTCTTGTGTCTATTAAACTCTTAGAGATTAACTGCTTACCACACTGGGAGTTTTGGATCTGTCTTGTACATTGTGCAAAGGAGCCAATCGTAAAAGTTTGACGTGTCGATTGTATTTCACACTGGCCGGTCGGGAAGCTTTGAAACTTTGGGGGTGGGGATTGCTGCAGCCGCTACCCAGCTGTAATTGCCCTCCTTCAGAAATGTCACTGGAAAAAGAAAAAGAAAATTGAAATTTATTTTATATTGAAATGGAAAGAGAGAGAGAGAAGATTCATTTTGTTTTTAAATGCACGTGTAGTTTCACTTGCTGATTTTAGACTTTTGTGCAATGTCTAATTGCATTTATTTATACATAAACTGAAAAATATTATGAGTAATACTCTTGTCCTTGGAACTAACCATAATCCAGTTGTCACCTCCAACATTATCCATAAATCTAAACCCCCATCTCTAATACTTCTAATGACTAATCCCTAAGCCTAAACCAAACCATAATCCTAACATTAATTATAACACAAAAGCATAACATTCATCCTAACACTAATTTTGAATGTTAACCATAACACTAAATTTACTTTGACAAATGCTAAGTCTAACTCTATCCTCAACACTAATCCACCCTTAACTCACTCCTAATCATACATAAAGACTAATAGTTGCATACTAATGTGACACTATTTCTTACTGGTAAATAATAAACAAGGGTTAATGAATAGCCCAAATGATATACAGATAGAAGATTTTGATTCCCAAAAAGACCAAGAATCAAATGGCTGGCAGAGAGACATTCAACTACAACAGGTCATAGAGCAAGATCTGTTGACATTGGTTGATGACACACAGCTAAAAATATGGTCTATGAAAAGTGCAGAGAGAAAATCGAATAGGATTTAAAATCATAATTCAGAGATATGAATTCTCTTGCAGAGTGATCCCTGATTAACCCCAAAAGGTGTAGACAGCCAGCTAGGATTGTGTGTCAGTTTTGGAAAATGAAACACATGAATGGAAAGCTTTTATTTCTGCATAAATAATAAACTTAGAATTAATCTTTCTTTTGTCTTCGCCCTTTGACAGTCAACAACCCTTAACTGGAGAGTGGCCAAAGTGGTAGGCACAGATGAGATACCAAGGAAGGTGGAGGAGCTACCTACACCCAATGAGGAGCATTAGTGGGAGATGGCAATAAGAGGAAGAAGTTATGAGGCAGAGTAATACTTGTAACCATCACCTGTGGAAAAAGGGAGATATCCCAAAATTAAGAAGTAATTTAATTCTCAGGAACTAAAACAATGAAAGTGACAGGAGGAGAAAATATTGAATTCTCTAACTGCATCGGGCCCCACGCTGGTTTAGGCAAATGTCAATAAATATGAATGTCTTGAAGCATGAAAGCAGAGATTGTTACAGCCACCAGATGCGAGATATCCCATGTGATTATCTGCTGACAAGAACCTCCGACATCAGCCTTGTGTCAAACTTTACCAAGTCAGCAAAACGAACTTTACCAAATTAACAAAGTGTTATGTCTGACTTAGAAGTGGGTTAAGCCAATAAGTGTCTGCATGTGAATTTTTAGACTGTAAACCAACAGCTGTACAAATAACCTTATATAAAACTGGTATTTATTTTTTATTCAAGTGTCATTTTCTTTGTGTTTTCACCCTACCTGGACCAGCCCAATATAGGGATACCGACAATGATTCGATTTCAGCTGCCTTATGATTGATCAAAGCAAATCACAATGTGGGATAAAGCTGGACCTGGATTGAAGTGATCGCCCCCATCGATCAGCCATGGTATTGGATGTTTTGGATGACCGGGGAGGGTGTAGGCGACAATTGGTGCCATGACCAGGATTCGAACCTGGGTTACCACAGCCACAATGTAGGGCCCTAACAACTAGATGATCACGGCTGCCTTATGATCAAAGCAAGTCACAATGTAGGATAAGGTTGGACCTGGATCAAAGTGATTACCCCCTATTGATGTCTTGGACGACCGGGGAAGGCGTAGGATGACACTAATCTTAACCTAAATCTTACCTTAATCTTTAACCATTATTCCAAAAATTGACCCTACCTCTAACCTCATAGTAAACTTAATACTAACCATAACTCCATTCTAATCCTTACAATACTCTAATGCTTCTTAGCATATCTGAACCACTACACATGAAGCCTCAACCTAATATTAACCCCTGGTTCTAAATTTACCCTTAAACTTGTTGCAGTCACTGCATCTAGCTTAGTTAAAGGCAGTGTGGCAACCCAAATTTTCGCATGCAAATGAATAAATAAAGTAGCATTTCTTTTGCTTAAAATAGCAACAATGTATTTTCACAAAATTTACACTTTTGAGAAACAGTGAGTCTGTATGTCTGTGATAGAGTATACTTGTAAGTGCTTGGCAGTTATGAGTGTGTGTGAAAATGTTCAGTTACCCAGGGGGAAAAAAAGGAACTCTCTAGTGTGTACAAAGGCTCCTGTGTTGACTCTGCTACATCTTGGTACAAAAAAAGGGGAGGGAAGAGAAAGCTTGTGTTCTTTCTTTTATAGTCAAACAGTGCCACTTAATGGACATCTTGGCAAACCAAATGGGGATAATTACTGCACAGTAAAAGCTAACCAAACTCTAACACTAATCATGACCTCCCCATTTTGAATTGTCATATCAAAATTCATTTCCCCATTACTGACATTGTTGACATGATTTCAAACCCAGAGTTTTTGATTACATTCCGTCAGAAACACAAAGTAAATCTTTTCCAGATGACCGACATGTGTTAAGACTCAAGATTTCTGTAACTATTCTGGACAACCATCCATTAACAAACCAAATGCCTGTTGGTGTCAACAACATTCTGGATAATCGCTTGTCAATGGTATTATCCAGAGTTGCTGAAATCAATTTTGTTTTTGTTTTGCAGATAATATCTACACGTCTCCATGTCTAACCATTTTTGTACAGCTTTAGGTGTTTTAAATTCAGATTTGTTTTTCTTCTGGACTGATTGTCAACCACTGTCTGCTCAGCTATTTAACCCATAGATGGGGATTAAGTATTAGCAAGAATAAAAATTAACTTGTAGCAATATAAGAAATAATACCATTTGACAATTTGATTTTTTCTCCATAATTCTTACTATAAATCAAGTGATTAAGTTCATGATTTTCACTCAAATTCAGTGGAATGTAAGATTGTTCAGTTTTTTAAATCATGGTGACAATAGTTGTTATAAGATGACAAAAGTGGACATCGCTTGTTTGGTTCTTTGTAGAAATTACATTCTAAATTTTTTTTCTTAAAGAATTTTGGTGAAAAACTGCATAACAGATTTTGGCAGGATTTTATATTTTAGTTTCTTAATAAAATATTACTTAACACAATGAAAGGTGGTGAGTAACTTGTAGAATCCTCAGGAGACTGACAGCAATTGATAAACAGGGTTAAATGCTGAAAGGCTGGAGAATATTATAAATTTAGTGCTTTTGGTTTTCACCTGTAAAACATACTTGAGATGTTCATTTTATGTACCTTCTGCAATGAATAATAAAAAAAAATCAAAAAAAAAAAATCACCAAAATAAAAATCTCTTCCAAGAAAAAACAGAAATCACAATTAAAATTTTAATTCTCTTTGAACTAAATAAGTTACTAAGTCTGGAATAAAAGGGTAGGTTGGAATAAGCATGTAAACATGCAATAGAACTCTCATCTGATTTTCCACCAACTGGTGACAGTGACTGCCCTGTGTTGTGTCTCTATGCACACCAATACGAATGAGAATAAAAAAAAAAGGCCCACTGCAAGTTCACAAGCAAACTAAGGTTGAAAACAAATGAGAACATGAACCTTGTTTCCCATATATTTAGATATTTTGTTCAGGGCTTCACTTGCTTGGTTTGGGTGGATAGGTAAGAGTGACACTTGGGGTAACTTCTACCATGTTATTCTAACTACTCAGCTCTTCTCTCCTATCCATTCTCTGTCCAGCTACACATCACGATGTGTAGCTGGCAATACAAATGGACATCAGAAATACTCAAGGGACAGCATGTCCCCAGCCAAGGTCAAACAAGAACTGATGTTTTTTTATCCCAATAAAATTGTTAATATATATCAGCAACCAGAAATCATCAATGTCTGGCTTGTCGTTTGACTTCAAGAGCCCTCATCCACTCATTTATTCTTGTTTCCCTTTGGGTGGATGCTGCTTAGAAGGCCTGACTTCAAAGAATCCTTCCATTGGCCATAAAAGAGAAACACTTGAGATCAATATAAAATCAAACCTTTCTCTTCTACATGGGTGTCACAGGCAAAACGGGAAAAAGTGTGAAATAAATTAAATATCTGGTCTAGAACAACTTGGTAAATTGGGGGGAAAAAAAAAATTTAAATAGATGACCCATCTATTCCAGATGCAAGAGTATAGGTGAAATTTCATCTGAAAGTCATGCTTTATTTCTTCAAATAGGAAACAAATTACTTACTGTAAAATTGGCCCTGATCTTTCCACAATTTCCTTTGGTTTCACTGTGAGAATTCCATCAAGAGAATGTTGTTTGTGACAGGTTGATGAACCACTTAGAAAAGAGTGGTTCCGAACAGGCAGGCTGCTCTATTGAAGAGAATTAGACAAAACATGTCAGAAATTGGACAATAACAGGGAAAGGAAAAAGAAAGGAGACACACACACTAAAAAAAAAAAAAAAATACATTAACACGATAAAAGTCATCATTTCAAGATCAATATTTTGATTGATCTAGCTTGCAGCTTTCTTTAGGGATACCATCTATAAAGAGAGGGGAAAAAGGCTTCTCTCTAGAAAATGGCAACAGAAAAGAATAATTCCTGTCTGAATTTCTAGGGTGAGGAGTTATTATTTACACTATTTATATTTGGAATATTGTCTTCATCTTTTGAAGTTCTGACAACATTTTGGCCATTTGATTTCTGGCTTTCAAAAGGAGTATATCAATCAGAGTAACCTATAAGGAATTCTGAACTGAACCCTTTATTTAATCTACAGGCGTAGACTGTTCTCTTTACACTGATCGTGTCTAAGGATATCTCACCTAGTTCTTATTTTTTGTACTGTTCAGTTATTGCTTGCCCAGTTTCCACCAAGTACACACTGCCTGGACCAGGGATTGAACTCACCAAATTCATGATCCAACACTTTAATCCACTAGGCTATAATCCCGTAGGAAGAATAGTGGCAAATATCAGTGGCATAGATCATTCCCAACAACTCTTGTAACAAGTGACTCCATCTTTCTCCATTTTATTCAAGGATGCGTTTTAATTCTTTGTTCATTAAGCAAAGAAATTAACATTTTGATGAAATCTACACTCGTCTGATTTCTATATTTATCCATCAGATTAATGTATCCTTTAATTTTCTTATCCTCCAATGATATTAATCCTGAATGTCCTCCTAACTCATTCAGAGAGGAACTATAGCAATTGGGTGTATAGAAAATCAGCACATAGGTTTTTATTTGAATTCTAAACATCTTGTGTTAAGGGTTAATTTTGGGGGTAAAAGTTGTCAGCCTTGATCCCTGTAAAAAAAATATAAACAGTAATTTTTCAAGATAACACTCATCTAGTCATTATTGCTTCAAAGATCAGGAAGAAGCAGCTCTGGGTTACATCTACACAACCAAAGAAGAGTGGCCGGATTAATTGAAATGATTTATCGACAGTACAATGTTACAGTGCTTTTCAATTGCACAACTTCTCATAATTAACTTACTATAGTTGGTCACTTAAGAGAGAAGTGAATGACAAAAACTGCATATACAATGTCCGATACAAATGTGGAAAAGAATATAAAAGAGAAAGCAGCCATCCTCTGAAAGTCAAAACTCTTGCTATATAAGAAAGCCATACTGATATGGCAGACTATTTGGAATGAGTCAAATAATAAAGAATTTAGCTTCAAAATAGCCAAAGACCTGCCATGCCACATATCAGTTAGTTAAGTTCCATATGTAATACACGCTTGGGCGATCATGTATCTTTCGATACATGACTGACGAGGTATTTTTTCCCTGCAGTAGGTTGCTATTTCTTTCTGCGATGGACTGGTTGCCAACCAGATCTAAAGAACCCAGTCTGTCCTGCTATTCAACCCATAGCTGGTGAGGAGGAGAAGAGATGGATTCATACTTTTTCCCAAGGGCATTTGTGCATAAGTGAATCTAATGAACTAGACTGGAATTCAAACTCAGCTCTCCGAGTTCTCACTCCGAGCTGATATCCATTACCCCACAGTGCATATATACATGGACAAATTATCATCATTCACTTCATATTCCACTGGTAAGAAGAAGGCAGTTCCATTCAGACAGCTTCTTTCCAAGAAATGCTACTTTGTGGAACAAACTCCTGAGGGAATGCTTCCCTGATCACTACAACCTTAACCTCTTCAAGTCTTGAGTTAATTGTTATCTACTTTTCAAACCCATTTATTAACACTCTACCTTGAGTAACTCTTGGGCTTTGCATGGGTGAATGACAGTTACAAAAAAAGAACTGACTTCTAAGATGAATATAGTAAACTTTAAATTGACATTGGTCACTATTCCAATGAGACAAGAAACTAGTTCCGCTTAAGTGAATAAAAGAAATGTGATACCTTCTGGCAGATGCTGGCTGGTTCTCGTGATAGACTGTTTGTGTCTGTGTGGTAGGAAGGAAGTGGTACCAGAATAGATTTGACAACTGTTGGATAAAAAAGAAAGAAAGAATACAGGATACAAAATCAATTTGAACTCCTCTTTATTGCACTTACTGACATGTTTCATTTCAGTTTTCATCATTCAAACTATCTAAAATTGAATTATCAAATAACTTTGCATTAGAAAGTGGCATCACAGTGCATTCTAGCATCAATTTCTTTGGTCTGTACAAGGCTTTTTTGAAATGTGTTTTTAAAATACACAATGATGCAATGGCAGATGAAAGAGTTTAAATCATTCAAAGAAAAAAACCCAAAGAATATGCCATTTATATTTGTATTCACTTTCACATAAATACCATTGGGAAAGTCAAGAATACATTTCTTCTCATCCCACTTATGGGTTAAATAATAGGGTAGACCAAGCTCTGTAGCCATGGCTGGCATCTAATCTAGGAGAAGGACGAGTATGGATTTAAAACTGTAAAGAAGGATACCACTTTACTATCTTTCCCAAAGAAGTTCATAGGTAATAAAGAAAAGGAATCTATGGAGAGCCATGATTGTTTCCATCATGAGGGGGAGATAGTATTATAAAAAATATATTGTTATTTAAACTCAAATCTACTTTCACTTTATAAACATTTACTAGGTGCATCACTGGGCTACAATAGTTGATCATCTTGTGAAAATATCTACTAAGGCCAAATAAAGGAAAATTAAGTAGAGAAGATTGTGTTGAATCAATCTTCTACTTAATATGGTATGCGGTTGAAATAATGGGATACCTAGTGAGGATAGAAATTGCTACCCTAGTAATTAGTGTGTGAGATGAGCATGCTTACCTTGGTCTGGCATAGGATCACAATGAGACATTTGTGTGGGTTGAACTCACTATATTTGCAACCATTTGCAAAACCAGCTCTTCATCCATCACTCTCATTTTATATGTTCTTGGTCTTCTAAAAAGACCCTTACACTGTATAACAGATCCTTTAGCTCTGCTCTTGGCCGTGATAGTTATTATTTTCATTTCACCCCAAACAAGGTCACTAAGATGAAGTGAGGTTACTGAGAGTGAAGGAAACTGAGAAAACTTTATTGAAGAAAAAAGGTAAAAAAAGAACAGGATCTAAGGAGACAGAAAATGTCAATTGACATTGCATTTAAATTTTTGTTGATTGTAGTTGACATGAAAGCAAGAAGAGTTCTTCATCTGAGAAGTTCAAGAGAAGAAACTATTAGAATAGAGACTGGTTACATTTAGCAATGTCAGCAGTAAAATGATGAGACCTAACTGCCAATCTAGTATTGTGCTTAAATTTGTGAAGTTGAAGTACCAAATTGGAAAGCTCATCAGAACAACTGACATGAAAATATTTGTAAAAAAAAAAGCACAGGGAAACTGATTATAGCAGTAGGAAAGTGATTGAAGCTGAGATGCCAGGCCAATACAGATAACATTGTAAAATATTTCTCTCTAATGTCAGTCAGTATTCAAAAGCCTGGTTATCTGTTTGGGAATGTAGTCAACAAGATGTCTTGCAAGAAATTTCTGGATTACTGTTGGAAGACAATTCATAGATGGAATCCTGGATTGGATGATGAGATATTTTGCTAATATCATATCAGAAAAACATGCTCTCACCCCAAGTGATAAGAAGCCAGAGTTTTTAATGCAGGCAGCTCTTCCCTGCATTCTTCTTATTCCCAAACCATATTCTTCCCAGATTTCTTTCTTTTAGACTGATCCCAGACGATACTGAACCAATATTAATACAAGATGCTTGTAGTCTGTTCTTTTGTTACATTGAATTTGGTTTACTTCAAAATAAACTTTATTCTTACCTAACACATATTCATAGTACATATTAAGCAAACTCCTCATCCAAGTCAGAACCTGAAAAACACAAAAGAAAATTAAAGATGCACTGATTCTTAAAAGAATTTCAATCACTTGTGTGCCTTGGGAAAAGATTCATTTCAATTTTCTAGCCTAAATTCTGGAAAAAATATTATAAAAAATGTATAGCCACATTGCTTCTACTGATCTTACCAAGATATTTGGTAGCTTGTATGATTATTTACTAAGAACCTATTCCTTGTAACCAAATCGTTAGAACATTAACATTCTGACCATGAGATCTAGGTTCAAATCTCACCATGGTTGACTTGTTAAGGAGGTGACATTTTAATAATATCAACTCGGGGAGATATTCCCAGTATGTGGCGCCATTGGGAAATGCCTGAAAGCCATATCACAGGTGGACTGAAGCCTTGTAAGTGAAAATGATTAGATGAAACTGATAGAAAGTCATTGATGGTTGTGCTAGCACAAAATCTCAAGTCATCGTGACTGAAGGTTAGAGTGTACTGGTCCTATTCAGCACTCATTCTTAGAAACTGTAACTAAGGACTGTTTAGTATAGTTGCAGTATAAACCACTCGTTGGCTCTGTACCTTAGCAGGCATTTTCAAAAGGGATTAACTATAGTAGTCAGGCATGCTTGGAAGATGAGCAGCCAGCCATTACTTATGCCTCATGGAAATAATTTTTTTTTTTACTCTAATGGAAATATTAGGTAAGAAAGATCATTGAAAACACAAAGAAAGATTTATTCAAAATACAACAGCTGAAAATGAAGGAAAATATATTCTTTAACTTGCAAAACATTAACCGAGTCACACTCATCAGTACTGTATTTTCAACTCCTCAAGATTTACCAGTAACCTAAGTGCAATTCTTGCTTTCTATTAACACTGGAAGATCACCAAAGTAGCAATAAGCCTGCTTAATAATGTGTTGGGTGAAAACTTAGGAGGCATGTGTGCCAGACAAGATAATGCTTAATAAATAACTTCTACATTATTTACATTATTTGGACTATTGTCCTCATCTTTGTCGCCATATTTATTACAACGTTTTGGTCGTTGTATGCTCCAGCCTTCTTCAGGTAGTTGGAATGTCAAACTGAACCCTATATTTTGCTCACTGGGGTAGACTGCTCTAGTTCCACGTGCCATGTTTACATGTGAACTAGAACAGTCTACCCCAGTGAGCGAAATAAAGGGTTCAGTTCGACATTTCAACCACCTGAAAAAGGCCAGAGCGTACAACGGCTGAAATGTAATAACTATGGTGACAAAGATGAGGAAAATAGTCCGAATAATGTAAATAATGTACATAATACCTCATCTCAAAAATGTAGACAAATAACTTCTATTATTATTGGAATATTTACATTACTATTAGCAAAAACATTAAGCTCTATGAGTTACTAAAAGCACATTATATATACTAATTTTGTCCTGCAGTTGTGTTTACTCTGAGTGACTGTTAAAACAAGTGAATTTCTTGGTAGTTCCTAGTTCAATGGTTCTCAATATTTTTGCCCAATACCCCCACCTTTTCACCATAAGTAAGAATGTGATTCCCCCACTTTCCAAGATTATTGAACTCAAAATAATATGCATATATCATTAAAAATCTTCATTCTTTTTCATATTAGTACATATACATGGATTATTTTTTGATAAATTTAGTAGCAATAAAAAATGTTGATGGATTTTTAAACTTGAATGCATGTATAGTAAGTTGTTTTAATTAATTCATAACAAATTATTAAATAAACTGAAGCATATTTCAATAAATAAAAGGTTCAGGGTATTGTAATTCAATAAACAAAATTCTGTAAGGAAAAACAAAAGATTTCCTTCCTCCTGAAACCCAGAAATTCCTCCCTGGTTGAGAACCCCCTGTTATAATTTATTGGTTGTGCTTTATCCACCAACATTGCCAATGAATTTGGGGAATTATTTTGCTTATTTATTCTTCTCTACAAAATCACATACACATTTCAGTCTCTTGTGCATTGATTGATTTCTTTTTTTTGTTATGGCTTATTTGAAGGTTATTTAAAGCCAGAAAATATTTTCAGATTGTAAGAATATTTTGGACATAATTATGATTTACTAATACAAGTCATACTAATTAACCTATGGGTAGGGGGAGAAGAAGTGTGGATTCATACATTTCCTAAGGGTATTTGCATGTAAATGAATATAATGAACCCAACTGGAATTGGAACCTAGCTCTCCAATTTCCAATTCTGAACCATTATCCATTACAGCACCTGCACATCCAAGCTTAAAGCACCTGGTATTCCCAAGCAGTCACCCATCCAAGTACAGAGCAAGTTTGACATTGCTTAACTTCGGTGATTGGTGTTTCAATGTGATATGTTTGTAAACTTGTTTCATATACAAGATCTATAGTTATCACCTAGTAATAAAATACTGCCACAAAGCTTATGGTTAGATTTTAAGAAAATATCCTTCAGTTTGGCAGATCTGAAGTGAATCTTTGAAGTTTTTTTCATGGAGGAAAATAAAATGGATACATCAGTCGTTACAAAAGGTGATAAATTGGGAAGAAAAACAAAAAGAAGCCATTTTCTTTTATTGGCATCATAGTTCTTCTTAAGAAATCTTTTGATTGCTATTGTCTTGTGGGTATGTACAGTAAAATTTACCTCGGTCCATGTGTAATCAAAAGTCGCACTGGCAATACTGTCTCGGACACAAGCAAGAGGAGTAATGGGTGGATAACCAGTTCGGTGATGTTGCGATGAGCTAAGGCTTGGCCTCCAACGATCAGGAACATTGTCCATTCTGGAGAAGACACAAAGCAAAACTAGATTAGTTTGGAAAAAGGCAGAGAAAAAAAAAGGAATTAGTATTACTTTGAAATTGACTTTGAATCTCATTATTAACACTCAGTATTTGCCTTATGGAAGTAATTAAAAAAATGTTCTTCTGATTGTCAAAAGAGGTTTCATGTATTCATTTTAATTAAATGGGAATCAGTCTAAAAGTGATAGAGAACAGTCAGGTTGTGGCTTAAAAAAAACAAAACAACTGCCTTGGAATACATCAACATCTTTTAGTAAATTTTCTTTTTTTTAATAAATGTATGTAAAAAAAGAAATTGAACATAAAGAGAGAGAGAGAGAGAGAGATTACAGTTTCTATGAGCAAAAGAGATTAAAAGAGAAAGAGTGAGAGTGCAAATACTGTGAGCAAAAGAGAGTTTAGATACCATGACAAAAAGTGCAGTTCCAGTAAGCAAGAGAGAGAGAGAGAGTGCAGTTTCAGTAAGCAAGAGAGAGTGCAGTTTCAGTAAGCAAGAGAGAGTGCAGTTTCAGTAAGCAAGAGAGAGTGCAGTTTCAGTAAGCAAGAGAGAGTGCAGTTTCAGTAAGCAAGAGAGAGTGCAGTTTCAGTAAGCAAGAGAGAGAGAGAGAGAGAGAGTGCAGTTTCAGTAAGCAAGAGAGAGAGAGAGTGCAGTTTCTGTAAGCAGAGAGAGTGCAGTTTCAGTAAGCAAGGGAGAGTGCAGTTTCTGTAAGCAAGAGAGAGTGCAGTTTCAGTAAGCAAGAGAGAGTGCAGTTTCAGTAAGCAAGAGAGAGTGCAGTTTCTGTAAGCAAGAGAGAGTGCAGTTTCAGTAAGCAAGAGAGAGTGCAGTTTCTGTAAGCAAGAGAGAGTGCAGTTTCAGTAAGCAAGAGAGTGCAGTTTCTGTAAGCAAGAGAGAGTGCAGTTTCAGTAAGCAAGAGAGTGCAGTTTCTGTAAGCAAGAGAGAGTGCAATTCCCATAAGCGAGAGAGAGTGCAGATACTGTGAGCAAATGAGCCTGTGAGATTAAGAGCGAGAGTGTAGATACTATGAGCAAGAGAGAGGCAGTGCAGTTACCACAAGCAAGAGAGAGAAAGTGCAAATACTGTGAACAACAGAAATTGCTGTACTGGTTAATTTGGTGTGAAAAAAAGTGTTATATTGAATTCACATAGACCAGGTTTAAGATTTTTGATGTTACTCTCTGCTCCTGAAATGATGAGAGACTCCTCGTCGTTGCATCTATCATGATACAGCCTTACACCTCTGCTTCTTATCCCCACCTCATGTGAAAACAAATTCTTTACATCTCAAGAGAAAGCAGTTTTTGTTAGCATTTTAGCTTTGAGTGTCAAATCAGTTCAGTTTCAAAATGCAACAAGATTCTTTGATTAAAAGAATTATGCAATTCCATTCTGGTAACCTTTTCACCCTAAAATGCTTTGACAGATCTTTTTATTAGCAATTACCAAACACCAAGTTTCCAAAACTGGTTTAATTTTCTTGTCAAAGTGAAGAGACCAGTGTTTTTATATTGTTCATATTTTTACTTCAACTCCAACTAATCCCCCTCCTCGCCATAAACAAGAAGGTAATCCTGCATAAAACATTAATGATCTAAATTCCCATAAATAAGTTCTATTACTTTCTCTCTCTTTTTTTTTGTCTTTGCTATATTGTTTTTCGCTATATTTTTTTTTTCTATTTTGTTGATTTTTTTTTTTCAATTTTGCAATTATTTTATACCAATTATTTATCAATTATTTATTCATTTTATATAAAGATTTCAAGAAAAGTAAGCTTATAATTTGAATTTCAGAGGCAACGTATGGTTATCCTTTATTCCTGGAATTCCCAAATTGTATTGTTTATTTGAGGGTGGGGAATGAAAAATTCCTGGGAGTGGTGCAGAAAAGAGGGCAATAGAAAGGTGGTTAAAAAAAAAAAAAAAAAAAAAAAAAGGTGTGGTAAGGGGTGGCATTGGAATCAACTAATATTTTTATTTTATTTAACACTGAATTTAGTAGAGTGATATTTCAGTGCAGTCACCCAGCTTCTTTCCAAGCAAAGAAAGTGAATGAAAATTACTAAAATATAAGACTTCTTCACAGACGTCCATCCCATTAAAACTAAATTTACCCTTTTGCTAAAACGGCTAAAATTGGTTCGCTTGTCAGCAAACTTGGACTTTCATGCCCGCAAAAAATAAACTGTCAAAAGAACGGTTTTCCCTTGACACCACTATTATTTTAACTACCTTCACTCTTCAGCAATGTTTATTGTTTTATAAAGTGATGATTAGAATTGTAATAAAACTTAAACATATGATGAAAGTGAATTTATACATTTTTTGTTCTTGAGAATTTACAATAAAAATATTAATCATTATTAGATTGTTTATTTACAATAATTTTATATTTACGACATTCTAAAAACTAATACAATATTTATCATTTACCAATTTATAAAGGAATAAATATAAAAACAATTTTTTATTTATAAATTTCTAAACATTTACTAAATTATTAAAATATGTGAAGCAACTATAAGGAAATCTTTATTGTTTACTATTTTATAAAGTTTGAATCGATTGGTAATGTTTTGCCCACCATTTTAATAAACAATCTAATCAATAATGTTTATTATTTTTGTTGTCAATTCTCAAGAAGAAAGAAAATGCATAAAATCACTTTCATTATATTTTTATGTTTTATTACAATTCTAATCATTGCTTTTTAAAATAATAAACATGAGTGGAATAATAGCAGGTGTCAATGGGGAAAAAAATGTTCTTTTGTGGGGGGGGGGCATGAAGGTCCAAGTTTGGCCACTTGTCTTTTAGTGAAATACATGTATGTGTTTTATAGTGTGAGATTAGTCCTATTTTTTTTGTTTTTGGCTTTGCATTATACCTAATACCAACAAAGAGACTTCATATATGTGCGAGAGAGGGAGATAGAGATGCAATCTGGGAGCCAAGTGGGTGGCAGGTAGAAAGAATTTGAGAGCCATTGCATTATTGTCCTAATTTTAGAAGGGCCATTTTTACAACAGTGAAATTGCTGCATGTAATTTCTTCTCTTGTGTCAAGTTGCAGTGGACTGACCTGTCAGGATAGTCTACTGCAATTATTTCCTCAATGTAGCCATCCTGTTCAAAGATTTCTTCCTCTTCAAAAATCCCTGTCACACTTTCTTGGGAGGAACTGGAACAAGCCCCAAAGCTGCCTGCACTGTCAGGGGGCTTTATTCTTGTTACCTCAGCTGCCTTTCCAGTCACATTCAACCTGTTTGACAATGTCAAAGAAAACAAGAGTGAAATCAGAATTTATATTCACAACTGGCTTCTCCCAATCAAATTTAATTCAGTTTTAATGGAACAAAATTCTGGCTTTTAAGCTTACACAAAAACAAAATTCTAATTTTTTTCAAATTAATAACATTAAATGTAGAAAATGAAATGAAAATGAATTGGAGTTTGAATTTCAGATGAAGCTGTTGTATTAGCATTGAACTAATATTCTTAGGAATGGCATAAATCTATATATTATCCTCTCAGTCATGAGTATCCTGGGCTCTGTAACCTTGATAGGGCAATTAACCTTATCATAATCTAAGTGCTATACCCTTTCAGGAAGTTGGTGATCATGGCTCTTCACAATAATCTGTCTTTTGTAACTCTTAGTAAATTTTGACTTTTTGCTATCTCTCCTAATCCCTATTCTGCCAACCATTTACTTAAGCTCATTAGGTAGGTTATGCACAGTTTTCCTCTATCTCTCTTGTCTTCAATATGTTTTGTGAGTGTCAAATTTTCCAAGTCCTCTTTCCTCATTATGTGCTCTAGAAAATTGAAATGTCTCTTTTGGATGTTAAGTGTCTTTGTTTCTATTTTCTCTAAAACTGACAAAATTTTACTCATATGTTCTGTCCATAGTATTCTCAGTATCCTTCTGTAGAAGAACATTTCTGTTGCCTCAAGTCACTTCTCCATTTGTGGGAAGAATATCAAGTATTCACTGACATATAGTAGGACTGATATTTATTGAACAGTTCAGTACTCTTTGTTTCTAACAAAATTTTCTTATTTCTTAATACTTTATTTAGCTTTTGGAGGGCATCTTTCACTATACCAATATGCCTTTGAATTTTCGTGATGCACTTTCCATCTTCTGTTAAAACATTTCTTAGATATTTAAATTGTTGTACTTGTTTAATTTTGGTATCTCTAATTTGTAATGTGCATATTGGGCCGTTACCATTTTGTTTAGTGCTTTCCTTCACTACCTTTCATAGGAGTTCTTGTTGTTTCCTTTCTGCATCTGCTATCAACACTGTGTCATCTGCCATATCTTATATTTTTAAGATTGTTGCCACCAATAGTGAATCCTGGTAAGACTTCCAATTCTCTCAGAATTGACTCACTGTATAGCTTGAATAAATCTGAGAAGATGACATGCTTGTCTTATGCCTCTTTCTATTTTTGTATATTTTACTGAATTCATTTTCTATCCATATGCAGCCAGTTTACTGCCAATATAGGTTATGGATTATTTTAATATTCTTCCCAAATATATGAAGCTTACCTAGCAGTCCCAACAGTTCTTTGCACCATTACCAAATGCTTTTGCATAATCAATAAAACATAAGGATACATTTTTTTTTTACATTTGTATTGCTCTTTCTGATATTCTGTAAAAATCATAAAAAAATGTCATGGCAATTCACATATTAAAGAAAAGAAAAGATGTGGAAAGCCATAGATGCCTACATTTTGAATGGAAATGGTATTTTCTTTATATTTTGTAAAGAAAATTAAAAGTGATTTTCCAAGATAACTTAATATAGGTGGGATGAAGTCTAAGGGGTGATAACTCTTTGTTTTACATGAAGAAGCAGTTATATTAAGGCCATGAAAGCAAGTGTGGCAATGAAGGTGAGAAAACAGTTGAATTTATTCTTTTGCTTCTAAGTAATGAATATTAAAGGACACCATATGAAATTGATAAGCTAATACAGCCTCAGAAAAAAATCAAAATAATAAAAAAAAAACCCAAAAAACTGTCAAATTATTGCACACCCTAGCCTTTTGAATAAGAGTAGAAGTTTCTCACTTGTTTCCTGTTAAGGATTGGGTTTCCAATTCCTTCTAAATTCTACTACAATATACTTCTAATATCTCCACCTAAACCCTGAAATTTTATTTACTATTTATTTATTTTTTCCTCAATAGGAGTGAATAGTTTTACTGAATGCCTTGTTCACACTCCTCTCCAGTCTTTTGAACAGGAGTAGAGGTTTATTCCTTGTTTCCAGTTACTTCTAAAGTCTATTTCAGCTTTACACATTTGAAACTCTGAAATTTTATTTGTTATTAATTTTTTTCCTCAATAGGAGTAGAATTTGTTTGGATACCAATGTTTTTCAAGGTTATTTATAATTAAGATGAGCATAAAGAAAAAAAAGCAGTGACTAAAATAATTTTAGTAATTCCAAAATGGCTTCTTTAAGTATTTCTTCTTTGAATTTTGTTAGATGTTGGAATCATTGTATGTGGTTTTCTTTGGACAAATTTTCTTGTCTGTTGTGTTCCTGGAATTGTGTGAAAAACACAAAGATGAAGAAATTAGTCCGAAGAGAAATACATACAGTGATTACTTATATACTATTGTAGGATTGATAATTTTTGTGGCCAACTAATTTTTATTTGTGTGCATGTGTGTGTGTGTGTGTGTGTGTGTATATATATATATATATATATATATATACACATATATATATATATTCTTATCTTATGTATATAAGAATGTTCTCATTTAAATACACATAAAAATAACATTTTTTGATTATTTATGAAAGGGAACATACCAATAGTAGAATGTAATGTAATAAAAAAGATGAGAAATTGCAATCTATGAAGTAGAAACTGAAAATCATAGAATTCAAAAATGAGAATGAATTCCTTTTGAAAAACATGGAAAAGAACTGTAGAGCTTGGGAACATCCAACTTAAAGAAATACCCATTTTGAAAATCACACCAAAATGTGTGAAATAGTCTGTTAATGAGTAAATAATCAAAAAACATTATTTGTGTGTGTGTGTGTGTATATATATATATATATATATATATATATAATGTTTTGTTAGAGATGACTGACAAGATATTGCAATTAATCTTTTGATTTCATTTTTCTCATGTTTGTAAAAGTGCTTTTTTTTCTGGACATAAAGTGTGTAAAAACTCTCCAAAAGTTCTGCATTTCCAAGAGCTTTCAGCTATACTTTTAGATATTATCAAGAATGATTGTATTTTTACTTTTTAACTGAATGTATGGGTTGTGTTATGTATGTATCTAGAGTTATAGGAATGTTTTATTTTCCAAACATGGTCAGCACATTAGGGCTACGTTCATAGTTAATGTTATTCAGTGTTGGCTTTTTCTTTTTATTAGGGCTTCCATTATTTTTAATCTTTTTTTTTTTATATATATATATGGATGTGGTTATTATACTTGTATATTCTACTAGTATGTTTCAGATGGAGTCTAGTAAGTTTGTGTGTGTGTTCAAATGTGTTCTGAGAGAGTTGTGGTTGGATAGGTGTAATGTGTCTAGATAGGCATGAAATAGTGTGACTGATCTAATTATTTATGAGTTTGGTTTGATCAGGAATACAGTTCCTTAAGGGGCATTTGAACTCGTAAATAATATTGGTTCTTTGTAGTTTTGATTTTGCAGGTGTGTTGTTATTTTTGAGGATAATGTTAACTGTTTTAAATATTTTGTAATAGATAATTTAATTTTTTTGGTTCAGTCAACTGGGGTAGTGTATTTCTTTATGATATTTCTAAGTGAAGATTCATCTTAATTGTAGTTGATGTGCATTTGGCTTTTGTAGAAGATATTTATGTTATTGTTTTTTTCTGTGTGTTCAGTATCATTATTATTTACTTTGGAAAGAAATAGTCTAATCTGGTGGTCAATGAGGTAGTTAGGAAAACTATTGTTAACTAGTGTCCATTTTGCATTGTTGAGTTCTTTAAGGAGAAGATGAATTCTTGTGTGTTATCTTTAGGAAATTTTTTTATAATTACTATTTTGTAATTAAGTGGGCATTCACTCTTAAAATTTAGGTGGCAAGAGTTTCTCCTATTGGGTTTTTTATACAATCAGGTGGTGAGAGTGTTGTTACTGTATGCTATGAGAACATTTAAGAATGGTAGTTTATTTTTTTTTGACTTAGTTCATAGATAAAGTTAACAGAGTTTTTTTTTCAAATGTGGTTTTGAAATTATCTATTTCTTGTGTGTTTTTTTGTGAAAATAAAAATATTGTCTATATAGCAGATGTATATTTTGGGTTTAGTGAACTGTTTAAATATCATGTTTTCTATGTGGGACACGTAGTAATTGAAGAAGAACAGGCCAAGGGGAATTCCTATACTAACATCGTTACTTTGGGTGTAGATGTTGCTATTATAGTTGTTGTAGGGGACTTTGGTTGTGCATACATGCAATAATTTTATGAGGATATTTGGTTTGATGTATAGAGATGAAATAGAATTATTTGTATAATTAATTAGTAGTTAAGGATAATGGGGGCGTTTGTGAATAAATTTTCAATGTCGAGTAGCACTAAAAGACATTGGGTTGGTTTTATACTTTTTAGAATTTGGAGGAATTTGTGGGTAGGTATGGAATAATGATGTAATTAAGAAATTTTGATAGCCTGTAGGGGTTGGGATCTGGGAAACACTCAATAACATTAACTATGAACATGGCCACAATGTGCTGACTGTGTTTGGAAAATAAACCATCCCTATAACTCTAGATATATACAAACAACCCATATATTCAGTTAAAAAGTAAAAATAAAATCATCCCTGATAATGGCTAAAAGTATAGGTAAAAGCTGTCAGAAATGCAGAACATTTGGAGAGTTTTTACACACTTCATGTCCAGAAAAGAAAACATTTATAAGAATATGATGAAGTCCTTCTAGAGGACAAAATGTAACACAGAATTTTTTTCACTTTATAATGCCAAAAATGTTGCTGTATGATTACAAGTTTAATATTGGCCAATGACAAAATGTCATATCAACCAAGCATTTGGAGAAGACACAAATGCTTGTTGCATGGTCTGCAATTGGTTCAAGAAGTTCATGCATGACCAATTTGATCACCAAGATCAGTTAAGAATTGGTTGACCCTCTTGCATTGACAATGAGCATTTGTATGCCTGTGTCGAAGCCGATTCACACCTGACAGCCCTCAAGCTGGCTGAAAAGTTTGGTGACATCCAAACAGTCACATTGCATCACTTGGAGGAAATGGTCAAAGTCAGCCAATTGGGCATATGGGTCCTATGTTCTGCCGCACTGATGCCTGCATAACACTACTCTCCAAGAAGCACTGTTTTGATTGCTGAACAATGTGGTTACTGCAGATGAAAAATGGTGTCTGTACTTGAACATGAGAGGCAAAAGTATCTGGACATATAATTTTTTTTTTAAATCAAGTTACACGTTTTTATTTGTAAGACATTATACCAAAAGGTATTTTCTTTTCAAACTGTTCGTAGTGAATAAAATAAAGAAACATAATTTTTTTTTTTAAAAATAGAAGTCTTATAACACAAAAGCCAAAATAAATGGATTCTATAAAAATTCTTACAAGTGAAAATCTGATTCCAAATGTGCCATGTCTTCCAGCTGAGATGGTTCATCTTGCAGTGTGCTGGCTGTTGATGGACGAGAGATAGATGTTCGAGGAATTTCTTCATATCCTTTCTCTTGAGGTGGCACCAACTGATGACCAAGGATTCTACAGAAAGAAAAATAAAGAATAGGCAATATTAGTTTTCTTCAAAGTCACAACTGGAAAGGAAAAAGATATCAAACAATACAGATTATTATCTTTTTATAGAATCATATTAAATATTTTTTAACTGTTCAGAGCATCCAGCAAATGTACAATGATGTTGTAGACTGCAAATGTTTAAGGAACAATAGAAGATTAAACATTTTATCTTGTTAAAGTTATGGAGTCTTGATGATAGCTTAAAAATAACAATTTTCTCTTTTAGTTTCTGCTGGCAACTTATTGTCTGGCTAGCACATGCTTGGCATATCTATAAAAACAAATGCATGTTTTACATTACAATACGCTAGAATACGTCTTTCTCTTTGCTGAAGCACCAATGTCTTGCGGGTAGAAACTCTGACTGATACCAAATTGGTCGGGTTTTGATCCTGGCTTGAAATGTTCAGTTGTCTAGTCGCACTAATGAGCTGTGCTACAGTGAAACAGTCCTGTATGTGAATGACATATATATATATATATATATATATATATATGATGGACTCTCCTGTCAATTTTTATATATGTATTAATCATTTCAGCCCAACCAAGGCAATAAAGTCACTAAGACACAAGGGTTTACTGAATGTGAAAGAATATAAGAAAAAGATAAACATTATTAATGAATGAGAACAATAAAAGAATAGGAATTAAGATGACAGAAAATAATGATTGATATTGCATTTAAATTTTTGAAGATCAAAGTTGACTGGAAAGCATGAAGCATAAGAATTTAAATTAGTTTTGCAAAGTGTGAAAATGTCTGGAGAATATTTCAGGAGTAAAGATGCTATACTGCAGAATACCATAAATATGGGAGGAAAAAAGATTGAGGTAGGGGATAGGTTTAACAGTTTTCTTGTATTTCTCTTTTCACTGTATGTGACATAAGATTTTTTTCTTTTTGTTAAATCATAAAAGATATAAAATAAAAAAATAATTATCATATATATATATATATATATATATATATATATGTTTAGTTGGATTGAATGTGAGTTTGTGACCCTGGGTTTCATGCTTTTCTGATCGTCAGACAAACTGAGTAATTTTTAAAAATTTTGGATTTATTTAGGTTGCGTGAATTGGTGTTTTTATGGAAGTGGGAGGAAAAATTGTCGTCGTGATGCCACTGATATTTATGCAAGCATACATGCACGCCCGTACACCCATACATGTTTTCCAGCTTATTCTTGGTATAATATTTCTGTCTTTTAGATGCCATTTGTTTGTTTGTTTGTGTTTTACGACATATCAACCTCCTCAGTCATTTAATGTCAAATCAGGTTATTATTGGAATATTATTTTCCAATATAATAGTCCCTTCCATTTCCACAAACGGAGAGGTTTGCCATGCTGAAAAAGGTTTTTAGAAATGAAATGGTTTGTAGAAAAATCTGGTTCTGTCAAAAAAATTTTTTTTGTAGAGAATTGTATCGTAGGAAGTTTCTTCCTTTTTTGAGAAATGGTATGCAGAAAGAATCAGATTTTGTTGAAAACATTCCTTGCAGCAAAAGTTTGCAGAAAACTCCCAACTTTTTATGTTTTTAGATTTTTTGGTACAAATTGACTGCTTTCAGGAACGATATTATGTTATCCATGTCAGTTTTTTGGAACAGTTCCTTCATGTTACTTGCACTATAAAGCGTTTCTCTTATATGGGCTAGGTCAGTACATTCAATGAGAATGTGTTTCACTAATTAGTATGGATGTGCCGCCTGAGGCTCTATCTGTATTATTATTTATATAGTTATATGAGGTAAAATTACAATTTTTACATTGTCATTCTCTTTCAGAAAAGTCTCCTGTAAACATATTATCATTGGACATAGGTTCCCCAATTAAAAGCAGTAGTTCATTTATGTTTGGTTTCATACCTCTTATGTTCCATTGGATGATTTTATTAGTCATGGTTCGGTATAGTAGTATGTTTTTTTTTTTTCCCATTTTTTTTTTTTGGGGGGTTCTTGAATGTGTCTGATGTTAGGATTTTGTTTAGCTATTAATAGTGGTAGCTCATTATATTTTAATTTGTGGCTACGGCAGTTCCCTTGGATTATCTTATGGATATTTTGATGTTTGATTACTTGTGGAGCCATGTTTTAATTTTTGGCAGGATTTGTTTTGAGGTTAGATTTTTTCCTTGATTGGGTTTTGCTTAGTTGTGGGGTCTCATCTTCCGTTTCCATTATTTCCAATGCCTCAAATTTATTTATTTTTGGGGCAGTTCTTGTTCTTGAGGTTGATCTTGATCTATTTTTATGCTCCTGCCCATCAGGGTTTTTTTTTTTTTATAGTTTCCCTATTGGGTGAAGTCTGTGATGGCCTAGTGGTAGAGGCCACTTCAGAAGAGAGTACTTTTGGGTTCTCCTTGTTAGGCTTTTGCTTGTGTCTTTTGGTTTGTTGATGTTTTGGTGTTTGAGTTTTCCTTGGAGAGTTGTTTGTTTTTCTGTGATTGTTTTTATAATGGTTTTCATTTCTTGGATTAGAGTTCTCATCTCGTTCATAAGTTGAGTAACTACTTCAGGTTTTGTTATAGGTTGATTATTTTCGTATGTTTGGTGTCCTTGTTGGTTTGGGTTTGGTATATGTCTTTTTGATATTTCTGTGTATGTCACAGTGTTTATTAATTTCCTTGCTTCTGGGAAAGTAATATTTTGAGTATATTTTATTTTGGAAATATCCTTTTTTTTTTCCAGATTTCTAATCTCTGGAATTTCTTGGGGTGATTTTTTTTGCAGTTAGTGCATTTTGCCTCCTTCTGACAGTCAGTGTGTCTTGCGTTATTTTCACCGCATCTTCCGCATACTGGGGGTCTAGTACACCTATCTTGGTGGTGTCCAAACTTCTGACAGTTGAAACATCTAAGTGGATTCGGTATATATGTCTCAACTTTTATTTTTATGTACCCTACATTAATTTCATTAGGGGGTTTTGGGATATTAAAATTTAATATGTATGTGTTTGTGTTTATAGTTTCTCCATTTTTTTTTATACTTATTCTTTTGATATCTATTACATTTTGGTTTTTTAAATTTGTTTTTATTTCGTCTAATGTGCATAGTGATAATTCAGAGCTTTTCACTACGCCTTTGGATGAATTTAAGGTTTGGTGGAGGGAGGTTTTAATTTTGATGTTGTTGAAAGTTTCCCATCTTAGGATTTCTTCCACTTGTGTTTTTTGAACTTCGATTAGAATTGTTCCGTTTGTTAATTTTTGTTGTTTTTGGTTTTATTTTTTAGAAAGTATTTGTTCGATTTTGAAAGGTGATATTTTAGTTATAGGTATATCTTCAGTTGATTGGATTACCATATATGTAGGGGTGTTTTGATATATTATTTCTGGCTCACTGTCAGAGCTTTCAAAATGTGGTCTCTTGGTGGATTTCTTTGGAAACATTTGTTTTTTAGGTGTTGTTTCGCCATTCCTGCTCCCCACCCACCTCGGAGTCCAATTTTATGGGAGATGCCAGGGGGAAACCCATTCGCCCTGGCACATCAGGGCTACAGGAAAAGGTATACTCGTATCCAGTGGAAGCCACAAGCACCTGCATTCCTTTGGCCCGCTGGCCAAGTCCAGTGATGCCTCTCGGGTGTATACAGCCATGTTGTGGCCTTCTTCCTCAGAATCGATTGACCCTTAGCCACCGCCTTCCAACACTCATGTGGGGAGTTTATTATTATTATTATATATATATATATATATATATTTATTTTTTTTTTTTTTTTTTTTTTTTTTTTAATAAATGTCATTTTTTTTTTTTTTGGAGGATAAATTGGCAATTATACTAATACACAAGTTTTTTTTTTTTTTTTTTTTTTTTTGGGGTGGGTTGAGTGTTAGGGCTTGTCATGACCAGCCGATTGATCAGAGTGGGCCTCTCCGACCGCCCGTCTAGCTCAGGTAAGGGCCAAAGTGGAGTGTTGCAGTTAATGACCACTTATCACCTGGGTCATGACCTGCTCAGCCACCAGGGTCCCGTCCCCAAACATCACGGGTCGCCACCCACGGCAAACAGGTGGCCCCCTTGGGGGACTTTTACCCCCTGCAGAGGTGCAGTCGGCGTATTCTGAAGCCCCGCCGACAGGGCTAGGTGCCATATGTAGGTGGATAGTAAAGTGCTGTTTGAGTATTTTCTATTGGAGAATGAAAGGTTGTGGTTGTTTTTTCTCTTCTTGAATGGACCCTCAGTGGCACCAATGTAGTACATTGTGCTGTTGTTTGCACTTACCTTGGCTTTATATATTGTATTTGTTTGTTGGCAATTTCCCTGGAGTGGACATGTTGTTTTATTTCTGCAGTTGCATTGTGGTTCCTTGGTTTCATTTTTGCGTGTTGTCATTTTTTTGTTGTGGCATTTTATTATTTCTGTTATATTTTTTATGCAGGTGTAACTGATTTTAACATTATTTTTGTTGAATATTTTTGCTAATCGGTTTGTTTCAGTGAAGTGCTTTTCTATTAAGTTTAGGAATGTCCTACCCATGTTCGTTTTGACAGTTTTGTTGTATGGTGGATTAAACCAGATAATATTTCTTTTTCTGTTTTTGCATTTATTACACCAAGAATAAGCTGAAAAATATTGAAAAAAGCACCTGCCTACAACAACATTACAAAAAAATGCCTACTTTGCCTACATGAAAAAGTAGGCAATAATATCTCATACCCTACAAAAGAATTTACTAAACATAAGATCAGAAATAATTTCCAAATGCAGGCATGAAAATAAATACCTATTATCAGAATTTATACCAAACGGATAAAAAAAAAACACCCCCAGATAAACCACCAGTGACCCTATAAACATGAAAAGAGAAACCTCTGATACCATAACACCAACAATTACTCTCTAGTTCAAGCTACCATCACAGTAATTGCATTTATTGTTATCATTCCACCACCATTACTAATCACTTCTACCACTTTACAATAACTATTTGCTACTACAATTATTATCATCAACTCCATCCCACTATTACTACCACATCACAATTACTATTGCCATATTAGTCCACAATCACCATTAACATAAATTACTCCTCTCTCTCCCCACTCCCCAGCAAAATTAATACCACCACATAAAAACTAATAAGGATTACAAATTGGAATTTCTACCATTTAAATATGCACAACCACCAAAAACAAGCAAATAACCAGCTTTAAAATAATAACAAAACAGCAATTTTACCTATCATAGTTTTACACAGACCCCATCATATGTATATATATGTGCATGCAAGGAAATATTATTCAGCGAAAAAATAGAAAAACGGTCTGCGTGGTGACATTGCTACATTCAAGAGAATTATGGCTACACATCCCATTATTGAAATTCAGCAATCAAATGCGTACGTATGTACACAACAGCACACATATACATATATATTTCAAGTCCCATACTGTTCACATATGTTTATGTTTGTGTGAGCTCCAGTGGGTGAGTGCATGTGTATCTGTACCTCAATGGGTGTACAAGCGTACATGTTTGCATAAATATGAGTGGTGTCACAATGACAATTTTTCCCCCTATTTCCATAAAAACACCAATACACGCAACCTACATAAATCCAAAATTTTAAAAAATGAATCAGTTTGTCTGATGATCGCAAAAGCATGAAACCCAGGGTCACAAACTCACATCAATCCAACTAAATATGTTAGCTCTATCTCTGATATTGAGTGCTTTCCAATAAAGCATATATGCATATATATATATATATATATATATATATATATATATATATATATACATACACACACACACCAAATTTTTAAGTATATAGTTTTGGTGAACCACACAAGGAGTGAACTTAATTCTTAATAACCTGCAAGACTGGCACTCTAACCACTACACTATAAGCACCTGGCTGATGTCAAAATGAACTGATACTTGATAGAAATATTCTTGCACTCTTGGTTGCCAGAGACTGAATTGTTAAAAGAGACAACACTTTTATGAAATTCCTGACCTGGTACCTTGACTTTGGTCACTTTCCCATGCCCATGATGTAGCTTCCCACTGTCTTTTCTTTAAATATATGACAATTGTTTTAATGAGCTCTCCTGCTTGATACCTTTACCGTGTGAATTTAAGTGTACTACTAGATTAGCTACTAGGTCTAATTATTTTGTTGTTAAAATAGTTAGATATAACCATAAGTTCTATTTTAATAAGGCCAAGAATAGAGTATTGAGGCCATATCTGGACTGGAGCTGTCCAATCCTCACTTGCCTGTCTTGAGGGGAGTTCAAAAGCATCTACTGGGTGAGCAATTATTTTACATTCTACAACACAGTTTTAATTGATGAAACATTGCAAAGCTCTAACTACTCTATTTCTATTTAATGGCAAATGTTCATGAACTACATTTCTTAGTTCCACCAGTTTGGATGTTCACAGGTAAGATCCACCATGCCATGTACACTGGGACAAATCATTGCCATGTACACTGGGACAAATCATTGCCATTCCCATCCTATTAATAAGAAAGAAATTCTACTCAAACAGCTTCTTCCCAAATAGACTCTCTACAATTTTAATCTCTTCAAGTCTAGGGTTAACTGTTATCACTTATAAATAATCTTATAAACTTTACTCCTCACCTACTTCTCTTATACAACAACATCATTTAGTAACACTCTACATTGAGTGGCTCTTGTGTTTCGGGTGAATATTTGTAAAACAATAATGTGCAAAACTAGCTAATAGCAAAAAGACAATAATAATGATAATAGTGGCTAATACTGGTTTATTTAAGAAAAATAAAAAAAAAAGTAATGTTTAGGTTAATATCATTGGAAAAAAACACATCACACCAGCAAATCTTTCATTATAAAACTTTAAAATGTTTTCAATTTCATGAAGAAAAAAGTTTTTACCTGTTTTTTTTTTAGACAAATAACTGGAAATAATGTGCTGTTTTTCACTTCTTTTCAAACAAGAAATATATATATATATATATATATATATATATATATATATATACACACACACAATGAATGGATGGATAGATAGATAGAATGTGGTTAAATGTTACCTGAGATGTGGGAACTGGAATGTCCACTCGGCGCACTCTTGCACCAAGTCTCTATGGACCTCGTGTGTCTGTTGTTCGTATAAAACCCTATCAATTTGTTCAAAAAGCTGTTGAATTTTTCGAGCAGCTTTCCTTTCAGATTCCTAAAAGAAAATATATTTGATGATAAAATGATTACTCTCTCTTTGTCTTTGTTGTTTTTTCAATACATCCAAGAAAAGAAAAATGACTAAAAGTTTATTAATTCCTTGGGAACCATTGAGCAGAAATTTCTTTGTCTTCAGTCATCTTTGTCTGGCACTGAATCAAATACTCCTTACTTTTTTGTTTTTATTATCATGTTTATAAGCATGGCAAAGCTCAGATTAGTCAAAAAGTTAAGCATATTTTATGGATGAAGTAAGATTCAGATTCTTTTTAAATGACTCAAAAGTTTTTTTTAACTCTCATTAGGGTTATATCTTCTATCTAAATAAATAAATGTCAAATTCTGTCTGTCTGTCCTTCTATGTGTCTTTTATATTATATCTTTTTGGAATTGAAAATTTGCATTTCATCTGGTGCTTGAATATCCAGCATTGAGATTTGTGTTTCTGGATGAGGAGGGAACAGTTAGAATTCAAATTTTAAAATAACTAAAAAAATGAGTGATTTTAAAAGTTTTAATTTTGAGTTTAAAGTTGAAAAAATAAATTTTATTCCTTCAAAATGCCAAGGAATCAGAGTGAGAGGTTTTGTGACGTGAAGTTTTGAAGTTCCACAGAGTTTGTGATTTGAAGAACTCAATTTATAACGTGAATTGGAATTTCAGACCAAATCAATCTTTTGGCAGGAATTGGACTTATAGCCCAAATCAGAGTTAAAGTGAGGTTTCCAAGATCCATGCAGTAAATTGAGGAAATCAAAGTTATTTCTTCAAAATTATCATTGCTGTTTTCTAAGCTGGACCTGATGTCCCTTTAAGTATTGGGCCAGAAGCCCAATTAGCCCTCTGCAGGAGCTAGCTTAAAAGTTTGCACAGAGTGTAGCTTTTAAGCAAGTTTTAAACAAAAAAGCAGCATGAAATGAGGGTCAAACTTGACAAATTGCTAATCATGACCAGACTCACCCCAAATTATCTGAGGCTAAGACCCTCCCTTACCAAAAAAACAAAACAAAAAACAAAAAAATTTGCATTGATTATAAACAATTCATAGAAAGTAATGAAGGCAGCATAGGCAAAGATTATCCTGTAATGGTTGATGAGATATTATGTGAGAAATTTCTTTCTTTTGGGTCTACAAGGTGCGATGGGTAAATTGTCGCCATTATATATTTTTCATTTTGCGCATACATGTTGTTTGTTATTGATTTTGTTGAGTTTTATTGCATTTATTATTTTACGATTCAGAGCAGATTTTCATTTATAATAGTGAAAGTTTGAATAAAAAAAATTAGGGGATTTACATTCTCCAAGGAGTCCTGCTTTTAACTAATAAAAAAAAATTCAAGAAATAGCAAGTTTTTTTGCGAAATTTCATGAAATTAAAGTGGGGTTGTGGTAACATATGTAAAAAAAAAAAAAAAAAATTTAATTCATTTTTGAATAAGTCCGGAAAATTTCATTAAAATCGGACAATTATTTGATTTTTACAAGAATTTCCAAATCAATGTGGAAAAAAGTCAATGTAATTATTATGCTACCCCAATGACAAACAAAACATGTTAGAAAGGATTAAAAAAAACATGTTAGAAAGGATTAAAAAAAATAATAAAAAATTACTTTAGTCTTTCATCTTAAATAACAAACGTTTTGACAATAAAACTTTATTTTTATTAAGTTTGTAGCCTTTTTCATTACGCTATGCTGTTTTCCGCGAAAAAGTGGAGGTACCTATATTAACCTATTTCATAGTGTTTGCGTGTCAATCTGAGGACAGTGCCGAAGATTCGGAAAGAGTTGGATGAGTCTAATGGTGATTACGAAGTTGTTTCGAGTGATCACTAGTGATGGCGACGCTATGCCTCCATTCATCATCGCACCCTCTAACTTCCCTTCTGCACGCTACTGGTGTGAAGTTGGGGAGTGCTGTCAATAAGTATATCGATTTTAGCCATGGTCAATCAAGGGAAGTAACTGATATTATTAAATTTAAAGAGTAAGCTCCCTTGGAACGGTAAATTAAGTGATTGGGCAAACAGGTGACAACACCAATAAAATAAATAAAAAATAAAAAAAATTGATAAAATAAAATGTCATCGGTGTTATATCTGAAGACCTAAGTAGAAGCCAGGTGCAAACGAATGCAAACATTGGCGGACAATCAGCCTAATGCGCAATATAACAAAACTTATGATTCGAATTCTGATGAATAGAATGTGTCCTGAAATAGGACAAGAACAGGTCAGTTTCATTAAAGACACTGAAACAAAGAATGTGATATTTATGCTCAGAATGATATCAGAAAGAGCAATACAAATGTAAAATGATGTATACCTATGTTTTATAGATTATGCAAAAACGTTTGATAAATTATCTTATGAAGAAGTGTTTGAATTGCTAGGTAAGGTTGATTTATTTGGGAAGGATATTAGAATAATCCAGAACTGATACTTGAAACCACCTGCATAGGGATAGAAAATGAATTTGGTAAATATACAAAAGTAGAAAGGGGTGTAAGACAAGGATGTGTCTTCTCACCAAGCTTATTCAGACTTAACAGTGACATAATCCTGAGAGAATTAGGTCCTACCAAGATTCATTATTATTAGCTACAGTTTTAACAGCATTAGATAGGCAGATGACACAGTGTTGATAGCAGAAATAGAAAAGAATCTACAGGGACTCCTACTGATGGTTGTAAAGGAAAGCAAGAAGAAAGGACTAAACATCAATTGTAAGACAATATAAGATTGTCATCAAAAGGAACAGCCCAACATCCAAATCGTAAATTGGAAATATCAAAATCAAGCCAGCACAAAACTTTTAATGTTTTAGTGTTTTAACAGTTTCTGGAAAATGTGACATCAAAACTGAAGTCACATTGGGTTAGCAAAAGATGATTTCCAAAAACTAAGTAAAGTATTAAGAAACAGGAAAATTTTATTAGTAACTAAGAAAAGTGTACTGAACTGTTATGCAATATCAGTTCTCCTATATTTTTAGAGAAAATGGAAACAAAAAGGATACTTATACTTAGCATCAGAAAGAGATAGTTGAAATTTCTAGGGCACATAATGAGGAATAAGGGTTTGGAAAATTTGACATACACAGGATAGACTGAAGGCAAGAGAGACCGAGGAATTCAATGTATAAACTACCTAACGAGGTTGAGTTTTAAATAGCTGGCAGAACAGGGTTTAGAAGAGATAGCAAAAGGACAAACTTTACTAAGAGCTAAGGACAGGAAATTGTGGAGATCCATGATCACCCATGTCCTGAAGGGATAGAGTACATAGAAGAATGTCAATGTCCAAATAAAATCACAAGTGTTAATAATTTCCATCTTGTAAAAACTGAGAGGAAATTTGAAGGCTTTCATCATTTTCTATGAAGAAAAATGCAATTTTTAGAGCATTTGCGAAAAAAAAAAAAATTCTCTAGTTTGACTGAATCAAGGAAGAAATTATCATTCTCATAAAAGGTTTGATTAAATATTTCAAATATTTAACCAAACCTTTATAAATGATGTATTTGAGTAACATTGTTTGCATGTAGGTGGCATAAAATGGTATGTAAAATAGGCTGAGTTTAAATTCTGACTGTGGTAATTAATGTTTATTTTCCAGCAATGCCCTTGAAAAAGGCATGAATCCATTTCTCCCTCACCAGCTATGGGTAAATAGCAATGCAAATTGAACTCTGTAGACATGGTAGGGCAACTAAACTAAGATAATTGAAACTAAATACAAATTCTACTGCCAACATGTCATAGGCCAGTGTGGTAGAGAAAAATCCTATTACTCCTCATGTCTGTAAGACTTTGGAGAAGATCCAAATCCTACAGGGGACCGAGAAAATAGATAATAATATAACTAAAAAATTTAGCAGTTCTGTTTCTTGAGAATTATATTTCTCTCAACATACTTGTAAATAGATAGTAGCTACTGTCTACAGACAACAGCACTACTAATGGGGTTCTTGGAAAGATTGAAGAAATTCTCCACTCTCTAAGGCCCACATGAAGCCTTAGTATATCTATGATATACTAATACCTTAATGCAACAGAAGGAAGGAATAAAATAAGTCAAAGAAATTAATTCCAAAAATGAGTTGTGCTTGTAAAACCTTTTCTGCAGCACTAGAATATACAAATATATTCACATACAATATGTTATACACATATATATCACAAATTGTTGCACACAGAGAAATTAAAGTGCATATAAAAAAGCAAGCTGTATGTGAAAGAATGACTATAATGAATGTTTTACTTATTCTTTTAGAGAGACATGACCAGCCTGGGTGATATCTTTTATGTTTCTTAAGATATATCACTTTTGCCTTGTTATCCTAACTGCTGCTGGCTACCAGAACTATTTCCTTTGGCAATTAATCAGCAACTGACTATCTTCAGCTGAAGCTGTGTGGACACCCAAGACCCCTGTGGACATTACTAAATTTATCCTGTAAAAAGGGGAGATAATCACCTTTTGCATCTTACACAATCATCCCTAACTATCAAAATGTTTTCAGATTTCCAACAAGGTCAATGTTTAATTTTCAGGGTCTATTTTGACAACAGACTAAGAGCAAACTGTAAAAGCCTTCCTCATTTAGGTTTTCTCTTCTTGTCAATAGTCTTAGATTGTTTGATGTGGCAATTATTGTCCTCAATTCACACAACATGTGATCAGAGTTACAGGCCTTTTTTTTCCAGACTAGCATGCTCATCTTAGTTGTTAGACTAACAAAATTTCAGTTGTTGCAACCTCCAACCTTCTTCAGGTGTTTGTTGTACTTGGAAAGCTTCCTAGAATTCTGAACCAAAATCTTTATTCAGTCCACAGTTGTAGATTGTGCTCATTCTACTTTCCATATCAACATACCAACTCCAATATGTAAAATACTTTTGAAGGAATTAATGGATTTTATTTTTAATCCAACATTATTTCACATTATGTTAAATGTTATTTTAGTGGATGCATGTGCTTGAGAGCCCTGTTTTATTAAACATTATGAATTATGTCCACTTATCTGCACATTTTGAGAGACTTAAACCGGAGAGCCATTTTTTCATTAAGTTTCTTGAATGTGCAAGCCAGAAAATGTAATCCCCACTGTTTAAAAAAAAGCAAAAAAAAGAACAGGTTGTCTACTCAAACACGTGTATTCACTAATAATACATTTAGAGTAATAAGTAAAATACTTGTTGAAAATGAAAACATAATACATACTTTCAAGTGTAGAAAGCAACTTAAAAATAAAAGCCTTAATCAGAAAAAAACAAAACAAAATGCTATCTCTTAATAACAACAATCAGGAACTTTGCCAAAATGTACTGGCCATGTTTGGGAATTAAATTATGTATATATCTCAGCAACCTCTTCACCATTTGCAATAGCACAACTAAAATCTTTGAAAATGGTTAATAAATTACACAAAACTGCTTGGAATGAACAATCATTTGGACAATTTATACATATACTATGTACAAAAAAGAAATCTCTTGTTTGCACACAAGAAAAAAATGTAACAGAAATACTATCATTTTTGAATTATATATATATATATATATATATATATATATATATATATATATATATGATAGACATATTTGTGGAACCCCATTAAAAAATTGTAGAAAAATTCAATAGATTTATGTAATATCACTAAGAATCTCAATTGAGTCATTTTTGTGTAAAAAGTAGGCTCCAGATTTGAATTTCCACATTCGCATTTATCAAATCAACTAATCAGCAACATATAATTTCAGATGACTATGTTTGTTGTCAGCTATGAAATTTGAGAGATCATTCTAGAAAATGATCAGCAATATTTTTCCTCTTTAAAATAGATATTTACAAAATTAGGAAAAATATTTATGAACCAATTAATTTCTGAGTTTAGTAAATCTAACTTTTAGCTGCCTTGATCCATCTATTTTCTATAAATACTATTGGGTAAATTCAATAGTATTCACTTTTCAGTAAACCTTTGACCAGGGTTGTGCACAAACTGTTTTCTCACACCCTTTGTATACTTAATTACTCAACCATTCACATTTTATTGCAATTATTAAGTAAAGTAAACAATACATAAAAATGAACATATAATATTAATAGTAGCAATAACACAACTCTCATTTACTGACTGCTAAAAGATTACACACATTCATCTTTTCAATTCATACTAACACAAATAATTCTGTTGTGTTGTAAAAACAAAATATTTTTGTGGGACTTTATTTCACAAGGATTTTTGTAATTCATTTCTTTCAACTTGAAAGCAAACAAATACTCAACAATAAAATTTATTTAAATTTGTAGAGCTGTGTTTGAAGATTTTTTTTAACACACTTCTGTGCGTGTATATATATATATAAGGGTGTTATTAGGCTGTAAAATAATATCTAAAGAAGATTGCAGACAATAAGTGGAAAAGCTATTCAACTACTCATTTTTTCCCTTATAGTTGGCATCCTCAAGCTGGAATGAGAGACAAACCCATGTGTGAGAAAAGGGAGAAATATGGAGGAGAAGTAATAAAGATCCTTATTAGATATCATGGCCACAAAGTTTTTTTTTCTTTTCTTTTTGTACCGAAGCTGTTAATGTCTGCTGGATTTGAAATTTAGCACACTCTTTTCTCACAAATGAATTTGTCATTCAATGAGTACTATAAGGGGCAAAACACGTAGTTGAATAGATTTTCAACTTGTGTGTGTGTATATATATATAAGATTTGCAGTACCAAAAATTTAGAACAGCAACATTCTTATATCATCTTTAGGCACCATCAGTTTTCACATGTTGCTGATGTCTGTCTAGAATTTACATATTCCTTGTATACCCTTGCTACTGTTGTCTAAAAAAAGCAAACATAGAGGTATAGTGCCCTATGTTTTGTTCTAACAATTATTCCGCAGTCAAATAGTGTTGAATCCTGTACACATCTCATGGTTGCCACAGCTACACTACCTCTTTACCTTTTACATCACATATATGTTATCTGGCAGAGATCATTTCCAAAAGTGACAGAGTACTAATGTTTCTAACTTTTTAGTATTTCAAAATATATACATCACATATACACTTTTCATTTATTTATGATCATTTTTTTCTAAAACAAGTCATTTATGTATAAAAACAAAGCCTAAGATAAACCTGTCCAAAACTAAAACTATGATCTAGAATTTGTATGAAAGCAATGATGGCACATACAATGAATCCATCATAATAATTCATGATGTGAAATTAGTAAATACTAAACACTTCAGATACCTCAGCATAGATAGATCAGTTATAAGAAATTTAGTATAGGAGAATAAGTTGTCAGAGGTAGTTTTGTTCAACACTGCAAAGTATTACAAAACCAACACATTAACCTCAAAACTCAAGTCTTAAATAGCCTCATCAGATTGAGGATTTGATATGGATGTCATGCATGGCACCAAACCTGTTCAGAAATATCTAAACTGTCAGCTTTATACAACTTCTTTCTAAAGTCAATGGTTAAAACAGGCGTTGAGTGAGTGAAGTCTGAGGGTTTTATGCAAAGATCATTCTTCTTTGGACATTGTGGACTGGCAATTCTCAAACAAAGATCTGTACCAAATAGTAGAAACCACATCACTTCAGGACTACCAAACAGTAGCAACAGCTAAAATTGATAGAACATCAGACTTGAAGAGAAAAAAATATATATAGTCAAGATGTCAACATTCCATACTTCTTTAAATAAAAAGTTAGGTAAGAAAACCCCATCAGTATTGGAAAAGCGATAACTGCTACTGGACTTGAAAAACCTATTTTTTTGAAAAATTGTTTGAAGAGAAAGATTTTATAAATTTCAACTCAAATCAATACTGGCTGATCAGTCAGTGAATGCCAAAAGTTTCCTTATAAGGAAACGGCTAATACTACCATTACCAAATACTGTTAATTTAAAAAGAAAGCATTTTCAATGATTACAAAATTCAAGAAGTTGCCTATAAATGATAACTCATCAAAAAGATATAAAAATCATGAAAGTAATTGAAAACTAATGAATAAATGTGTTTACATCATTGCCCCAGAAAGGATCATCAACACTACTTCTGTCAGTGGTGTTCCCAGTTGATGTGTCAGTGAAACTCTGGATTCCTCCATCTGGAGATACAGTGGACTGATGCTGGTGGGAAGTGCTTACAGGTGGTGGATATCTGCAAAAAGAGAAAACAACAGGATAGGATTTATTTGTGCTTCATGTGAATAATGCATTCAAGATTAGTGTTCACTTTTCTTGAATAGTTTTATCAGATTCATTTAAGTGTCTTTGATACGATCAGTCTTTTAGAGAGTATGTCAATCAAGTAGGTTTTTATGGAAAGGAATTCCAAATGGCATGCTGTGTTTTTTTTTTTTTTTTTAAAACACAGCTAGAAGGATAAGTAGATTCCACAACTAGTTTTGAATTTAAAGTTGTCCTCCTTCAATTCAGGTGACACCCTAGGGTTAGACAGGCCATCTTCTTAAATGCAACATCAATCTCCTCAGGAGCATTTTCTCAGTTTCTTTCACTCTCAGTAATCAATTGCATCTTAGTGACTTTATCACCTTGATTGGGGTGAAATGATTAGTGAAAAAAAAAAAAAAAAAAAAGAAGAGAGAGAGAGAGAAGAAACTGCCCTGGATTCCTTGGTGTGTGTGTGTGTGTGAAAATACTCTAAAACATAAATTTTTCAACATTTGCTTTTTGAAAAATGCCCGTGATCTTTGCTCAAATTTCTGTTTGTGTATGCATTCTCCTGTTTATGCAAACCAATCATTGTTTATTTATTCTTCATAATTCAATGACACCATAGACAATGTTTTCCTTTCATCTTCAGACACCATGTAACTTTCTCAAGTGTTTCATTGGAGTTTCAGCAAAAATTCTACACCACTGGAATTATTTGTCTCACCTGGTAGTGATTGCAACCATTTGGAAACTCTTAGTAAAAAGCATAAACCTGGATTTTCCTGTCAGCATGAAGTTATCTTATTAGTGTAAAACTATATTACACACAAACAACAAAAACAAAACAGAGATACTGATTTCCAGTAGTAAGATAGTTTATTTACACTATTTGATTGTTTGGAATGGTCAACAAAACATTGACTAATTGCCAATTGATTGAAACTTTATAAAATGATAAATAATTAGGATTTCCTTATAGTTGGCTCACATATTTTTATAATTTAGTTAATGTTTATAAATTTATGAATAAAAAATTGTTTTCATAGTTATTTATAAATTGGTAAGTGACAAATATTGCATTAAATTAATTTTAATAAAACTGTATTAATTTTTAGAATGTTGTAAATATAAAATTATTCTTGTAAATAAACAATCTAATAGTGTTTAACATTTATGTTTTAAATTCACTTTAAATCAATTTTAAAACAATAAACACTGCTAAGGAGTGAAGGTAATTAAAACAACAGTAGTCAAGGGAAAAAAAAAACGTACTTTTGACACACTGTTTTTATGTGGGTACGAAGGTCTGGCATTGCCAGATATGTCAAAATTACGTTTTTTCCCTTGATACACTGTTTCTTTTGTGGGCATGAAGGTCTAGCATTGCCAGTTGCTCTTATAACATGTCCATCTCATTACATCTTTTTCTCGACAATGGTTATACCTTTTAATGGGCCTGTTGCTTGTCTGATGCTGTCTTGTACTGTGTCATTTCTGATGCAGTCTGTGTAGGAGACAATTAGGATGGTTCTGTAGCATCTCATTTTTTTATGTTTAGAGTCTTGGATTGTAATGAAGATTGCAAGGGAAAATGCCTTATTCAGGAACTGTAGCTTACAATCATTGATTATTCTATTTCCTTTCCATCTAGAAGGGTTGCTAAACTTGTTCGTCAAATATGTTATGAACTTGATCCTTGATAAAGATTGAGTGATCAGGTTATCTGTCACTGATGGGAAGCATAAACAATTTACACATGAATGAACACTGGTAAAAGTTACTTGGACTTGTTTTTATTATGAACAATCAATAATGTTGGTCGAAGGAAATAAGAGAGGTTGAGTTACTTAAAGCATCAGTCATGCATAAAATGACCTGCATCTGGTTGGCTGATACAGCTTGAAAGTTCATATACTACCCTTGCTAATTGATTATGTACATAAGCAATATATGTACATATGTATGTTTTTTGGCAATGTTTAACCTTTGTGCCCACAAAAAATGGTTTGTCAAAAGGATGTTTTTCTGTTGACACCATTATTCCTTTAAACTACTGAGACTCACTTGGTAACATTTATTTACAAGATTATAAAAATATGTGAATCAGGTACAATGTGATATTTATTTTATAAATATTTATTAGTTAACATTTTATAAAGAAATAAATCTGAAAAGAAATTTTTTATTAAAAATTTATAAAAACCTACAAAATTTTCAACAAATTATGTTTTTTGGAATGGCCAAATATTAATGAATTACCAATTCGATTTGTAAAATGGTAATTAAAGATTTCTTATAGTTGGTTCACATATTTTTATATTTATTTTCAGTAAATTTTTAATGAGTAAAAAAATATTTTCATATTTATTCCTTTATAAATTGGTACATGATAAACATGGCATTGTATTATATGGTTTGCATTTTTAGAATGTTGTAAATATTAAATTATTCTTGTAAATAAATAATCTAATAGTGTTTAATATTTTTCTTGTAAATTCTCAAAGAAAAGAAGAATATATATAAATTCACTTGCATATGTTTTATTAAAATTCTAATCATCACTTTTTAAAACAATAAACATTGCAAAGGAAATCAAAGTAGTGCAAAATAATAATGGTGTCAAGGGAAAAACCATCCTTTAGACACACTGTTTTATTGTGGGCATAAACTTTGCCAGTTATTTTTATGCCAGTATGTAGACAATAATGGCTCTTCAAAGATTCCTTTTCTTCATTATCTATGAATTGCCAGGCTTTCTTGCGAAAGAGTGGATTAATTTCTTACTGTCTTCTTGATGCATTTAAATTGAAAACTGTCTTTCTCCCTTCAAAATGTAGGTGATCATGGCTGTTTATGTATTCCAATTTTTAAAAATTATTTTTGAACTGCCATGGCATTTTGGAAAAGATATGGAAGTTTTCTACTGTCTTCATTATGGCTTTGAATTCAGAGCTGTTCTTCTGCTAAACTGGATGCCAAAATGCTAGAAATCCCAGTTTACTCTGCTACCTAACCTTCATCTGAGAGATGGATCCCTACCTTTCCCAAGTGTATTTGTGTGAAAGTGAATGCAACAGATGAGGTGGAAATTTGAACTTGTCTTACCAATACCTCTTTCTGTAACAATAACTGTTTGTACCAATTATATATTCACATATAATATGCACACACATTATATATATGAAAGAGTGCTGAAAAATACTCAATTTGACTAAGAAGACTAGTCAAATTTTGGGAAGTGGATTGAGTCAAGAGCTTTTTAGCAGCCCCTTATATATGTAGAGTGATGGATTCATCTCTAAACTTGGAAAAAAGTGTCCTATATCACTTCAGTGAAAATATGTCTATAAAAAATTTAGGGATTCATAAGATGTTGCTTTGCAATGAAAGAGCAACACAGAGAAATTTAGAAGTAAAATATTCATGTTCAGACTGGCATTCTCCCATTTATATTAATGAGTATATCACTTCTCTTAATTTTCTCTTGTTTGGACTCTGTGTGTGTGTGTATGCGTGTATATCTATAATTCTCAAAATGTGTGTGCATGTGGGATAAGATGTTGTTTATACGTTTCCACAGTTTTCATCTGATTCTTGTTTGATAGATAATTCTTCAGTGCTGGTTTTGAGTCCAAATTGGCAACAATGGCTCTCCACTACTTCCTGTCCATTATAACTCTCTGCAACGTTTTACTATTTACTATCCATTCTTGGATATATAACTTTCACAAAAACTTTAATAAAAATAAATAGTTTAAGTTATTACAATAATATTATTTATTATTATACAGTTAAATTTATATAATTAATTACATAAATTATAATTATTATTAATATTATAATTAATATAATTATCAATAATAATTATAATTAATTAACATATCTGTGAAGAGAACCTGAAAATGTAATCTATAATTCTCAAAATTTGTGTGTGTGTGTGTGTGTGTGATTGCATGTTGCTTGTGTGTTTCCAGTTTTCATCCAATTTCAATGAAATATATTTTTTTTGATAGATAATTCTTCAGTGCCGGTTTTGAGTCCAAATTGGCTGAAAAAAATTACAATCTAGAAGGTGAAAAATCGAAAAAACTGATTTTTTACATTTTGCGCAAAAATCATTCGTAAAATTTAATGCCTGTAAAAATAGTGTACAATCAATTTAGAGAGTTGAAATCTAATGCAAAAGATACACAATGAAGAGCTAGTCATGTAGCATTTGCAGGGGGGTGTTCGATGCGCAGCTGTACAAGGCAACAGGCATGCAAAATAACATTTTTTGGAGGAAGGGGTGATGATGCCTCAAGCAAGATAATTTTTGTCAGGGACATCCTATTATCATTATTATTCCTGTGAAACAACTGCTCAATTGTAGTGAGCCTAAAATAAGTTTTACAGGTGTAAGACATCAGTGATGTGCACTGTTAGCCTAACGTTTAGGCACATTAGCATGTGCAGCAACGTGTGTATATGTGGCCCTGAACACGTGCTGTGTCATGTGCTGATGCATGCGCATACACATGACCTGGGGAATGAGGCACCTGTTCAAGTTGCCCATTGACTGCATGAAGCCCCTTTACATGTCCAATCAAATGTCACCATGTCATACTGATTGCCTATGAAGTCATAAGCTCATTGCTACTGCTTAATTCTGCAATTCCACTTCTACTTCTGTACATTCATCCCTGCTTATACATTTCCCCTTTCTTAGTCAAGCATACAATCTGACTCAAATGAGGTTACCTTTTCTGTTGTATAAAGCCAGTTTTAAGGCATTGTTTTCATTGTTGTTTATAGCCGTTTCCAATTTAAATTTTTTTACTGTCCTGCCAGTTTTTGCAATGCATTCATTGTAGTAATAAGTAAAATTACGTTTTTATTACTCAACATTTATTTTTCCAACCTTTCCTAAAGTTATTTGAGCTTAGTTATTCCTGTAGCTTTTCAGCGTTCTCTTCTGGTATTTGCCCACACATTCCATTTGAC